GAACACTTGCTTGTGCACTTGTTGTAGACCCTTTGGCTCTACTGAACCTCACCCCGTTCAAGTCAACCTTCAGTCTGAGGAGTCCCTTTCAGTGGTAGGGGACCGAGATTCGTCACACGATATGTGTATGTTGTAGGTGTTGTAGCCGGCTTACTTAATAGGGTTATAAAAAGTATAGAAATCGATGGAATTGACGAAAAACCTTAGAAAATGCGTTTTTGGGCCTATTTGGCCAATATCAATAGCTTTAGGAATTCGACTGGTTGTTGGGCCTGACTGCCTGTTGCGTGCATGCGAGGTACCCTACTACCCCCTGGGACCCGCTTTGTCGTGGCGTTTGCAGCCTATAGTGGAGATTTGGGTTGTGCCGCTAAAATTATGTTAAGTCCATATTGCTCTACAACTCAATCATCCCGAGTCCATTGCACTTCACTATCAAACATTCTACCACTTCAAGGCGAAACCAGAACTATCGTTGGCAAGTAGCTAAATGCAGTGCTACTGTGTATGTATAATTAAGTCAATTCACCTATATAACAGCACAGGTTTGGGGTTTCATGAGCACTGCATTACGGCACGGAGCCGTGCATGACCTGATGACGACCATGGGCGCTTGCTTAATCAGGGCATTCTCGCGAATCGCGAGATGAGCGGGGTATTGCACCCGCACTCATCAATGTGTTACTCACGGTCACCTACGAGCCCACTGACATAACTATGCCTTCACAGGTCCGGTTTATGGCCGGCGGGGTTAATGTCGTGCATCGGGGATTAGTAGAGACGCCCGCATTACACCATGCGATCGTTGCCACCATACCGCCTTCCTCTGCTGAGCACTGATCACTGAAAGTCCATTCATTCCGCTCCAAAGTCACCTACACGATCTCAAGGCAGTGTAGGATGTCGGTCTTAGCAGCCTGGGTTGATTCGGATTTGTACCCGTTGGCTACATGTAATCCTTCCGCTCCTTCTCGACTCAAGCTTACCTTACACTTCAATGAGGTAGTGGCTTCAACGGCAAGTCAATCCCACCATATATGAACCCTTGTGTTCTGAATAGGGGCGGGGTATTGTATGTGCATTGTTCACCTAGAACAGCTAACACTTCCAAAGAGTTCTGTTCAAGAATACTGGTTGTATATGACTTAATGAATTGTTTGGAAGTTCCCTTACTAAGACGAGGTCACTTACTAAGACACCAGGCATCTCAGGGATTGATTGCTTGCCACAACGGGTTAACATTTGACATATAGAGACTGGAAACCAGGTCTCAAGGATTCGCACGGGCGATCGCCGCCATCTCGATGCAACATTGGGCCAAAATGCCTATGCCGAGTCTGCCGAGCCGTTGCGGTTGCTAGCTGCCGTGATGCTACATCGATTCTACCCTCCAATATGTCCAGTTCAGCATTAATAGAGCAACCGCAACCCTCGCGATCTTTTTCGATTTGTCGACCCTCATACTAACACTTGAGTTGACTCAACAGGCCTTTTGGCTGCTGCTAGTCAGTTCACATGCGGAACATTTGACAACGGAAAACGCACGCTCATCCAGCATGGCTCTGATCGCGGCGGATTTGCTTGGGGCTTACCCCGGGTCAACCTGGGCCCTGGCCGCTGTCATACTCGTAAGTCAGCCGAGGACATAACCCCTCTTGTACCTCCCTTCTACTGTCGTGGTCAGTACGCTGAAACTGAGACACCCTCATCTCACCCTCCCAGGCCGCCGGCATCATCCTCTTCAACGTCATCTACAACTTCTTCCTGCACCCCCTCTCCCCAATCCCCGGCCCCAAACTCTGGGCGGCCTCGTACATCCCCTACACTCTAGTCTGGCTGACGGGCCGCCTCCCCTTCGTCGTTCACTCCCTTCATGAAAAATACGGCGACGTGGTCCGCCTGACACCCTCCCGCGTGTCCTTCACGCACCCGGACGCCTGGAATGCCATCCGCGGCCACCGCAAGGCAGGCCAGGGCGAGAACGGCAAAGACCCCTTGTTCTATGCCATGACGAGGCACAACATCCTCGGCGCTGACCGCGCTGACCATAACCGTTTCCGGCGGATTCTGGCGCATGGGTTTTCGGCCAAGGCAATGCAGGACCAGCAGCCGCTTATTGTGAAGTACGTTGATTTGTTGATTGACCGGTTGCGTGAACGCACCGGGAGCCAGAAGGGGGAGGATGGACAGACAAAACCTCACCCAGCCGTGGTAGACCTCGCGGCGTGGTTCAACTTCACCACGTTCGACGTGATCGGCGACCTGTCCTTTGGCGAGCCTTTTGGCTGTCTCGAGAGCTCGCAGTACCATCCGTGGGTGTACGCCATCCTGAACGGCGTAAAACAGTTTGGCCCGATCATGGCTATTCGGTTCCATTTCCCCCCCGTGCTGTTCGACCTCATACGCGTGCTCTCCCGGGTCTCCCCAAAGAGTTACTTCGGAAAGCATTGGGAGACGCAGACCGAGTTTGCCCGACAGAAGATTGCCAAGCGCCGGCGGCTGGGGGAGAGCAGGCCTGATTTTGCCGAGGCTATGCTTAAGGCTAAGAGTGAGGATGGGAGGATGTTGAGCGAGGAGGAGTTGGCTTCTAATGCGAGGCTGTTGGTTTTGGCTGGGAGCGAGACCACGGCTACGGCGTTGACGGGGGCGGCGTATTTTTTGGCGACACATCCGGATGTGCAGAGGAAGCTGGCTGAAGAGGTCAGGTCGAGTTTCAAGGCGGAGGGAAAGATTGATTACTTTAGTGTCAATCAGCTCAAGTACATGCTGGCGGTGTTGGATGAGTCGATGAGGATGTATCCGCCGGTTCCGAGCAACCTGCCTAGGGTTTGTATGCCGGGAGGGGACGTCATCTTGGGCTATCGGGTGCCCGAAGGGGTGAGTCTACAATTTACATTTGCTTTTCTGACTACCTGTTTTGACGACCCAGGCGGAGAAGAGGAACGACAGCTCACACCGATGTAGACTCACCTAGACATCTGGCCGTGGGCCATGAACTACTCGTCGCGGAACTTCACCTCTCCTAACGAGTTCATCCCCGAACGCTGGCTCGACCAGGACGAGCACAAGGGCCGGCGTTTCGACAAGGAGAGACACTCGGCATTCCAGCCATTCTCTGTCGGACCACGCAACTGCATTGGCAAGAAGTACTGCCCCCTGACTCCCGGTCTACTTCAGGTTGGTACTGATTAAATCCGTGTTTTGTTTAGCCTGGCCTATGTCGAGATGAGGTTGATCCTAGCCAGACTTCTCTGGAACTTTGACTTGTCCCTGGCAGATGAAGCATCTACGCAGTTGACCAATGGCCAAATCTTTAGTTTATGGGTCAAGAAGCCGCTCAATGTGCGGCTGACTCCGGTTGTCAGAAGTCATGTCTAGGGGTGTTGTCACTGGGCTACCTGAGGTTGGATTTGAGGGAGAATTGATTGCAGTACGTCACGTTTGTCTGTTGAATGCGGAGATTCACTTATGTTGCGGTATATGTAGGGGGGTAATGCGTCGAATTAGTCGTGGCTAGCTAAGTTCTTTGGCTGGAAGCCGAGAAAAGAACGAAAGCAGGAAGAGCTCCAGTACCATGTCCTTGCCTTAACGATGCCCCTATTCGAGGTACGTGGTGGGCAAGCGGTCACTGCTGTGTGGTGTCAGTAAGTAAGTATATTATGGGGGTAGGGGGTTTTGGGACAAAGGGAATAAACTCACCTCAACTGTTTTGCCCACATGACATGGGCCCATCCCATCACTCAATCGTGATTTTGTGCGTATACTGGATGGTACCGTCGACAAGAGCCGAGTCCCATTCGTCGTATGGCTGAGTCTGAAGAACCCTGACCACTTTAGCTGTGCCAGTGGTGTGCTTGTTGAGGTAAGCAACGAAGTTCTCAAGTCGTCGTCGGCGAACAGTGGGGAGCAGGATTTCCCTGTCCTTGTCCCAAGGGCCAAGCTCCTTCATCCATGTCGCCAGTGTTTCTGCCTCTTTAGCGTCGATCTCGCCGGGGCTTCCGTTTCTGGCAGCCATTATGGCTCCCTTGACGATGTTGTAGCTGTCGCTGCGTGTTAGTGAGCGCCACATGGTGAACTGGATATGTTTGCAAGTTCGAATCACTTACTAGGTGGTAGTTTGTTTCTTGCAAACTGAGTTGGAAGTAAACTTGTTAATGAGTAAAGGCAAACTCGGTAACCTTTTATAACGAGGATGGAGGTGAACACGGTGGTTATACGCGTTCTGGCTTGTTGCTGCGTTTGCACAGTTTTGAACCACGTGAATGCCATTGTTCGGATGATAGGAGAACTGAGTCTTGACAACAATCACATTGAGTCAAACCGATATCCCTCAGTAGGGCTCTGAAACCATGACCTTTGTTCCATCTGATGAGATCAAAAGTACCTACATGACCAACTTGAACACATCGCGAAACATGAACCCAAACGTAAACAAAGACCCTATGACGCAACCCAGCCTTCGTTTCATCCCGCCTAGTACTTCTTCCTTGCCGCAAAACGCATTTCGGAATGTTCCACATCAAAGACAGCCACAACGTTCGTGAGAAACGTCACACCAAGCACATGGGGCGGGCTGTCAGCGTCCGTGACACCAACACGGCACCACTCGCCAGTCGGATCCCTGACTGTCTGGCGCAGCAAGTCCTCGGGTGCAATGTAGAATGTCGACTCGCCAATCTCCACTCCAAACGTTGGCACCGTCGCGTTGCAGCGAGCGTAGAACAAGCCTGTTGAGCTGAGGTACTCCGCCGGGGGGTCGAAGGCGGCGTACAGTTGGTTGACGAGATCTGGTATCCAAGGGTTAGTACCACGGATCACTTGGAATAACGGACGACTCCGGGCGCGGAAGACTTACTAACGGGTAAAACACTCAAGGTCGACCCAGCATCAATCAGCACCGGCAACTGCGTGGTATTCCTCGCCAACCCGCCCACACCACTTCCCCCAGGCCCGACAACAAACGCATCCGGCTTGATGATATACATGCCCTTCTCATCCGTCTCAAACCCCCACTGCGGGACGGCATCCATACCATGAATCGGCGTGCGCGCCCAACTTCCCTCCTCAAACTCCACCGGCGGCAGTCCCCCCAGGGCCAAATACGACTCCTTCTTCAACCCCTGCGGCATCCCGGACACGCCCCGATCCTCACTCCGACTCAACGCAATACTAAAAACAGGCTCAATATCCCCCGCCTTCCACATGGTCGTAAACACAGGATCATACGGCGGCTGGTTCTGGTCCGCCCCGTCCAGGCTGGTCAGGTACGGATACCCCAACCCAAGCAGGCCCGACGTCTGCCCGTCGCCGCGCCAGTACGTGTAATTGACGATGGCGATGCGCTGGTTGTGCGCCGTCACCCCGCCGATGGTGACGTCTTCACGTCCGTAGTAGCCTGCCACGAAAGTACCGTCGACGTAGGATCGTACGAAGGGGGGCAGGTCGGGGATGGTGCCCCCGGAGAGGTTTCCCTTGAAGCCTGAGCCGAGGCCGCAGTTGGGTTTCTGTGCATGGCATTGTGAGTAAGTTAAACTCCGGTCATGTACTCAGGCCGGGGGGGGGGGGGGGGGGGGGGGGGGGGGGGGGGGGGGGGATGACTGGACTTACACCTCCCGGATAATCAAACCAAAACGACACGCACTCATACGGCTCCTGCACCAGCCAGGTATCACTCGACCCTGTGTCCACACTGACCGGGATGGTCTGATTTCCGACAATGAGGTCAATGATATAGTACACATCATGAACATTCCTCAAGTTCGTCGGACTACTGCCAGCAGCTCTGCGACGGATATGGTGGTCTGGCGCGGGCGGGATGTCATGTTTTCGCATTGGTATGACATGTCTGGTGACGGCGTCAGTAAACCCGGCGGCGCGGACGCGTGACGGCTTGGAGGCATCCCTTTCCCTGGGCAGGCCCGCCGCCGAGGTCAACGCCACGGTTAGCGATGAGGCAAGCGTCAAAAGTATGGTTTTCATGGTGTTGGCGGTCTTTGTGGTCCTGGTTTCGCAGGACTAATCGAAAGGGACATGGCTTCGAAGGTGTCATGAGGGGCAGGGGATCAAGTACTACTAGTACTGGCAAAGTAGGATTGTGATCGCGGCAGATCGTCCTTGTATCGCGAGGGTGGGAGCCGATTGCTGTTCTGCATGGCTGTCGATCCTATTTGCCGGCATTAAGGGAATTTGGGAGCTAGATTGCAACTATAGTGTGGCCTGGACGGCGTGATCAGATGTATGTCCGGGAATGCTTGGCGGTCCCCGAGAGGCGGCAGTTTAGCCTGTACTCCTAACTTCAGAGTCAGTGGTCATGCCACTCCTATAAGGGAGAAAGATGATCAGTACTTCTTACCTGACTTGAAGTTTATTGGAGCATACATCGAATGGGATGACCGGATGGATAACGCCTGACCCCCTTTTCCCCTTTCCGACCCCGATACTATCACAGCCCCTGAAGTAAACAAACAAGTAGTGTGCACCCTTTCTACCCACACTGAACTTATTGCCAGAAGACCGTCTTAGACCTCATGGAACAGTAAGCAAGTAATTCTGTACAATACAAGGAGCTCACATGTGCTCGGAGCTCATTGAAACTTGCATGCCTCGTTGTCAAGCAAGCCCCAATGATTCCGCCCCAACCCCTCGCTGTCAACAGTGCCTTTCAGAAACTCCATGGCGACGAGGAATCCATTCCGCAGCGGTTTCAGTGATCCACACTACAATAGAGCCCAGACGTGTTGGTTGCCCTCCATCTAGTGTATGTATTGTACACCCGACATGACTCATATCCTCTAATTCTTCATAAGCACTCCGGGGTATTTTAACTTGACCAGAAAAACGACGAGAAACGACCATATCACTACAAGATCTCACTAATCTTCTTCTCCACAGGCTCCGACCCGTCATCGCTGGAGCAATAGCTCTTCTTGAACCCATGATGGCCCTGTCCGCTAACACTGACAGGATCCGGGATTGGCGCTGGGCGGTCTTCAATCTCAATATGATCATCATCGAGCGCCTCCTCAGAGATCATCTTGGGGTTGAACGCCAGTGCACCCTTCGGCACAAACGTCGCAGCGAGAACCAGCGCACAAATGATCGTAAACTGCACGCCGGCCGTATACACTAGACCACTGCGGATGGTCCCGCCGCCCCGGGTGCCGCCGCTGCTGTTGTACACGCCATCGAGATAGCGGCCCAAGAGCGTGCCCGATATCGCGTATGTGACGATGTAGAAGGAATAGAGGAAGGCCATGACCGCGCCAAGCGCCGACACGTCCTTGTTCTGAGACTCGATCCGGGCAAGGGAGGCCTGGATGTAGGCGGCAAGCGACACGTCGCCGGCGGCCCAGCCGAAGGAGATGGGGGTAAAGGTCGCAGCGACGATCCATGCCTGGCCTACCTGGCCTGAAGGGGGGTACCAGTAGGGGATGTACCAGACGACCAGGAGGAGCAGGGCGTCCAAGCGCAGCCATGGCATGGGGGTCTGAATGGCGTTGGTGAATAGGAGCACAGACAGGGCACCAAGCAACTCGCCAAGGTTGGACCCGCCGACTATGATTTGCGCCCATGCTGATTCCCCGAGGTAGCGTCGGGCGACTTGGGGGGCAATCCCGTTTTCGAGGTATCGGTGGGCGTAGAGGGCAACGGCGTAGCCGGGAACGAGCCAGATGAACTTGCGTGAGGTGAAGAGAATCCTGGCTCCAACCCAGACAGACTGGCCGAAGAGATACAGACCACCAAACGCTGCCTTCCAGTACGCCGGCCTGTTGTGGAGGGTGGTGTGCTTCTCACGCTTGAAACCGAGCTCGCCAACGAAGAACCAAGCAATGGCGCACAGCAGGAAACAAATGGGCGTGATGATGAAGGCCATGTTGTTTCCTAGCTGCGGAATGATGACCAGGCCGGTGACGAAGGCGCCTGCGGTACCCGAAATCTCGTAAAAGATATGAACCTGATGCTGCTGTTAGCCGGGCCCGATCTGCGGTCTGGGCTGCCGATGGAGTCTCACGAGTGAATCCATCTTCTTCAGCTTCTGTACGTTTCCTCCAACGATATCGCGGGGAATGACTCTGCGGATGAGCTCGACCATGCCGTAGGCGATGCCACTGACGCAGTACACGGGGATCATGGCGTCGGTATTGTACCTGACGGATCGTCAGCTTGAAGCACTGCTTTGTTGAAGCCTCAATGGTTGACCTACGTCCCGTAGTAGGACCATTCATTCTTGGGGTGATTCGTGCGGTCTTTGGTTTCTGTTAGTGACCCAAACTCTGCCCCAAGGCCGGGCCTGGTACAAGTATGTACATACAAGCAGCTGGCATAAAGGTACCGCCCGTGGCGGCGTCGATGATGAGCAAAAGGGCCGAGCAAACACCAAATACGACAATAGCGCAGGCCAGTACATTCTTGGTGGGATATCTCTTGACCTGTACCACTTTGTCAGGTGGACTGTGACCCGGTGACGTACCGCGAGGGTACCGGGACGGTTCATACCAATGGGCCGATCAAGATGGAACCAATACACTGGCAAGCTTGGTTCAGGCCGGTGAGAAGGCCGACGCGCTCAAAGGTGCGGCTCGGGGTATGGTCGCGGATGGCTTCATAGTCGTAGCGGTTGGTTGCCAGAGCCACTACCGAGCCATTAAAGGCCTCAAGGCCGAACTTGTAGAGCATGATGCCGGCGATGTAGATGGCAATGTTGCGGCGCTCCTGGGGCGTGAATGCCCTCAGGCTCTGTCTGAGGTCTGCGAAGTACCCCATGCTGGGCGGTAGGTACGGCCAGACGCGGTCAGAGACCGAACAGGGCAAAAGGGGTTCTGAGGGGCGGACGAGGCTCGTCTCAGCAAGTTATACATTCGGATAAGGTACTAAGGATAGGTATTCGAGGGGCACCTTCACCGGAGCCCACTAGGCAAATGCCAAGCTGCACCCGAAGTTGGGGACACCGAGTCTCGATCTAGGTAAAGACCAGCTCCTCATTCGCCCGTGGGGGTCGTGGCTTGATCAAAGTGCAAAATGCAAGCGACCTGGAGGAGAGACCGTCTGCAACGTCGAGTTTAGGGCACGCTGCATTATGACCCCAGACCCTGAAAGTCCATGAATGGCGTCGCTACTGCAAGTTCTCGGAGACGACCCTGTGGTCCCTTGTCCTACAGATCGAAAACACGTGCAGCAGACCCTATCAACATGGCAGAGCGGAGTTATTGGATATGATGCCATCTCTGGCTCTCAGCCCGCGACCGGGTTGTTGGCGACATCCTGACAAGGCAGACAGACCGAGCCCCGAAGCCGCATCAAATATCGCATCAAATTGATAGTGTCCCGCTTCTCGAGCTCGAAGCTCCTTGTAGTCGCGCGACAGATTTCCATTGAGGGGACTGTGAGCCGTGTAGGGCGACATTGCCGGCCGTCCTGAGAATTCGCCCATTTGATGTGGTCGCGGTCGTGGCCGCAGAGCCAGCGGATTGCGCACGTGGGCTTGGCATTGGAGGAGGGCAAGCGAGAATCACCAAACACGAGCAATGAGCATTGCATCCCAGAAATCTCGACAAAATGCACCTCAAATGCACCAAGACCGAGGGGCACTTTCACAAGACACAATCTCTGACGCCACAGCGTAATGGAGGAGCAGCCAAGGAAGCAGCCAAGAGGCATACAAAACGTCACCGGTAATGTGCTGCAGCGGAAGGAGCTGAGGTGGTAGGGGAAATTCAGGGGAAGCAGCAGCCCTCTGTGATGTGCCGCGGGCCCGCGGCAAGCAGCAGGTGGCGGGACTTGAGCCCTCAGCTCCAGCCACAACAGTGACGACCTGCAGTGGTGCCTGCGCTTGCCCAACCATCAGGGTGCGGCAGTGGCTAACGTAACCGCGGGGAAGAAGGAAGTACCCAGGTATCTTTCAAAAGTTGAAACGTTTCAGACAGTGTGATTGGCACATGCGAACTGTGTATTCGCATAATTTGGGGGCGCGAAGGGTGCACTGAGCCGCACTGTGTACTGTAACGTACCGTACCACTAGTACGAAGCCCACCAAAGCAGATCGTGGCCGAGTGCGACGTCCTGATTCGACGCCGCTATCACAAACCTTCCTGTTCAACTCGGTTCAACGATTGCTGGGCCCACCCAATCTATCGACCGACAAAACCCCCACTTGACGTTCTGTGAAACCGGTCCTCAATATTGTCCACCGGGTGCATCGATCGATTGGACGAATATGTTGGTACGATACCAAGAAAATCACCAGGTTGGGTCTTTCCCGTGCCCTGCGCGCCAGCGCCTCGGGTCTCGGCAGAAAAGCAGCATTGCATCCAAATGCAACCCTCATCGCATGATGGATCCAACAGCTCCCAGATAACCCCAGAGCTCCAGGGTACCATGTGTGTCGGCAGCATCCCATCGACGTCTTTGCTTCTTGCTCCCGCATCCTTGGGGCACGACAGACGCTGTGCCTGCTCCTCCCGCGTCTGTGCTCAAACAGCTCTCCTGCTGCGTCATCTCTGAGGATCGCAATAATATCTGCTTGATATAAACTTCAAACATTCCCTTGCTGTGTTTCGCTATGGCAGTCGATCCTGAAGAGCTCCTTTTACGACCATTGCGGGATGTGGTCGCCCTGGGGACCACCGCCGTTGCCAATGCCTCCACTTCCCATGCCGATCCCATGCTCCGGGCCGCCCAGGCCCTGGTTCGCGAAGGCGAGCGCGCGCTCAAAAAGGTGCAATTGGTGTGGAACGAGCAAGTAGAAAAACATGGCGACGCCTTCAAGCAAGTCATGGTTCAGCAGTGTACGAGCAACCGAAACCAGATCGTGCGGGTACCCATCGTCCATAAGCTCACACGTCACTCCTAATTAGCTTCGATCGAGAAGAGGCGACTGCACATCGAAGACCTCCTATGGGACTTTGATGATGTCACCCAACCAGACGAATTCGATCAGGACCGGTATTCCGCTCTCCAGTCAGCCACCAAGGCACTTGCCCTCGACATCGTAGAAAACGCGAAGCGCCTGAAGCTGGATACCTCAGAACCTCCACCGATACCTCTCGGCGGATTCCCTCCGCTGCCTCCTATCCCTTCCAATCGACCTGATTCACGGACTGGCTTCGTCCAGCGACCGCAATCTGCCCGCTCTGTCCGTCCTAGGACCTTGTCCAGGTCGGATCTCCCTCGGAGAGGCACTACTTCCTCCTCACATGGGTCTGTGGGAGCCGCAGAGAGAAGAGGACAGACCACGCCACGCTATAGTGACACACCTCAAGACCCGTGTTTATTTGATGTTAGACATCAGGCGCTTCACGCACTTTCGCCAAGTTCGGACGATCTCTCCGGCCGGCCGGGTAGTCCAAGGACAGATGCACAAGCCGCAGCGACGGCAAAGATCGATTGGGGTTCAACTCCAGTCGCCTGGAATTCCCACCAGCAACCGAATACCGGCGGCACTTCTCACGATGTACTCACGCCGCCATCATCTCCGGGAACTGCGCCCTTTTCAGCACGATTCCGTGATCTCAACCTGGACACCTCAGTACGCCCCACCCACCTCCGTGATTCGGTCCCGACACCGGGCACACCAAACAATCGGGGGTCGGTCGTTTCCAAAACCAGCAGTATAACCTCGTCATCCGCATTGCTGGGCAGTCTGGACTCGCTCGTCATCGCCGATGAGACGAGCCAAGGCAACCCCCAGCCGACCGCCACACAGCTCGCAAAGGTCAACACGTATGAAACCGCGTCTAGCCGCGCCGTGAGCGAGGAGGAACCGGCATTAGTAGGGTTCGCGGATTTCCTCAAGGAACCTGGCGAGGGCGCTGAGCAGCGGAGATCTCAGAATAGAAACTCCCGTCCCGCAGAGACAGCTATTCAAGAGGACAGCACATATCTGAAGCTCAAGGGGCTTTGCAAGGGCGCTGTTAGATTCCGAAAGGATGGCCACTGGGGCAGTATCAAGCTTACTACCGAGTACGATTATGGTGGGGGCGACGCCATGAGCGGTGGTGGAGACATGTTGAGGGCATCTGACGGCATCGTGATTCCGCTCCAGTATGAGGTCGTGGCAAAGGTCGGCGCATGCGGCGATTGCGGGTACGCCCACCAACTGGAGGAGGTGAAGCTTGACAAGAGCGATAGACGTATGACACCTTGCTTGAAGTTCTCTTTGACGTCTATCAGACCGGATACTGACTAAATACCTTCTGCAGCTGACGGAGTCCGTACCTCAGAGTGTGGAGCCCGCTACCGCCTACGACTGTTGTTCAAGGCCCATCTTAAGGAGGGAATCAGTGCAGAATCCTGCTACGCCTGTCTGTGGTGTGTGCAGGCCGGCGCTACGGTTCGAGAAGGGGATGCCACTGTTTTCCGCTCCGCCGACGATCTCCTTCGCCATCTGGCTCGCCATCCACAACCGCTTCCGCATGTCAAAGGCGTTTCGGTACGCTATGGCCCGCTAGCAGAATCCGACACGCACGATTTCGATCTACATCTGCCCGACGCCCCCATCCCGGTGCCTATGCCGGATAACGTAGGTAGGCTGGCAACGGCAACCGCAACGAGGGACCATTACCGGCGATCCGGACGGGGCAAACTAGATAAGCCTCCTCACTATGACGGCGAGATGCTCGAGTTTATGCAAGGTGCGCGGATTGTGGGCGTCATATTTCCCGAGAAGTGGGGCGGCAAATGGTGTTTGGGGAGGCACGACGGCATGTTTGGAGCTTTTCCAACAAAGGTTGTCGAGATCAGGCCTCCGCAGGCAAACGAGGTGCCCATGGGCGGCGAGAGTGGCATGAGTGTGACAACAAGGTGGAAGTGGCAGCCACCTAGCACTGGGGATACCCCGTGGCTTTCGTTTGGCAAGGGCGAGGTCATCACGAATGTCCAATGTAAGCCCAAAACCTTTTCTCTTTGTTCTCCTACGACCAGTCCACTGACCATCCGCAGCGCTCTACGCTGACCACTGGTGTTGGTCTGGGACAAATAGCAAAGGGAAGACAGGCGTATTCCCCCAATCGCATATTGACTTGCAGACACTAAGGGGGCAAGACGCCGAGGGGAGCAAGAAGAAGAGCCGGGGTAGAGGCTTCTTCGGGTACCGATCCAATAGCACGTCCGAACCGTCCACTTCCAAAGGGAACAGGAATTCACTTCTCCAATAGACTCCGAGACTCGACTCTTGGAGCTTTAGCCTAGAACTATCGACATGTTAGAATCTCTCATGGTTTCCAATCCGCGAACAACCCGTCCAGCTGCTCGTGCCGCCGGACGGCATCATCGAAAGTCACATAACGCGGTGGGGTTCCGCTCTTCTTCGCCTCCACGAACGCCTCGTACAGGCTGCCGATATTCCTCGCGGGTACTGGCAGCTCCTGTTGCCACTTTTCCCAGTCCCACTCGACCTTGTCGACCGTGTTTGTTGCGAAGTCATGGATTTCGATGACGCGAGCCGAGGGGTTGCCAACATGGATGAAGCCCATGTCCCTGGATACGATTCTGATTTCACCCTTTTCGCCGTGGATGGTCCACTGCAGGGCCGGCTCCCCGGAGAAGGGCTGGCCGCGGCGCGTGCGGTAGTGCAGAGTGGCATTCTTCTGCGTGATGCTGGACTCATCCCATCGCCCTGAAACGAGGATCAGATCTGGAATTTCGGATTGGATGGTTCGGGTGATGGTGTTGCTGCTGGTATCCCGGATGGGGATTTCAGGGCGCTGCAGGTGCAGGTCGGCTTTGGCTGAGGCCAAGTCGCCGAGGACGGATTGGACGAGGTGGAGTGCTAGATATCTGTCAGTATACTACATACTGGTACCTCTCAGGCTCGCAGGCGGCGTTGAGGATTCGAGGTCAGGAACTTACTATGCATAACCCCAATGGCGACGATATTCCCTCCATACTTCCTCTCCGCAAAATACGCCAGCTTGTCCGGCAGCTCCGCTCTATCATTCGTGCCGCCAAACACACGCAGCTCGGAGCTCAACACCTTGCCAATCCTCCCTTCCTCCAACAACTGCCTCAGTTTTGCAGCCACGGGCGCCGCGCCCCCTTGCAGCCCGACAATCCCGCGCCCACCAGCCTTCTTTATCTCCTCGGCTAGCACCCGCGCGTGATGCGTGTCGTGCGCCAAAGGCCACTCGACAAACACGTCCTTGCCGGCTTTCACGGAGGGGAGCACGGTGTCGAAATGGGTGTCGACCCGCGTGTTGCAGACGACCAGGTCGACGGAGGGGTCGGCGGCGAGGGCGGCCGGGTCGCCGTAGGTTTTGATTTGGGATGGATGGAGGTTGTAGGCTGCCACGGCGCGCTCTGCGGCGGAGGTGGACGAGTTGAGAAGGGCGGTGATGGTGTATCTGCTTCGGCCGGTGGGGGAGAGCAGGTAGGGGAGGTGCGCGTTTGCTGCCCACGCTGTGGCTGCTGAGGCGGAGAGGCCGATTAGGCCGACACGGATCGGGGGGGTTTGGGTGGTCATTTTGTTGGGGGTAGGGTTAGGGTCGGGGTTTGGGCCGTCAGGGTTTGGGTTTGCGGTAAACTGGCTTAAGGGGGTGAGTTCGAGCTTGGGAGGCGGGAGTCAATGTCGACGCTCGGTTAACTTCAAGTGGTACAGGTATATATTATGGCCATCAAACGGTTACGGTTCAAGATCGATATTAGTAATGCGGAGGTGAGCTTGTCGGGGTTAGAAGTTTAGAAATCAGAATCCCTCGCACTCGCGACTCGCGATTGGTAATCCAGCTGTGTATAACCGACGACCTAACCCCTCCCGTGAGATTGACATCATCTGCTAACCAAGGGACTACTTTGGGTAGAGGAGAGTACTGCTAGACTGATGCATGCCAAAATGGCCTTGACAGAGTGTTGCGTGTAGGTAGTAGGTATGTACGGTGGTTCTAGTAGAGTACCTTAGGTATGGAGTATGGCGTGCAATTGCGTGATATCATGCCTCGACTCAGAGTGTTAGAGAGGTTATACATACGCGTTCATGTTGAGCTCTGAGCAACAAGCTCTACATAGCTGAGGGGGTATACCGTCTCCTGAGATTCCTCCTCTCCGAAGTTGTTTTTGAGTAGGACTGGACATACCAATATCTGCGTGCATGAACCCCTGATACTAGGCACTTCTCTGACGGGCTCAGGCAGCTAATGTTGATCACTTTCGAACATGTACGCTGTCCAATGTACCTAATGTACACACATACTAAATAGTACATACATGTAAGTCATGCCAGGTTACAAGCATCTGATCTGCCACCAGCTTTTGTACTGGTACAGTACAGTTTTAATCCGCAGTACGTTCATGATCCCACAGGTATTGCTCTCTGGATTAGTGGTCATTTTTCACAGTTAAGTGGAAAGGGTCGGAACAAACTTATGAGGGAAAGGTGTGAATTCAGCTACTCTACATCCTCAGCGCCTTGTGGCTGCTGGGCTAGTAGCTCAGAAAGAAAGGTGACCCCTGCTGTGTCAGGCGTCAGTGAGTGAGCGAAGGAGAATGGAAAACCCCCTAAGGGGCAGGATAGCGCCTACCGGTACCGCACTCAATGTTGTAGACGGTGTCCGGAAGACGGCCGTTGGTTGGACCCAGCTGATGAGGGCAGCTGGGCTGGTTGCTAACGGCCAGGTTTAGAGAGCAGCGCTCGTTCCAACCCCAATGGCACACCGGGTCCTGGATATTCCAGAGCCGGTAGTTGCGCTCGACCCAGCTGCCAGGCTGGTTGATGCAGCTGGCAACATAGTTCATTGAGTTGGAGGCAGAGAGACCCAGGCCGTCGTTGCCGAAGAGGAGATGGCGGCATTCGTCGGCTGGGACGTTCTGGACGTCCATGGGGAAGGCTCCGCCGGTGATGGGCTGGTCCCTGGCACTGCGACCAGTGACCAGGAAATTCCAGGCGTCATACGAGATGTCGTATGCGCCGCCGGACTGGTCAATGCGGAGCAAGTGGAGGGAGCGGCCGCCATAGCTGACCCGGATGCAGATATTGTTGCAGTCTACTGCCTGTGGAAAGTAGGCCACACGATTGGTGTCTATCTTGCATCCAAGGACACCGACGAACGAGCTGTATTGCTCATGCGGGGTGACCCCGCGGATCTCAGCATTCGCTAGACCCGCCAGAGGGGCCAGCAGAGTGGTAATGGAGGAGTACCGCATATTTGCGGCGGTGGTGGAGAGTGAGTGGTGGTTGAAGGTGAGTGGTGGTTGAAGGCGAGTGGTGGTTGAAGGTGAGTGGTGGTTGAAGGTGAGTGGTGGTTGAAGTGATAGACGAATGCTTGACGGCTTTGTCGTTTCCAGGTGTGGATGCTGAGAACTGCGTTGTGAGATTCGTGATGAGAATTCGTCGAGAGTTTGGGAAGAGAACGATCTTTTATATCCATGATGGCTCTGGTTCCCGGTAGACTGGACATCCTGATATTCTAGCTGTTATAGGAGTTGTTCCTCGTCTCTTAGCAAAACAGTTCGGCCACTCAGGAGACATCTCTGATGTTCAAGGGCATCTGTTAGCCCAAGAAGTGGCATAGAGCATGACTCCGTGTTACGAACAAAGGGAGGCAGTAGGCGTTGTTCATGGACTGCTACCTCAACTGTTAGACGTTGTCTCTGAACAGCACTAGATCTTCCCAGAACACCTGGCGAACCTCTGAGTTGCAGGGACTGCTTGTTCCAACCCTGTTCAACCCTGTATTGTATGGGTTAGGCTGTATGTAACCAATGAAACCGCTTCGACCTCTGTTTAATACCAAGCATCAGCATATCTGTTTTAACCCCTTGGTAGCTAGAAGGCCGAGCTGATTGCAAGTTACCTATCTGGGACATTCACATTCCAGATTGGGTACCCATGTGTCTGATAAAGGTTATAGGGTCAAGAGACTCACGAATAGCCATCGACATGGGTTTCTGCATGTCAACCAAACGTCGTACCAGTCGTGGTCCTTCTCAAGACCAATCATGTGCTGAGTTGCTGCCCATGGCATCGACGTTGAATGCTCGTAGCTGGATCCGGATTTCGTGCCGATCCGACGTTGAACTTGTATACCTATTCACGAGCTGTAGGGTGAAAGTCCCAGGTATATAGCAACTGAACAAAATGAAAGCGGGTAAGTGCACTACTTCGGAGGTAGTCGCCAAAAGTTTAAGTAAATAGGACAGGTACTATATAGGAAGGCCTTCAGGTTAGATGCTATCTTGTGGCCACCTCAACAGTGTTGTTGAGAGAAATGAGGAAATCCGAGTGGGTGTCTGTGAGGATGTGCATATATAGGTAGGTACCTTCCCTAGGCGGTGAGGATGTCTGCCTCTCAAACCTTGGACAAAGAGCTCTAAGACACTCCAAGGTTCAAACGACCCAACCCACAACCGTTTCCACACCTGACCGGCAGCCCCTTAACACCTTTAACACCAGCTTCCTCTGCTCCTCATACGCAAACTCAATCTCCCTCCCACCACAAGAACCCGCCATGACCTCCTCCTCACTCGCCCAGACGGCATCACAATGCTCCGCAGGATCCAACCGCACCCCAAGCACCCCTTCACCACATCCCGAACCCCCTTCAACTTCCAAATTATCCCCACTCTGAACCTCAACCTCAACCAGAAAAGTAATCTTCCTCCACCGCCACCCCTCCTCCTTCCCCTCAAACTCAGTCTGATCCACAACCCCCAACACGCGTGTCACAACCAAGCCAGTCTCCTCCAGCACCTCACGGCAGACGGCGTGGAGAACACTCTCGTCGGCATCATCGACACAGCCGCCGGGGCATTCCCACTTGAGCGGGAACCCGTCGTGCGCGGCGCGCTGGATGAGCAGGACGCGGTCGTGGTGGTTGGTGATTACCGCGCCGACGACGAGTTTGGTTGCCCCTGGGTTGGAGGTGAGGTAGGTTGCTGGGGACGTGTTGTATGGGAGTAGGAAGGGTGGAAATGTGAAGGACATGATGGGGGACACGGAGGGTTCTGGATGGCAGGGGGGCGCCGGCTCGCGTGGTGAGGCGGGATCGGAGGGAGTACAAATGTCAGATAAGGTATTTTAAGTAATGGAGGGTATGTTGGCGGACTTGTTGTGTCTGGTCTTCAAGTTGGATAAGAAGTTTGTATCGCACGAAATCTTGAAGCAAGACGGTGTGGTTGACGAGAATGAGAGTACCTATCCTTCTTCATTGCGGATCAGTAAGAAGTATCATTGTCTTATGACGGACTGTTAAATGCTTGCAAGATCGAGGGCGGGCCTGGCCTTGACGCGTAATTGAGCCAGGCAGCTGAGAACGAATGTTGATGCCTACGACCTAGACCACCAGGATAACGACTGGAGTAGTGCCCGACTTCTACTACAGGAGGTTGCAGAGGGCTCCGAGCAGAGCCTCAACGCGCCTGATTTTTGACTTGAGGTTGAACGACTAGGCTAGTAGTAGGCGCCTCAAAGGCTCAAAACGATTGAGAGTCTTACTCAGTGAAAGAAATGTCTCGGCCTGACTTTGTTCCGGAAATAGTCTTATTCTTAGCTACCTATGTCAAGCGGGAGAATTAGTGAGTGCTATGAGTTACAGTCTGAATCAAGGTAAGCCATTGTAGCCACTTCCAAGATAGATGTATTGAATGACACACAGAGCCTAAGGTCCAGTCGCTACTGGTCCTGCGTCTCCGCAAGGCGGTAGATGTGACGCTGTTGACATCTCCTGTAGTCTGTATTTACCAAGGGTGTTGCGTCTCGCAATAGGGCGTGATGCTTGATGATGATAGAGAAGAAAATGGGTTGGGAGGTCCTATAGAACCCGGTTGCTTGGAATCGCACATAATGTCAGCCACGGTGGTCATGGCATGGATATTTCGGCTTGAGCATGGAATCAACATGATTTCATCACTCAGGACAATGCAGTCGGGCTTGGTCCAGCGCATAGTTGAGTCCCGGTGCCACGGGCACGGGGCGGGTGTCACGGTAGCTAAGACGATATCCAGAGTTGACTCAGGTAATGTAGCATCGGTCACCTGATGCTTTCCATCCGGAGACGGCATTGCCTTCGTGCTTACGGGACTGTCAAACTGTCAAGTCAGGTACATTTCCAGCGTTGCACTGGTCACATCGCCCAGCTCCACAGCTAGGATCATGGCTGGAATGGAGACAGAGACTCGCGGTGGCCCAGGATGCTCGAGCTTTGAAAACCAGACGTCAAGCACACCTTTACTCCATGGCCGCGCAAGCTATGGAGCTGAGGTCCAACTTACAGCCCGCCGCATCAACCTTAAGATGGACCTTGGGCTCCTGCCGCTGCTCTCGCTGCTATATCTCTCCAACGGGCTGGACAGGGGCAACGTCGGCAATGCGCAGACACAGGGTAGGTAGTCCGTCTGGCCTATGCATTGGACCACGACGGTTGGTTCCTGGTCTAATAGGGTGGGCAACTAGGATTTACCGACGACATCGGGGTGCTTCCAAGCGACCTCAACCTCGCTGTATCACTGTTTTTTGTTGGCTTTTTGCTGTTTCAGCCGCTGTCGGTAGGCATCGGTTGGTGGCTAGGCCCGGTGAGATGGATTCCGATTATGATGGTGAGCTGTGGCCAATAAATATGCTATCAACGTATCCAAAGCTAGGCTTACCACTGTGCATTAGGTGTCTTGGGGGACGGGCAACAGCAGGGCACGCGTTCATCCGGGGACGAGGTACCTTAGTATGCCGCCACTTAAAACGCCTTGGCAGTAATTGACAATCCAGGGGCTCTGATTGTTGCACGACTTCTCGTGGGGGTCTTCGAGGCCGGCTTTTACCCTACAGCCGTGGCGTATCTCGCATCATTCTATTCGCGATACGATCTCGGTGTCCGGCTCGCGCTCTTCTATGGGCAGTACAGCATTGCCAACGCCTTCTCCGGGTTGCTGTGTAAGATCTCACTCATCCCTGTCGTGGTGTCCTGCGCATCCTCTGCTGAGTGTGGACTGAGACTGATCAACACGTAATCCAGCATACGCCATCTTTTCGATTCGCCACCCGATTCTCAAGGGCTGGCAGCTCCTCTTCATATTGGAGGGCGTGCTTACGTGCGGGCTGGCGCTGCTGGCATGGTGTTGGCTCCCGGAGGCACCAGGCACCGCGTGGTTCCTCACCGAGGACGAGCGCGTTTTTGCTGCAGAGAGGGCACAGGCCGAGTCTGTTGACCAGGCCGGGGCTCCCAGAATTTCGAGGAGGGATATCGTGGAGACAGCGAAGGACTGGAAGCTCTGGTTTGCTCTAGTGATGAACATCTGCGCGAGCGTCCCTGCCAGCGCGTTTGCCGTGTTTTTGCCGCTGGTGGTGCAAGGAATGGGATACCAGGCGGTCGAGGCCAATTTGGTAAGCAACGACCTTGTCGGCCGTCCAGTGGAATGCATGCATGAAGGAAGATCGGCTAAAGCGCAGGCAAAACTTGAACCAGATGTCGGTCCCGCCGGCCGTGTGCGGAGCCGTTGGCCTCTACCTGTTCGCACTCAGCTCGGATCGGCGGCAGGAGCGGGGCTACCACATCATGGTTGCCATGGCGGTAGTTCTGGCCGGGCTGATCGCTGTCGTCATGTCGGCGACAGACACGGCCAGGTATGCGTCGCTCTGCCTGACCCTCTTTGGGAGCGGCGTGCCACCCCCACTCACGGCGGCTTGGCTCAGCGGCAACACACCGACGCAGGGCAAACGCGCACTGGTAATGGGCGTCAACGGCTGGGGAAATGTCGCGGGCATTATTGGGGCGCAGCTGTTCACGCCCGAGCACGCGCCAGAGTACCACACGCCGTTTCGCGCGACGCTGGCATTTGTTGCCGCGGCCCTGGCCTGTGTTTGGGCGTATCGGGCCGCGCTGCAGTCGGTCAACAGGCGCCGGGCAGCAATTAGGGCCTCGAAAACCAGCGACGAGATCGACGCGGAGCGCTGCAACAACGTTAGATACGCTGACCGAAAATGGACGTTTGCATATGGGCTGTAAGCCGGCAAGGACGGCCTGCACTTCTGGTTTGTCATTCGGCTGATCAGGGATTGGCGGTTGGAGATTTCTCAGGTTTTGAAGAAAACCGGCGAGCCCCCACCTAGAGATTTGCTGAAACTTTATTGCAGCATACATAACTTACGGTAATCTTACGCCTAAACTTGCGCTATGCCCCAGCCTTAGCGGTAACTTTACCCGCCCCCTAGCACCCCGCCACAACCCCCAATCAGAGGGCGACCGAGAAGGTCGGGGCGCATGGCACAGGGATGATGGAGTCTGGTGATGAGGGTTCCTCCCGATTGCCCCACTGGCCTCAATTCCCCCCTCCCAGACAAACCCGACCTTGACCCGTTCCTTCCTCCACAACGGGTACGGACACCGAAAGCTTAACTTCTTTGTCTTGTCTTGCCGCAAACAACATCGCACCATCGCCCCGTCCATTTTCACCCCTGGTTGGCGGCTCGATGCTAGAACATGCCGAGGCCTTCGAGTCAATCTGCGCATCCCGACCTATCTTCATCCTCCACGCCGTCACCGCTGCACCGCCTGCCCGTCAATCCCCGCAGGAAGAAAGTCGCACCCGACGAGAGGAAACGAGTGGCAACCGCGTGAGTTTGAGTCGTTCTTTTTCATTTTTTGTCTTCTTTTCTCTTTTCTCCCAGTTTGCTTCATCCTATCCAGTTTCACCGTCATTCAAGATTCGGAAACTTTCTGGCCCGCGCTTCGATCTGACTCTCTCTGCCCCAACCAAACAGCTGCAATAGCTGCAATGTGCGGCGCATTAAATGCAGCGGCGAGCGGCCCTGCCGCCAATGCACCAGCGCTCAGCGCGAGTGCCTGTATCCGGAGCCCGTTGAGAAGGTGACCATTCCCAAGGCCGACTTGGAGGCCTTGCAGCGGCGGTGCGTGTCGCTGGAACGGCAGCTGGCCGCCGTGATGGAGCCCGCTGACGCAAATGCTCGGCATCGCGTTGGCTCACCCTCGGCATGGTCGCGCGCCGAGACGTCTGAGACCTTGTCCATGGATGGCGACACGCACCCGCCTCCCTTCACCGCCGGTGGCATGGACGGCAAGATGCTTGCCGACGCGGCCGGCAATTCCCGCTACCTCGGCGCGACGTCTGGGGCAACCTTCCTCGACACCCTCAAGGAGCTGATCGCGACGGCCACACCCTTGGCCCGTGTGCTTGACCGCGAGACCGGCGAGACTCCCGCGGGGGCCGCATTCCTGAGTTCTGTCGGTCGCTATCAGACGCACGATTCCCGGCCACTCTCAATGCCCTCGGTAGTGGATCCCCTCACCTTGCCGTCCGAAGACGGGATTGCGGCCGTCTTGATGCAGGTCCGCTACTTCATCCAAGACGGCAATGGAGCCTTTCCGAGCGGAGGCGTCCTCTTCTGGCCCTTCAAGGACCCGCAAGCCGTCTCCGCGCTCGCGTCCATACCGAGAGTCCAGGGCTCCGATGGTCTGATGCTGCCTAGCCCGCAACACCGCCCGCTGGCCTTGTATCACGTGGCCTTTGCCATTGCGCGGCTGCTACACCTCCGGGAGCCGAACTCCGCCGTCGATGGCCAGCTCGGCGAGGATCACTTTGCACGGGCTCGCGCACTGCTAGGCAATCTGCTGGACCGCACTTCGTACACGATCGACGATATCGCCGCACTGGCTCTGATGGCGGTGTACATGGTCGAAAATAACCGGAGAGACGCGGCATACATCGCCATCAGCAATGCCATGACTATCAGCGTCATGCACGGCATCCACAGGGGATGGTCAGGTGACGAGGTCGGTGTGAGAACGTTTTGGACCGTCTACGTCCTCGACAGGTAAACCCCTCCCGCCTGGCCTTCAAACTGGTGTTCAATGTTGACCGTGTCCAGATGGTTGGGCTGTGTCATGGGTCGGCCGCCCACAGTCCCTGACGATGCCATCACGCTTCCGCTGCCTAGAGATTGCCCGTAAGTACTGGCGCTTTCCCCACGCTTTACGTCAGCTGACCGGCCTCAAAGCGGGCTTCCCTCGGCGGCGGGACTACGAGCCCATGTGGAGCTATGCAAGATCTCGGACTACATTGTCTACAGCAGCTACCGCGCTGGCGGGCGACCAGGTTTCCCAGCCAAGGCCACAGCTCGTGTAGACAAGGCCCTTCAGATGCTCGAGCACTGGCACGCCAACCTGCCCGCCACTCTTCGCCTGCCTGACAACCTGGACGACCTCTTCCCGTCTGATCTGTTCAGTCAGATCAGCCAGTTTGGTCAGGTCGACGGGTTCAGGCGGGACAGAGCCTGCTGGTCGTTGCACATGAGCTATAACCAGGTGCGTCCTGCCAACGAACAAACCCCTGTGGCTGAGATGTGCTAACAGTGAGTGATGACAGCTTGTGATTCTGTCGGTCCGACCGGCGATGCTCATGGCGGTCTGGAAAGCGGTCGCCAGCATCATCTGCATCAACCAGCCCTTCGACATTGAAGCCCATCCACAGATCGAGCCGATCCGCGCGTGCAGCGACGCAGCACGACGCAACCTCCGGCTGGGTCGGCTGATGCGCCTGCACAGTCCGCGCCAGAAGCTGCTGCTGCCCGATTTGCACAACATCTTCAACGCTGCCGTCGTGCTCACGATGCACCAGTTTGTGTTTGTGAACCTCCGGACCCGAGACATCGACGACATTGGATGGGCCACAGAAGTGTTTGAAGGCGAGGCGGAGACGGGCAGCGCATACGCAAAGGACTGCACGCGCGTCTTGAGGGATCTGCAATATCTTGTCCATCAGCTTCGAAACCCCATTCATGATCCGGGCACCAAGCAGATGCTCTTGTCAAATGAGGGGGCCTTTCGCGACCTGATGCCAGAGGAGATGGCCGCGGTGCGGCGAGGGCCGGAGCGCAGCAACAATGGCCCTGCCGCCCCTGACCTAGCAGAATCCACGAGACGAGGGCAGGGAGACACGCTCTACGAGAGGGCCTCGGCGATTTACCAGACGCTCTCGTCCTGGTGGAAAGCGGATTACATGCAGTTTTATAATTCTTTTCTTTCCTAAGTACCTAGTCTAGCCGGCGCGGGATGATGTCGAATTGGATATGTTTGCAACGCTTACCTTAGATACCAACTTGGAATGCAGACTGCTCTTTTTGTATGAGCCGTTGACTCCTTGAACACTACAAACTGCCGAACAGGCGTGCCTCCTCAGCTTTCAAGCTCTCCGACTGCCGTGCAATCTCTCGTTGCGTCCATTCCCCGTGCTCAGTGACATACACATCTACCAAACTGGCAGGAACCCACTCGAAGAACACATTTCGGATCTCTACCTTGACCCGACCATTCTCATCCTCCATATCCGACTCCTGCCCCAGGTTTTGGAACGCTTCAGCCGCGGCGCGGACTCGTGCCCCATTGTATTCCGCCTGCCACGCCCGACTAACCTGAGCCGGATCATTGTCCTCAACAACATGCTCCTCGGGCCGTCCCGGCGGCGCCACCTTCTCCGACTCACCCAGTACAATAACCCTAGCCTTGTTGTGGGAGACGTGTTTGGCGCTGAGTATGGCGGGGAGTGAGCCCGTTTTGTTGCTGACTGCGCCGGAGGAGGCGATGCGATCTGCGCCCAGGAGGACTAGGTCAATTCCGTTTGTAGATGCGGATGCGGATGCGGATGCGGATGATGCGGATGATGCGGCGAGGCAGGGGGAGGTGTCGGGGTAGAGTGTGATTTTGTGCGGCGGTCTGGGACCTGACACTGTGCCTGGGGAAGCTGTTGAGAGATCTTCGACTAGAGATCCGGCGAGTGATATGCCTTCGAACAGCGGCCTGGACTCGAGGATGTGCAGGTCAAGGGTGAAGCCGGATTCGAGGGCGAGATCGCGCAGGCAGTGGCGGATGGTGGAGCTTTCGGAGAGGGTTAGGATTGAGAGGGGGGAGGGGGAGTGGGAGGTGAGTTTGGATGGGAAGGTTTCTTTGAGATAGGTTGTGAACGCGCGGGAGATGAGGTTGGCTGATGCCTGTCGCGCTTCGATTTGGGTGGTGAGCGACTGGAGGAGGGCATTCCTCCATGAATCCGGTTCGAGTAGCGGCAGATGTGATTGCTCCTGCATCCTCCTCTCCATCCCGCTCAACGCAGCAAGCAGCGCGCTCAGGATCGCCGCGCCCATGCTCTCCCGGCCGTTCTTCCACAGGTGCCAGGCCGCGAAGCGCACCTTGGTCCACCATTCATCCATGGCATTCTCCGTAGCCAGGTGTGGAACCTCAAGCGCAGCAACAACATCCCGCAGAATCTGCAGCGCGATGCCCGCCAGCTGCCGCGCGCCGCTCTCGTAGTCATGCGCCAGCGTGTCGAGACCCCGAGAAAGGACCTTTCCGGCCGCTGGGCCGAGGTCAGTCTCGAAGTATACGCGGCGGAGGCTCTCCGCCAACCGGGGCACCCCTGGGCTTTGCAAAGTGTCCGGGCCAGTGATCACTGTGTCAGGGTCGTACCACGCCCAGGCGTCGTGCTCCCAGTCGAGTTGGATGCGTTGTTCGTAAGCTGGGTCTTTGAGGAGGAACATGAAGGGGAAGACGGTCCATTCTCGTCGGAGGGAAGGGTCCTGGAAGGTGTAGCTCTTGCCTTGGCGAAGGAGGGTTAGGGAGGTGGGTGTGAGTGTGGTTTCCTCGGATATCTCGCGCCAGGCTGCGGCGAGGGGTGTGGCGTCTGAGGGGGAGATGGTGCCGGATATCGGGGCGAGGTGGTGTCTAGATGGGGAGATCATTAGAATCAAAAATATTTACTAGTGGTCGAGCTCGGCTCGGTCGGTAGTGAGGGTACGTATCAAGCACATATACGTCGCCCTCATCATGACATTACCCCGTCAATGAGCATGAGAGAAATTCAGACTTGTCTCATTTCTTGGGAACATTGGGTCCAGTAAAGAATGAACAGCGCTTCAAAACTCACTGGTATGTTGTAACCTTGTCACTGCGCCCAAAGAGCGCGACCTGCGGCTTGCCGTCGTTGACATCACTGAGTTTGAAGATGAATGATGAGACGACGCTACGCTTCTTCCACTCGCCTGTGCTGTCCGAGACACTGGTCATTCTATTCTGACAAAATCTTTAAGAACAATTGAGGAAGACTGGTATTACAATTCGTAAGCTCAGCTGCATGTCTTGCGCTGTTAGGGATTGTGAGTGTTATCGAGATCGATCACCGACAAAGGGGTAAGGTTAACGTGAAGTCTAGGTCGCAACTTCAAGCTGCTTGGAATTGGGCTGGGCAGTTGCACACCAGCTGGTGAGCTAAAGGCGACAGCTGCTCGCCAGGCGGCAGCCACACTGCGAAGTTTTAGGCTGACTGACTGCGGTGGGGTTTGGTGTTTTTCCTCGCAACTGGACTCACCTAACCACTCTCCACTCAGCCACTGTAACCAGAGCCTAGCGAGTTGAGCTTCTTGGGTGCATCAGCCAGGACAACGACCAAATGGACAAAATGGAACGTCTCCGATCGATCGCAGATGTATATGGCCATGATGATTGATGACTCCGGGGTCGGATGCGAAGGTCGCTCCTACGGCTATGGCGGATCCTGACTCCCGAGGAAGTTCCATTCTCGAGAACCCCGGCATGAAGGCGCGGTTACCTGCATGCGCATGAACCGTGCCATTCCGCCGGACTATTGCAGTGGACTGCCGCAACACACTCTCTTGAATTCAGGGGCAGGCGAGTATTAGTCAATCCGGTCTGGCTGTTCTGTGCGGATTGTCTCGACTGGCCAGGCATGGAGGTAGGTATTCGGTCCAGATTGGGGATGTCGATGTATTGGGGTGGTGGTCTTGGGGCCTCAATGCATTTGACGTGCAGTTTGCTAGTCGGCATGCATGCGGTGTCGGCCCGGGTGATGGCTGGCTGGACATCCGCGCTACGGACTATTCAGTCAAGCTTTGGACGTGGCGTCGTGACTGCTGTGCGGAGGCATCCCAGCACAGCGCCGAGTTGGAGCGTTCCAATTTCCCAATATCTTGAGCCTCACCCCTTCAAGAAAACCGTGTCGGTGCTACTAGCAACTTAATCTGATAGATTCATAGGCATCAACCATGCGCAATAACACTCTGATCCTGGGACTCGGACTCCTTGCCGGCCAAGCGGTGGCCGACAACACCCCTCCGCCACTCAACATCACCGCCCTGTCGTCCCGCAACGGGTATTCCGTAATCGAGTGCTGGCAATTATCCTCCATCCCGATCGACGCCATGTCAGCAGCCAACTACCCCATCGGCAACACAACAGTGGCGACCTGGTCCCGGATCGAGCCACGGACTCACATCGGGGAGGCATGGGCGCCCCGCGTGCAGTGAGACCGCCGTATGAAAAACCATCTGCCCTAAAACTGGCTGACTGATGATGTAGACTCTCCATCATCCTAAACGGCCTGATCCGAATCACGTCTCCGGCGCCCATCGCTCCCAACGGAGGCAACGGGGGAGGCAGCGCCTCCATGTGTCTCTCGGACGGCTTGTCCGTTGCGGGACGCCCGGACACAAAAGTGGCCTACATCATGCCCGGCACGCTCCGGTCTTCTGTGCTCATCGCTGCCGACACCAAGGCTGTCAGCACCATTGCGGGGCATTTTACCGAGTTCCCCAGTGATGAGCCGACTATTCTTGTGCAGATCCCGTTTGAGGGGGATAAGCTGCCTGAACACACCGTTGTTTATGACGGGCCGTGTCAGTAGCTTGAGCCTGGTGTCGATGAGCGGATATGAGTCAGAATTAGACAAGGTTGGGGAGACGGCTGAGAGGTTTCAATCTTAACTTGATTCCGTTGGAAGACATATGATCCCAACCTGAACTATGCATATGATGGCCCTAACCGAATAAACGCCAGACGCCAGTACAATATTCCACTCTGCTATTTCGAATGTTTGCTCTTTCCTTGAGTTCCCAAATGCCACATCTCGATGCAACCCGCGTAAGCGCCCCGACCTTCAAGAAGATACCCCTGTGATCTCTCACGACAACCCATAATTCTTCCCCTCATGCACCGGCTTCGCCGCCCCCTCGCCATAGTCGCTCAGTCCATAGTTGGGACGGCCGTCACGGTCCGAGTCGACGCGGGGGTCAAGCGCATTGCCCACGCGCGACTTGTGTGGGCCATACGTGCCTTGTGGTGCCCCAAAGCCGGTGCCGCTTGTTGTTTTCTTGCCCGACTCGCTCCCAGTGTTGACGCCCTGGCTCGTGATAGATCCACCACCGCCGCTGAGATCCGTCTGTTCTGCCCTGCCAGGGTCTTGCGCCTCACTACTGGCCGGGGGCTTTAATTCAGGTTGGCCATCGCCGGCTGAGCTTTTGTCCGCATATGGTCCTCGCTTTTGAGGGTCGTAAGTCTCGACGGTGGCTGAATCACGCCGACTGGGGTTGATGGCGTCTTTGATGTTCTCGATGATGTCTGACATGGTGTGCTGTGGTGACTGTAGTGTGCCTGGCTGATGCAAATGATGAAACCGTTGTCTGTCTCTTTATTGATGATTGAATGGGTAATGGCTCTGTTTCAAAGTGAATTGTTTTGAAAGTTGTTAAGGAGAAGTAACAGAGTGTATGTACCTTACCTTTGTCGTCCCCGATGATATCATGTTGACAATTGAGGCCGTGCAGTTGGCCCGTCGTCCGGTTGATGCCAAGCCCAGTCCCTGATGATGTCACCGGCTTGTACAAAGTATCGGACAACAGATTTGAGCTCTCTGGAAAGCCAGATATCACTCTATCTTGTAGGTATCGAAGTACTACCTCCTTGGACAAAATCACGATATCCAGGTAGTATATGCCTACGTGTCGATGGGATCAGCGAGGAGCCAGGGGCAGCTTCATGGAGCAGTCACCCTTAATACGGGTCCGGTCTTATTAAGAGTTAAGACCGCTTTCGTAGATACGTTGCCTAACAATCACTCCAAAGTTTCAAACCTCTGGTATCCATGGTTACCTACTGTGTTCTTCCTATTCGTGTCTGGACTGTGATGGCTCTGGCGAACAGTACACGGTCTGCTTTCAGAGCTGACTAAAAACCAGCGGAAAACTTCTCGTCGCCCGAGATTACAGAGCTGAGTCGCACTGCATCAAAAATATTGATTAGCTATGGTTGGGGATCGCCCGCGCCGGGCCCCGCCGTCTGAGGCTTTATCAGGCTCGGACCGGCCATCTCCAATACTCATATGTGGACTAGGAACCGGCCAGTGTCATATACCTAAGAGACGGTGCCCGTCAAGAGACTCCATTCGAATCCTAGGCGCCTAAGTTATGTATGACGCTGAGGTATAATACTACTAGTAGGATGGTCAGATCTCCGCCTCAGCTCCGGTCACATGGCTGGTGTTAACTAATTAGTAATAGCTGAGGTTGACCTCAGCTGTGATCGTCAAAGCCAAGTTGAACTAATGAGTTGAATCATCCGTCGAACGTGGTTCAGCTTCGCTATATATTGGCAAGGCGTTGATCGAACTCGGAAGGTATCAAACAAATTGATACTAGTCCCCTCCGAGAATGGCGTGCTCGGGCTGCCCTACACTAAAAAAAGAATCGTTAGTTCCGATTCCGGGGCCGCGTACCCATAAGCCAACTTCTAGCACTTACCGGAATGCATCTCGTATTGCTAGTACGGAAGGATTCCGAACTGCTTTCCGGTTACAGCGTGTTGTGTGGGTCGCCTGCGTGTCAGGTGTCTGTCCAGTCAGGTTCCAGTTCATGTTGGTTGACAGGTAGGACTGACAGCCCAGTATAGCCCATGTCCATAGGGGGCAGGTAGATATACATGTATGCCATGATGTATTCATGTTGTGATACATGTAAGCTGTCATCTGAGCTGTTAAGCAGCGACTGCAATCTGTTGTGAACCGTCAAGCTCTTAGTATTTTCAGGCACTCATCGTCTTCTTGATCCAGTTGACACAGCAGGACAACATCTCATGGTTGGCCCGGGGTGGCTTCGCAAGCGAGCCTCGATCTGCTCCCCTAGATATTTGTATCGGCCTTGAACAGCTCCTGCTGGGAGATTAGGAGGCCTACAGTTTCCCAATGCCTCCGGTAGAAGAGTACGTTTGGTCGCATCAGAGGTGTCTGACCACGGTTCTGTGCATGCGGTTGATGGTCAGATGAGTGGGATTATGCTGGTGGCTCTGTAACCATTGGCCTGGCGACATAGGGGATTGGTAACTTCCTATCCTGTAAGCCTCGGGCTCTTTGGGAGTATCCAATGTCGCAGTTGGCGGCTCTTAGCAGCCTTAGGTAGTAGATATGCCGGGATTGAGGCTCGCAAGGTTACCATGCAGGATTTCGCCTTCTGAAGTTCTGATGTTGATACCGGCAAGGGGCCGAGGATTGGTTCTCTGGTTTTGCTGACGTCCGTGAGAGCTGCTCTGGAAAAGAATGTCGTCGTTGGCAAGAAAGAAAGACCTGACCAGAATACCAGCACAGCTCCAAGTCGTTCGTCGACAGCGGTGCCAAGGATCTCGCAAAGCGATGCTAAAGCGGCGATGATGGATCTCATGTAGGCACCCTGACGGCTCTCCATGGTTGCTCTTTGATGGGTAGGGCACCTTTCAACTCCGGCCGATCCCGCCGATGCGCCCCGAAGTATTTTGTATCACCTGCTAAATCTGGCATCCAACGTTGACACCGGCTCCGTTGCGGCGGGGATCCGCAGAATGCTACGTCTAGGCGCGGCCCACTCCGTGCCGCAGTGAGGCTACAACCGTGTGATCTTCTCGACTAAAAATTGGGCATGCGGACTTGAGAACGCCTTGGTACCATTAGTAACTTTGACATTAATAAGTGATGTGGATAACGCGGCATTTAAAACCGGGACATGTGTAATAGAAACCGTACAGAGACCGAGTACAAGATCCTAATACATACTAGTAAGGGCACTTCCCTGGCCGTGGTGTCGCGATTGCAGAGTTTTTAACGTGAAATCGCGCTATACCCGGTACCTGCCGGGAATATCATTCACTGCCGTATTCATGAAAAAGTCAGTATTGCTTGCGGATTCCAAGCTGAACGGGATACCTAACTTACAATGGAAGAGGTTCGTCTTACCTCCTTCTTCACGTAGGTCCTTGGCATATGTAGGAGACGCGTCAGAGTGTTGGATCGGCCCGCAGGAAAAGTGGTTGCAGTGGTTTGGGGCTACCGTAACTACCGTAATGGACTCACTGTAATTACACTAACCAACCCCTGCAATGTTCCGGCAGCGTCACTCCGGCCTGCAACGTGGCCCCGGAAAGCCGACCTTCTACGTGCGGACTTGCACCCGTTCGTTGCTGGTGAGCAGCTTCCCGAATTGTCCACCGTGGCGACGATGCGATGAATAAAGCTGGAAAAACACAGCAGACCCGCGCCGAGATCGGAAGGCGCTGATGGCTCTTTCCTGCCTCTCTAGGGCGCGCCAAAAGCATTCAGATTGTCCCGATTGGCCGTAAGCCGGCGATCTTCAGCGCACAATCCCCGCCGGCTGCAGTGGAAAGCTCGAGGGGAAAACGCAGGACCTTCATCACAATGATGGGGCTCTAATTCCAAAGTTGCCATTGGCATCTTTGTCCAGCAAAAGGAACTGCCTGTCAAGCGCCCCGGCATTCTTCCATTCATTACTCAGAGCTTTCTTAATCCGTGGAGGTTGCGCATACCGTCGGCAGCGGGTTCTGAAGTGGTTGATGGCGACGCCTGCACACCATCACCATTCCAGGAACCGTGAGGCTTGAGGTGGTGGTGCCGCGCCGGCCGGGAGCAATCCATCCCCCACTCCGATCCAGACCCTAAAGCTGCCTTCTTCTCCCGCATGACTTCTCCGAATCCAGCCATCGACAGCCCGCGGGCGCCCGCGCTGGAGACGACGAAGACGACGACGACGGCGACCACGACCACGACAAGCCACCGCGAAGCCACATACCAATCGCTAGAGCGCCTCCCCAACGAGCTACTGCAGCCCATCGCCGAGTGCCTGATCCCTCCAGCGCCGCTCACGACCCGCTTTGCCCTCCGTCCGTCCGGCGCCTGGGAGTTCCGAGATGCCGGCCACCAATGGGCCGACTGGCTCGCCGCGCGCGGCAGCCTGCTAGCGTTCGCCCAGGCGTCGCGGCGCATGGCGGCCGTCGCCGAGCCCTTTCTCTACCACACCCTCGTGATCCCCACGGCGCGCGCCCTGGTGACACTGTTCCGCCGCATGAACGAGCGCCCAGAGATCAGGCCGTGGATTCGCAGTGTGACGTGCCTGGTCCATGTGGGTGGCGTGGTGACCATCAGCGAGGTGCGCCGCGAGTGGCAGCGGCAGAGTGGAGGTAGGAGCAAATTCCATGACCCCTTGGAAACCCCAACCACGATACGATGTCTGTGTTAACCGAAGCCAGTGAGCGTGCAGCGAGGGCATGATTGCACCGCCGCCATGGATCTTCTCCGGGCCGTGCTCTTGAACGCGCCCAACCTGCGGGACCTGCTCGTGGCGTTCCCGGACCAGAACCCCGTCCAGGCCGGCACCTGGCCCGCCGACCTGCTGCTGCCGAATTTCCGCGACACCATCCTCCAGTACCTGACCGACTCGGAGCCCCCCGGCTACGAGACCCTTCCAGCTTACTACTGCTTTCCGCTTGGGCTCATGCAAAACCTGGTATCGTTGCGCATCTACTGCCACAGAGACGGGTCAGGAGGCGACCGCGATTTGACCTTCTCCCGCATGGTGGCCGATGTCGCCATCGCCAGTCTGCCGCAGTTGAAGAGTTTGAGGACGCTTGAGCTCTGCTGCTCTTCGGCGGGTAATTCCTTCAGCGAGGAGATTGCCTTGCCGCAGTTACCGCAGATAGAACACCTCCGTTTTTACGGCACCCACATGCATGAACCGAGACTCGTGGCGTTTTGTTTGGCTTGTATCAACCTCAAGACCCTTGTCGTGCATTTCGAGTCGAGCTCCGTCGATGAGGATCGGGATTCGTTACCGGAGGGCAAGACACTAAGCGATGCCCTAGCCGGTTTGGCAGGGGCGTTGGAGACGCTCGAGTTGGTCGCCCTATCGGAAGGGCACTACCTGACGCGCGGGAGAGAGAGGCCAAGGAAGCCCGAGAACCACCGGTTGCGGTGCATTCCCGAGCTTAGGCGGCTACGAAGCTTGACGCTGGACTACCGGGGCGTTTTTGGGACGTTTGGCATTTTAGACTGGGACGACGGAGAGCGTCTCTGTCAGCTTCTACCGCCGTCGCTGCGCGATTTCACCCTGGTCTGCGAGTGGGGCACGGCCAGCGACTTCAAGCAGAGCTACCTCGCCAACCTGGACATGGTGCTGCACGGGGTTAAGTGCCTCTGCGAGAGCCCGTCGCACAGACTGTCGAGCATCTCGCTGGCGATACACTCGTGGCCGGCAGAGAGCAGGTTTCAGCGGCGTTTCAGGAGAGACCTCGACGACGCGAGGGAAACCTGCGCAAGGGCCGGCATTAAGTTCAGGACTTTCGATTTGCTTCCGTCGTACCAAGACGAAGACGAGATAGACCAAACTGCCGAGGAAGGCCACAACTCGGATGCAGCTGACGAGGCCGGCGAAACGGAAGAGGGTGCAGAAGCCGCACCGCAGGACAATGCGGATGAGGAAGAATATGAGCTTGAGGAAGAAGATGAGGCGTCCGAGTACTACTTCTCGGAGGACGACCTCTCGGACCCTGAGAGAGAGGCTCGGCGGCCCGAAACGTTTGGAGCTTTCCTGCAGCTCCTTGGCGAAGACCACGGGCATAGCTTCGACGAGCTGTTCTACGCTTACCATGAGGACCGGTGGGATGAGTATCTCTTTTGAGATTTTGGGAGATTACTGGGGGATGTCCGTTGATATCCTACGCCGCCTCCCCATCGTGACACCGGAATTGTGGCATGTCCGGCACGGTACAAGCAGCGCGACTGCCGGGCTTGAGCTGGATGTAGCCGCATTCACGATCAAGTCGGATCCGATCTCAGTTACTTACATAGATACCCTTACTATGCTCTCTCGTTCGCTCCTCGAAGGGTGGAGCGAACCAGCCTACGTCGACAGCTTACATAGCTCACGTCGAGTACAAGGCATGCTGGACTGAAATATCCTGACAGTCTTCTCTGGCACAACGTTGTCCTTCCAATGAAGCCACATCAAGCAACAACTTCCAATCCTGCAAATCTCGTCTCGTCGTAACGTTGCGTTTAGGAGATCTTGAAACTTCAGCCACCTGCGAACCACACGCAACACTGGTGCTACGTCCACATTGCTGTGGGTAATATCGTGCTGCAATTCTACTAACTGCCGAACAGGTAGGGGCCGTCAGCTTGTTCATGAATGACAGAGATTCCCTTACTCTTGAATCCCTTGATGAAGATCTACGCGGCCCAGTTGCGATGCCTTGGATCTGTCCTTGTCGCCAGAATGAGCAGTTGCAGACCCCTCGCCGCCCAGAGACCCCGGCTGATAGTTTCCAACATATTAGACGGGTAAATGAGCTCCTCAACGTTCACGCAATCACCTCCACTCTCTCATATTGACCACGGACCAAACCAATTGAAGGCATTCTCTCATATAAAACACACTTGCTTGCCAATTGCCGACGAAGACCGTGGAATGGCCTACATGTAGTTCATTAATAGCCTCTCCCTCACTTCTGCCGATTCGCGACCTTGGATTGCGCAAATGGTCAACCACACCATTTAGACCAGTTACCCACCTCGGCTCATTGCTGTGCCTTGCTGCATTGGCGAGAGCGGGAGACACTTTACAATTGCCGGGGATAGACTGCCCGTGGCGTCCTTGAATCCGAGTTTGGCAATCGATGGATATTTGGGCTCACCCCCTTTCCCATGGATGCTTTCCCGTTCCAGCGTGCCGTCTAAAGAGGGAGCATACACGCGAGATGTGTACTTGTAGTCGAGCAGTGCCAAGGTGCCTCGCATGCCTTGTCTGCAGGAACGGTGCCAGTGGCTATCCCATCGTGAAGCTCGGTGTCTTCAACGTTGACATCGACATTGTCTAAGCGTGTCCGAGGTCAAGCCCACGCTTTGAAATCCATACCCATCGCCACAATGTTAGCCGACTCCTCCACACATGCCCTCGGCCTGGTGGCCGTCGCGGCCTCGTTGGTAGCGGTCGCTCAGGGCGCCTACCCCTTAACAACAGACTCCAACTGCCACTGCTACAAGACCAACGCCACGCGATCCAACTACTTCTCTCACCACCGCTTCTTCGACTTCCGCTCGCTCTCGCAATACGTCAACGTAACCCGCCCGCTGGCCGACTTTGAGGCCAACGCGCGAGCCCCGCCGACGAGCGCCTACTTCAGGGACTCCGACTTCACCCGGGCGTGGGCCATCATGAGCTGGAACAACACGGAGCGGCTGAGCCTGAACAACACCACCATCACCGACGCAACTCTGAAAATGGTCATGAGCCCCAACAACATCTACATTGAGCGCGACACAGACGCGCCCCGGCAACCATCCATCGGACCCCCTTTTCCCGGCAACAACAACAACCCCCCTTGGCCGTGGCAGTGGGGCCGTTGGCCGGGGGACTGGCAACCGCGACGGTGGCCGGGTCGGTGGCAACCTGGCCGATGGCAACCCGGTCACGGTGGACGATGGCAACCGGGACGGTGGCAGCCGGGGCCAACACAATGGCAACCAGGGCCCCGGCAGTCTCAGTCCCAGTCCGGCGAGACGCACCTAACGATGCGCACGGTTCGACACGCCAACTTCCAATCCGCCGCCGAATTCGAATCCCTCAGCACAGGCTACCAATTCCTCTCGGTGCGCATGCTGGCGCGCACCATCGGTTCCTCTGGCGCGGTAACCGCCATGTTCACCTACCGGCCGCCTCCCACGCCGCACAACATCTCTCTAGTCCAAGAAGCCGACCTGGAAATCCGCACGCAAGACCCCCCTGTCTACGTGCAATACACGAACCAGCCGTCATGGAACGACACGAGCGACATTCCCGACGCGACGCGTAACGTGACGCTGCCTGGTGGTAAGAGGTGGAGCGACTGGGCGGTTTACAGAATGGACTGGACGCCGGGGAGCACGACGTGGTACGTCAATGGGCATCTGGTGAGCGAGATACGGTTCCAGGCGCCCCGCGATCCGGCGCAGGTCATGTTCAATACCTGGAGTGATGGCGGGTCGTGGTCGGGGCATATGCCTGTTGGTGGGGAGGCGTATATGCAGATTAAGTGGATTGATATGGTGTTTAACAATACGGATCCGGGACTGGGGGCGGGGAGGCAAGGGGGGTGTAGGAATGTGTGCAGTATTGACGAGACGACCAAGCTGGGGACGCCGGTGCTTATTACGGGAGGTGAGCATCCCCTGTGTTTGTGTTTCTTGCCCCTGAATTGATGCTAACTGTGTTTGTTCCCCTGAATCCTCAGGCTCGCAGCAACAGCCTCAGCCGGCGGGTCCGGCCGCTTGCGCGGCGGCAAAGTACGGCCAGTGCGATGGGAAGAATTGGAACGGGTGTAAGAGCTGTGTTGCGGGAACGACGTGCCGGTACCAGAACGACTATTATTCCCAGTGCTTGTAGGAAGAGAGAGCGGCGAATCGTTAGGGGTGTGGCGAGTGTGCGTTTGAAATACTTCATTGTCGAGCTAGATACCTACCTACCTTTACCTTAAGTCCGCAAAATGCTTGCGAGTTTGGCGCGAAGTTGATGATCTTCTGATAGCTACTTTAGGGATCAGTGCCGCTTTCCTACTTCCACCACCCCCTAGGTCGTATGGCTGTGGTGAAGTGGCCGAAGGGATTAAGAAGTACTACTGCAGCCCGTTCTTCATGCACTCAGTTCGAGTCTCCCGGTTGAGCCGTTGCAGACGCGTCCTCAAATAAATAGAGCTCGAGCGAGGTAACCTGATTGATGAACTGGTGTTCATACGCGAGCGGGAAGATGAATGTGCGCTGAGCCGGCTGAGGTAAGGCCGATGGCATCGATGGGTTAATCTTCGTACCGAGGTGTTGGCGTGGGACAAGGCACCCAATGACACTACGGGGAAGATTGGATGAAGCAGTAGATGTTCCAGGTTGTTGTTAAGAAGAGAAGGCAAGCAGGGCATGTGATGAAGATGCTTTGCTGCGGGGAGTGGAGGGAAGGTGCCAGTGGGTTAGTATAAAATCTTCACCTGACAGGGCTCCCAACTGTCCATCCAATCCAATGAACTTGATGTAGGAAGGTTTGAGGCACCGGCTGGAGTGGTGCACACATTCTGTTGGGTAAGTGCGAGGTGGACAGTGTCATTGTCACTAGTGAACGTTGAGTTGCGTCATGTTCTGACCTGTGACAACAATTCGAGCTCATTACAAGGTTGCCCTTTGTTCATTTCGCACCAAAGAAAGCAAGCAACATAAACCTAGCAAGAGACTAATCGTGCATTTCTCAAACCCTCGCTTTACGCTGACCGAAGACACCCAGCTCACGGCCTTTGCGCAGAATCTTCAATCCAGTCCACAAGCCAACTCACATTGAACAGCAGACCGATAATGATGGATTACGACCTCAATCCGGAAGTGTTTCAGTACACTCAGTTGCCTGACGATGACGGTCTTCCATACAAAAGTCAAATCGCAGAGCTTGCTCTCAAATTCAGAAACGAGCACCCCGACCCTTCCTTCGACCACATGCGTGGCAGATGGCGGGTCACACGCGAGAGACACAACTGGGGCAGCAATGCCGTCTACAGCGTTACCTGGGAAGACGGGATCTGGGCGGTTCTAGTGCCCCTGGAAATCGGACTCGATGAGGACGGAAACCGGCTGGCAACAAGTGAGCATGACCTGCAGCGGCATCTCGAATCCACCGCCAAGCTGATGGAGTATCTCAACTCCCACACCACAATCCCCATTCCAAAGGTATTAACATGGAACACCGGGCCCGGCATTCCCTACATCCTCACTGAATACCCTCAAGGACGGAGCGCGATAGATCTGTGGTACGAGACGGCATGCAAAGCCGCACATGGATTCAACACCATCGAGAATGATACAAAACGATACAAGCTGCTTTGAAGCTTAGCAGGTCACATCCGTGAGCTTAGCCAATTCAGGTTCACCAAACCGGGGCCTATCGACCCTGAATAGTTGGCCAGCGCCACAGGAGACACTGGAAAGATGTTCATCCTCAGGCATGGAGAATTGAGTCTGAGAAACATCCTTGTCGATAAAGATGGCAGCGTCTCTGGGTTAGTTGGATGGGACTACGCGATAGCAGGACCAGAACCTCTCGAGGATGATGTATACCCATTGTGGTTGCGAGAAGAATGGAGTGATGTGCCGTTGTTCCCTGAGGACTCGTCCTCGGCGGTTCACTTTTGGCGTTCCGAGTGGATAAAGCTGCTGGAGTCTGGGCGCTCTTGAGGACAGGAGGCTCGCAAGTGTTGTCAGGAGCTTCCCCTCTGGATCTCTAATGCCCTGTGTACCTTAGCTAGGCACACATGCACCCTTGGTATTTCACGTCACCATTCATCATTGATACAGAGAATGAGGTTATGGTACCTCTGTGCCTGAGCCGATGAGCCAAAGTAAAGACAGACCATTAGTAGAACCTTTCTATCAATGAGTATCCTTGAGTTCCCCTCGATGAGCCTGCTCAGTCCATTCTATCATATCTATTCTGCACACGTGAGTAACCTTCTACCGAATCACAGCCAATTTCGTCAACCCGTTCCTGTAGAACCCAAATTACTGAGCCTTGAGTGCCACCGTCTCTCGAGCGGCAGCAAGCATCGGAGCCATCTCGCACAGCTTCAAGACATCAGCAGTATGCACGAGAATAACATTTTCCTCGGCCATCTTCTTCAGCACATCTCCCGTTTGGAAGCAAAACCCAGCCCTGGGCTTCTTGTGTTTCTTGAGTGTCTTGTTAAACGTTTCCACGGCAGCCAACCACATCGGCTCGGTGCCCATGCCACCATTGCAAGGCAAGTTCATGCTGACGCGGCAGTCAAGGCCGCCCAACCAGACGACATCAATCTCAGGGACCTCGGTCAGGATTGCGTCGAGGTTGTTGATGCCCTTGAGCGTCTCAATCTGCACCATGATGGCGGCCTGATCATTGATATTCTGCCAGACGTCGCGCTTCCCATCGATAGCCTGGTCGGTGATGCCCGGAACCAGCCGGAAAGGCGGGACCGACCGTGTGCCGTTCTGCGCAGTGCCGAACTTGGCTGCCGAGACAACGTGCTTTGCCTGCTCGACCGTCTCAAGCTGTGGGATGATGATGCTCGCGCCCGCATCCAGGGCGTAGCCGATGGCTGCGTGGTCATGGCCGGGGACGCTGGCAATTCAGTTGTGTTAGCTGACACAGCTCTGATACGGGCCAGGGCATGGTTCTTTCGCCTTACCGGACAAATGGGATGGTGCGACCACCGCTCATGAACATGACTTCGTGGACCATCTGGGTTAATCAGCAAGGGGCAAGTGGCTCACGGCGTCCGGCGGGGACACAAACGGTGGTCATCGTCTCGACATTACAAGAGGTGTGTTCCCAGTCGATCCAGACCATGTCGTAGCCCATGGGGGCCAAAAAGCGTGTGATTGGGATTGAGCTGAGGCCAGCGTAGTATCCGATCAGGCAGGGAATCTTCTTCTCGTACGCGTCGCTGATGGCCTGGCGGGCTCGGTGCGGCTGGAAAAGAGACGGCGCAGCGTACGCTTGCATACCCTGCTGAGCACTGGGCGGGCTGGGCGACTTGAACTCGGAGCCCATGATGGATGAATGTGATTATCGAAACAGATTGAACGAGGATAAGTTCGAGATAAAAGTCGATGGAAATTGGTCTGTGAATGGTGCACTGAAGGAAAAGTGTCGTCCCTCAAGGAGATAAATCGGCTCAAATATCAAGCAGGTCAGTACAAACATCCAGGTTCGGCTTGACCTTCCAGTCTGGAAGCAGCCCTGGGGCCGCCGGTCCCCCTTGCTGAGGGAGTTAGAGCGAAGGGAAGGTACGACATGGAGTCACCAAGGTGAAGCTTCTTCCCTCCCGCCCAACATGGATTCGTTGGAAGGCTCGCCCCAACTGGTGCTTGCCGGTCAGGGTTCCCAACCTGCGCATCTCATCATATTTCCAAGTCGTTCCTCATCATAACCACGGGAAACCTCCACCCCTGGGGTAACTTCCCGGTTGATCCCCAACCTGCGACATTGACCTTCGGCACCATTTCAGAGAGCGATGAAAGCGCTGTTCTGTCGATACGATATGCCTCAGCTTCGATTAGCTACTCTAGCCAAGCAACTGCACAACGTGATGCTGTTTCCAACTCCGGAACTCGAAGCAAGATGCCCACCTGATCCCAAAGGAAAAAGATGCCCCCGCCAACAGCGAACTCCACGGCCAAGGCAGCCACCTCAAACCAGAACCGACACTGCAACAGACTTCTCGCGATCCTCCTTATCCTTCTTCATCTTGAACAACTGCTTGATCATATCCCTCTTCTTCTCTTTCGGCTTCCCAGACACGCTCTCACCATCGTGGCCCTCCTCCTTGTCACCCTCCTCGATGGCCTTGAGCCCGATCTTGGCCGAGTGTTTCGACGATCGTGACGTGGTCGATCCTTCGTCGTGGTGGTGGGACCGGCTGCTGCGATGGCTCCGGTGACTCCTCTCGCTTGCCGCCTGGCTTTCGGCTCCGTCCCGGTCCTTGTCCTTGTCCTTGGAGGTCTGCTTGCTGCTCTTGCGCTCGGGAACGTCGACATCGTCTTCGCGGTGCGAGTGATGCCGTTTGCTACTGCTGCTGTGGCGGCTTCGGTGAGACCTCCGGGAACGGTAGCTATACGAGCTCCTGCCAGCCTGCGAAACCGAGTCGCTCGGGTCGATTTCGTCGCGGTACTGCTCTCGCAGGGCGCGCTCCGCCTCACGGCTCATCAGCTCGACGTCCACTGCCGACTCGCCCTCGCCAAACGGCACAATTCCTCGGCGCCAGGTCTCGATACTGCTGAGTTCCTCGACATTCTCAAGCACAACTGCCTCTTCATAGCTGGTACCACTCGCGGGGGCTAGGGGCAGTGCTTTCCCATCAGCCACTGAGGCGGCTGGCACAAGTTGAGCCGGCGAGCACATCTCGAACGGCGCTTCGAGCGTCTTTGCCGCACTAGCGTCCTTGATCCGCTTGACAATCTTCCATCCGCCAAACATGACGACCGTCACGCCCACGGCAACGCCGGCACCGATTAGGAACTGCGGGCTTGCCAGCAGAGCAAAGACAGCCGGGCTGCCGCCCTTGAGAAAGCCCAGAAAGGCCGGGCTCATCTTACCGATCAGCGCACTGAGCTCGGCGAGTGACAACGCCACGGCAGCGGCCGCCTCGGGGTTTCGTTGCAGGTTCTCAATCATGGAGCTAGCCGTGTGGTGGATGCATTGGGCTTCCTCCAGGAAATCCTCGATGCGGTCCAGCAGGCTAAGCGCTTCCGCCTCTTGCGGGTCTTCAGGCCCGGCCTCCCCTTCCTCCTTGTGAGCCGGGTCGAGGTCGTCCCGAAACGCCAGATCAGGCGGTATGTCCCCGTATGCCAGGTTCATGTCGATGGACTTCTTCTTGGTGAGGGTCGGGTCGGAGCGCCGGCGGCGCATGACCTGCCGTCGGTCACGGGCCGGGACGAGAGCCCCAGACGCGGGCTGCGGGATTGCGCCGTCAGCGGGCTCCGGGGGCGGAGGAAGCACAGCAAGCGTCGGGCGGGAAAGCTGCATGTCCCGTGGGGCCGTTTCAGCATACGGGGACCGGTAGGCTTTGCTCGGGCCCGTGGCGGAAACCTCTGAGTGCGACTTGAGGTTGGACTCGGTCAGCGCGGGGCGGTCCCCGTATGACGACCGGGGTGGGGGCAGCCGCTTTCGATGGCGGCTGTAGCGCGAAGACGCATGCGATCGGGCGCCGTCGTCATCCTCGTACGACCTCCGGCGGCTGAAGGCATCACGGAGCGATCGGCGGTCGTACCCGCGGTCGTCTTCGTCATCGTACCTGCCGTAGTGGTAGTCGTCGTAGTACAGATCGGCAGGGGCACGCGGGGTCACATCGAATGTCTTGGCCCGCTGAATGCCGGCCCGCTCGGCTTTGACCGCATGTCGTTTATCTCGGTAGGCGGCTTGGGCTTCCTTGAAAATGTTGACGAGGTGCTTGCCCTGTGCATACAGAAGGTTGTTAGCGCCAGGGGTCGGTTGCGGGAACGCCCGATGGTGCGGTCAATTGTAAGTGACACAGAAGGCGGGGCGTTTGCTGACCGTGCTGATAACCTTCCCCGAGTTGTTGATGATAGTGATGATCTCGGTGGCCGGCATCTTGTGGTATTGCGATCGGTTGGAGTACGGGGCTAATTCAAGTGCAGTTGTTAAGGGAATCAGTCCATCGACATATCTCGCCCAAGCGTACGAGAAGCCTGCGCGAAGATGGTGTGATGCCCTGCCTCGGTCTTAGGAACAGAGACAGCAGCTCAGCAGCGTTCGAGCTCAAGGAGGCAGGGAGAAGTGTGCCGACATCGAACAATTGTCTTGGGACATCGTTTCTCTGCCCAGCGTGCATGCACCCGGGAAATATTAGGGAGAAACAGCCACGAGTTTGTTTCAGGCGAGACCGCCAAATGCCATCCGGGCTGACAGCTTGATTGGCCGTCCCGCCATCGGGCATGAGAGCAGGAACCGCCCCGCCACATCTCAACGTTACCTTCTCCTGCTGGCCAAGATGGTCCCGGGAGTGCATCCGATGGCGCGAGCTGGCCAGCGCCGTGACCTCTCGTTCACCGCATACTTGACGTGGGGCAGCGATGCGGGGCCTGGCTTGTCTGGTGCATTCCCGCCGTCCACCGCATGGGCAAACCAAGTTAACCAACAGGACACCGCAACGGGTGGAGTACGCCATGGAACCCGGAAACTCGGTCTGTGGCTGGCATCTCACCAACCTCTCACAGTCTCAGTGAGTGATGAGCTGGCCCCCGTTGCGAAGCAGCCATTCATCTTGAAGTGACCCGCCTGCCAGTTCATCAGCATTAGCGAGACCCACCTCGCTGGCGCTCTTGCACTGGAACCTCTCCTGCTTCAATCACTTGCTGCAGGAGAATGCGTCCGATCTCCTGTGGAAGACAATCGATGCATGATCCTCAGGCCAAAATCGGTGGATTGGGCTGCCAACTTTTCCGCGTCCTTCCAGACGGTACCTAATCTGACAGCTCTGTTTCCTGAGCACATCAGTGGCAACACCCCAAGTCCTAGGCTGGCAAAGGCTGCTTGAGATTTCTCAATATCAGGGGTAAATCATGTAGGCGTCTCATTGAATGCAATATACCCAACGCTGTGATGAGATGCCTATATACTGTATTGTACTGTACAAACCGATGGGCATTCCGCCGTCGAGACCAGTCACAGGCATCCGGTAAATTGGCACGCACCAATTGAACATCTCCTCGCCTGTTGATGCAATCCCAGCTAAGCCGACTGTATCATCAACATCAAGCAATATACACCGGCAACCGACTGCCTCGCAGCTCGCTCTTTGAGATCTGCACATCCTTCTTGTTAAAATCGTGCAGCAGCAGCCAGCACAGCATGCGCAGGACGAGGGTGCACCAGATGGCCGAGGCCTGCTCATCCAGCTCAGTGGTGATGTCACGCTCCGCGCTGAGGAACTGATGCGACGAGCCGCCGGGCTTCTGGATGTACAGCTGCGGCGCCGACTGGCTGCTCCCGTGCGCTTTTAGCTCCGGAGGAGCCGAGCTCGGGGAGAGCGGCCGTGATTGGGAAGGCGTGGATGTTCTCGAGGAGAAGGGCTTCTCGCCCTCAATACTCTCGTCTGAGGGATCGTCTGAGTGGATCGATGGGGCATACTGCGTCGTCTGCCGCCGCTCGTACGACATCACGGCTTGCCGCCTGACACGGCCAAGGACCTTGAAGAAGTAGAGCTCCATGAAGGCTTCCTGGCGCAGTTCCGGACTGGCGGCGGTAAGCTCGCCGAAATGCTCGGCCCGCTGCCCGGCGGTTTTGATGCTGCTGCTGCCCCTGCCGGCTGAATCCCCGTCGCCCTTGTCGTTGACTAGCCTGAGAACCTCTTGGAAGTGCTCGCGGAGTACGATGCGGACGAGGTCTCGGTCGGGTTGTTTGAGATAGTCGTCGCATCGGTCGAGAACGTCGTGCAGAGCGTTGAGTAATGGCATGGAGTAGCCGGGTGTTTGGGAGTTTTTGTCTTCATTGAGGGTTTGTACGAGCATTTCGGCATCTTCAGTTAGTTTTTGGACATGCGGGATGTTGATGAGGTCGTTTTCGGAGTCTCTGATTTTGTTACGGTATTCTTTGATCAGCCGCCGGAGGTTGAAGAAGTTCTTGTCCCAGTGGTACGGCGTCGGGTTGGGCAGCATGCGGAAGGCGCTGTCTCGTATGTGCAGCGTCTTGCCCAGCATCCCGAGGAGCTCAAAGGGGACTGCAGCATCATCACGGTGGTTAGCGGTGTAGCCGTGCTGCGGGCGGACTCAGGCACACTTACCCGGAAAGAGATGGCCGTGTTTGGCGGTTTTGGAGCGAAAGTAGTTGGCGGTATCCGTGTTGCAGTCAATCAGCACCATTGTTTCGGCAATTTCGTCCATGCTGCCGAGATGGAGGGCGCTGAGATCCTTGGGGTCCTCGTTGGGGAACTCGATCCGGCGCCGGTCTTTGTTCTGCTCGAACAGCGTCGGGGCGAAGCCGCAGCACAGATCCTTGACCTCGTCGACGGGAATCACCCGGTTCTCTTCGAACCTGCTCTTGCCGTAGGGCTGGAAGGTGAACATGACGCCGAGCTCGGGGATTTGGTTGCCGATGAGCACGTATCCGTTGCCTTCGGCCCGGTACCGGTCCTTGGATCGGTCAAACTCCTTCCAGTATATGCCCATCATGGCGGCAATCTCGAGCAGGTGACACATGGTCGTCGTCGCGTACGGCTTCATGACGCCGCTCGGCATCGTGTCCCAGCTCCGTGGCTTGGCCTGCACGGCAACCGCGAGCGTGTGGCTTTTGAAGTCGACAATGGAGAGCGCCTGCGGCGGGCTGGTCTTGTAGTGCCGTTGCTGCCAGTCCTGGCTGTCCCGTTCCATTTTCTGCAACTCTGAAAGCAGAGTTACCCATGACGCCCGCTCGTTGTCGGCTGTGTGGATGTTGCTTTCTTGTAGCGACTGCAGCTTCTGCTGCTCTTCCATTGGTAGCAATGTCCTCGTCTGTTTTAGGCTCTCCGGCGAGCCGTCGACGAAGTGTATGGGCTTGCCCTTGAGGGGTCCCCGGGTGTTGCTTGGCGGGCACACGAAGATGACGGGCGTCTGGAATTGCACTTCGAACCGCAGCTCGGTCGGGCGGAATACGCGCTTCTTGGTCTCGTGCCACTTGCCCATGACGCTCTCGCCGCAGTTGGAGTAGCCGGCGGCGGAGGCAATGTATTGCTGGAGGACTTGAGCGATGGTGCCCGCGAGAGCTACCAAGGACACGACAAGGGCGACCCAGTTGATGGTGTCCGAACCACCGCTGCCGCTGTCTCCCCCCGCAGGGGCTGTGGTGTTTGCATTTGCGTCCATCTCTTCGTCGTCGGGAGGCGGCTTCCAAGAGGTTCGGAGGGTCTCGTTGGAGAGGCTCGCGGAGGCTCGTTAAGGGCCGCTAATCGTGCTCGCAAGGCAGATCGGCAGAGGAGAAATCAGGCATATGGCACGCTCTTGATTCGGAGGGGAAAAGCAGCGCACTCAGTCAAAAACGAGGAGATCTGAGCATCGTCGAGGAGGGAAGCAGCACCAGCCGTCTGCTCGAGAAACGAGACCAGGCTGCATGTTGCTGTCTGTTCGTCCATCACTGCCCAATTCTGTTCAGCTGCGCTGCTGCAGAGACATGGGGGCAGTTGGGGGCTCGGGGCTCTGCGCTGCGAAGGAGCGCAAGGCAGCCAATGGAGTTGAAGTGCGCTGCAGCCCGGGGCGGCACAGCGGCTCCCGGCCAAGGAGATGGAGTTCGACGTCGCATCGGGAGTGGTGCCATGTCTGGATCGGGCTTAGTTAGAGAACGGATTCGTGGGCCTGTGCGACTCCAGGCGGCCCCCAATACAGTGAGGTTCGCACATAGCGGACTGTGGAGGTGAGGTGTGAACAGTGAAACTGCTACTCCGTACTCCGTACCGAACATGACGAAACGAAACGGCCGCGGTTTTCTTGCAGTTGGCTTTTTCTGGGCTCGACGGCAGTTAACCTCGAGTCCTCGACCTGTTGTCCGTAGTGGTGGGTCTTTCAGGTTGTTGAGGAAAAAGGTATCCACTCTGACCTAGTGAGTGTTTGCAGGTCACCGCTTACAGTAGCATCTAACATTGCATCGTGAACTTTAAGGAGCACAACACAACATTCTCCGCCAACGGCTCCCATCACACTTCGAACACACGTCCTTACCGTACCTTCCAAAATGGCGTCGAGCAACGGATACACCATCGTCGAAGGGCTACCGACACCTCAAGTGTACCATGACCTGCGAAAGCTTGCCGGCATGACACCTCCGCCTCTTGAAGCTGTACCAAAAGCGCTGGAAAACTCGTTTGTCGCCATGCTCGCGTACGAGACCGAGGGCATGCTGGATGAATCGACACCAAGCCCGAATCAAATTCCAGTTGCCATGGGCCGTCTCGTGGGCGACAAGTCGCTCTTCCTCATGCTCGTTGATGTTGCAGTGCACCCAGAGCACCAGCGCCGTGGGCTGGGGAAGCGCATTACGAAAGCCCTCATCGACTATGTGGATGCGCATGCGCCGCTGGCCTATGTGAGCCTGGTGGCGGAACCGGCAGCGCAGAAGCTGTATCCTCAATATGGGTTCAAGGATGTACAGCCTAGCATTGGAATGTACAGGATGAGAAGGGATCGGATAGTCGGGGGAGAAGTCATCAATGAGGGTCGTTAGCGGAAGGCTTGAGGCTGGTTTTGGTGCTGTTGTTTTTAAGCACCTCCGTACCTCGGGGCTACAATTTATTCGGCTCCGCTCAACCCTAACATGCCTTGCACAAGGGTTAACTATGATCATGATGACGTCAGTCAACCCTCAACTCTCTTTATTAAGTTGACAATGTTGGACAACACCATCATGCAATTACTGTTGTGAATCGATACATTGCAGCAGTTCATCTCAAACAGAGTCAACATGGAGTCCATAACCGGGACAAAAGACAGAGGCACTGAGTCTGATGTACCTGGGGAGCCGCGCAGCACCAAGAGCACCGTCCTCGAGACTGGCGCAGCAATGACACAGGTAAGTCTGCATTTCCGGCGCTGTGCTCTGAGTTTGATACCATATTCATCACCAGACTGAGCTGTATCCGTTTGATATCTCAGGACTTCTCCCCTCTTCAAAACGTCTGCGCCCATCTCAACGCCTTCCACGTCTACGCCTCGGATCCGACTCGAGTTGTTGAAGCCAACCACTACTGCGGCCACCTTACTGAAGGCAAGCGACCCTCATCCCCTATTTCTCTCTCCCCCATCCTAGTTTTTAGCCCTAACAAGACCGACGAGAGTAAAAGAGGTCCGCCAATGCCTGCTCTACGACTCAGCCTCCCCCCGAGCGCGACTCATCGGGGTGGAATACATGATCTCCCCCCGCCTCTACTCCACTCTCGACGCAGACGAGCGTCGCCTTTGGCACAGCCACGTGTTTGAGGTTAAATCGGGCATGCTGGTCATGCCCCAGCCTTCGCCGCTGGTCCCGCAAGCGGCGTGGGAGAAGGCCGAGACGGCCGAGATGACCGAGGTCATCACGCTGTACGGCAAGGTGTACCACCTGTGGCAGGTTGACCGGGGTGATAAGCTCCCTCTGGGTGAACCGCAGCTCATGACAAGTATTACTGAGAAAGGGCAGGTGAAGGGTTTGGAGGAGATGATGGATGAGAGGGATAGGAAGTTTACCGGGGTGGATTGGCGCAGGAAGAGGGAGATAAGGGAGGGGATTGAGGAGCCTGAGATTCATCCTGGTGAGTAATTCCATGTTTCCAGGTGGGAGGAGATGATATGATTGTGATATGGGCTCTGACTCGAGGATAGATGCCGATTACACTTGGAAGAAGTCCAAGTCGTGATCGTTGCTTGGGCAGCAGGGCGGAAGGCAGAGGGATCGCGGTGAGTGGGTGAGGCGACTGTACATTTCCATCCGCAGTGCAACCGGTCCATTGAGACCTGGATATCCTACATGTATTCTTTGCCCCGAAACCTGATGTAAACCGGGTCCATCTACCTTATCTGCCATGTGGCGATGCCGCGTTTCTTCAGAACGACGCCGATCACTACGTGTGACTGGCCGGTAAAGATATTGATCCTGTAAGTGATAACCAGGGGAAGAGGAGGGAATAAATTGAAAGGGGTGGGATTTACTGCATCGAATTAGACGTCTACGTCAATCTGAGAGGGGCCTCAACAACATATAAAGTCCCGCAATAAGAGGCCGCGTTATTTGCCGCGAATTTAACCATCCCGAAGGCCAATATACGGCAGTATAGTGGCACGCTGTTTCATTTACTTCCCGATTCCACGGGCGTCGCTGAAGGATCCAGGAATTCATGGGTTCATCCACCCCTGACGCCTGTCCTATGGCCAGGACTACATAATGGGGAGAAACGGTTACCTTATTAGCACTTGTTCCATCACCCTAGATGGTTAGTCTTTTTAGATCCCTGCGGCCTCTTGACTAAACTCGGGGGACCCTTCAGATTCACTAACCCAACCACCTTAGAGACTTAGACCAGCACGCAGAATGAGAAACCTAGTCCTGACCATTGTCGCGCTGTGCGCGCAACAAGCTGCCGCCCAGTATGCCACGGCCGCAATGATGAGATTCCAATGTTCGCAGCTCGTCATCGAGCGGCTCGATCCTCTCGTGAACCCAGGCATGTTGCCGTCAACCCATCAGCACCAGATTGTTGGCGGTAACTCGTTCAACGCCACCATGACGCCCGTCGAGTTCGACCCGTCGACCCGGTCCACTTGCACCACCTGCTCTTTCAGCGAAGACTTCTCCAACTATTGGACCGCCAACATCTACTTCCGCGCCAAAAACGGCAGCTACAAGCGTGTGCCCCAGATGGTCAACCTTGGGCTCCAAGGCAAGGGGGGTGTGACTGTGTACTACATCCCGCCCTATGACGGCAAGACCAAGGTCACGGCCTTCAAGCCTGTGCGACTCGCGACACTCGAGCCCCTTTATGAATTACTAGGTACTGACAGAACCAGGGTTTCCGCATGCTAGTGGGCGACCCCAATCTCCGTACACAAAGGGGCATGCAGAAGCAGATCTGCCACCGATGCGAGCACAACATCGAGCAGAACCCCTTTGGAGGCGCTCCATGCACAGGCGATGACACGGCCGCGTTCCCGAACAGGATGTGCCCGGGCGGAATCCGCACCACTATCACCTTCCCAACGTCAGTTCGCCCTTTTACCCCTATTTCTGACTCTGGGACTCACATAGAATCATGACATACTAGATGCTGGGATGGCAAAAACGTCGACAGCCCCGACCACAAAAGCCACGTCGCCTACCCCAGCAGCGGCAGCTTTGAAACCACCGGCCCTTGCCCCGCCAGCCACCCCGTGCGGCTGCCCCAGCTCATGTACGAGGTCATGTGGGACACGCGCGAGTTCAATGACCCAGCCATCTGGCCCGAGACGGGCCAGCCGTTGGTCTACTCGATGGGTGATGGGTAAGCATAGTAGTACCACCTGAATACTTGAACATATAGATGGATGGAAGGTGGTACTAAATGTGTGACGGCGCAGAACCGGATTTGGCCAACACGGCGACTACATCTTTGGCTGGAAAGGCGACGCACTGCAGCGCGCTCTCGACGCCCGCTGCACAGGCGACCGGTGCTCGGTGCTCAAGACACAGTCGGTTGCCGACGCGCTTGCGTGCCAGAAGGAGCAGAGCGTGAAGGATGATACGGAAGGATGTAAGTCTACCTAGTCTGAGTTGCTGTGTGCTGGTATTATCGAAGAGAGTATTCGTTGAGAACTGGACGGGCTAACAAGGCTGTCAGGGCTGTCTGAGTTGCCTGGAGGTTTGCCGGTGACTTATCAGTAAGCTGGAGTTGGAAAAATTGGGGTTACCCGTGGGTCAAGATAAAGTGCCCCCTGAATGCAATGAAGGCTGGGCCCACGGGTATCCTCCTGAAACTTGAAAGATTGACCTGGACGTGAGCCGATAGCATTTGGAAGGTACATTGGTAGCATAGGGGAGGATCAACAATTTCAAGCTGGCATGGCATACATGATATATGTGCCGGTAATAGATTATGGTTGGCTCGGTAGATGGTTTCTTCTTGGATTCGGAAAGGAGGCGAACGAGGCACTGAGATAGGATTCAGGAAGATCCATGAGAGTAGTATTGGCTGGGACCTAAGGCTCTGTGTGTCATTCAATACCAGTTGTCAATGAGACAGACCGTACGGTCAGAGATCCCATTACTCTGCTAGGTATGTATGTATGTATCATCTTTACTTGCATGATCCTATAGAGATGTCGGGTCAACGTATTGCATCTCAACCCGGAACCCCCAAAGACTGCCAGCTACGCTCGGTTTTGAAATTGACTTTAGCCACCTGTTTGAACAGATGCGGAATCCGAGCCACGATCGTCCTTCTCCCATGTCGGCGCTCGATGCTCCTTCCGCCGCTGTGCCCTCATCTTGAACGATTCTGCTGGGAGTCAGCTCTAGCAGTACATGAAGATTCCAACAATCAGAGACGGGACACTTACGCCACCAAAGGTCGACACATACGATGATGGGAGAGATCAGAAGCGTTAGGGCCACGACCTGTCCGAATCCAATCTCGTCTTCCTTGTCCCTCTTGTCCGGGTGCATACAATCTCTACCCACACCCCGATAGTGGAATGCCAATACGAACTGCCAAACAATGAAGGAAATGCTGATTGCCAGCGTTGTGAGCGGCTGAAAGACATACAGGTAAATCCCGAGGATGCCTATCCATAGTAGTCCCTGAATCAGCAGGGTCCCAAAGATCCACACACTGCGGACAAGCAAAACAAGGCTAACAAGTACTGCCGGTCTGGAATTGTTTTTCCATAGCTGCTGAAGCTCTTTGAGAGCTTTAACCGGACGCAGAAACATCACCGTAACGGCCTTCTCGGCGTAGTAATTGACCAGAAGCGACATTTCGAAATCCAGAGAAAGTGTATTCAAGACCAACCCTGGAAAGTGGGATGCATAGAGAAATATTGTCAACCTCTCTTCAGGTGTCGACAAATCCCGATACGGCCCAAAGTCATGGACCTTGTCGGCGAAGTACAAGCTGTGATCGAGCTTCACATCCAGCAAGAGAACCAACCCAAAGAGCACCCACATGAGGAAGACCCGGATAGCCTTTTTAACACTGTTGCCGTCAAGAATAGAGCGCGCCGACATCATTCCCGAAACCGATGCTGTAATCGCAATTGACGCCAGCTGGAGGCACACGAGGTAGTGAGAAACCACGATGTCCTTCTTGGCGAGTGCTGCGACACATATGGCGATACCAGTAGCAAACTGTGTGTCAGAAAGAGCGAAAAGCGCCTCTTCGAGGGCTGAGTAAGAACGAACAAGCGGGCTGCATTCTTCGCTGTCCTCGTCGTTGTCGACTTTGTCGTTGGTGGTGGACGTCTTGGTTTGGGTATCAAGCCCGCCGTCACCCGGCACCACATCTGAGGCCTCATCGGTTTGGACCCGGCTCAGTTGTGCCAGTCGGTACCTCTTAGCGTCTTGTCGAGTAGGCCACTTCCTCCCATCCTTTGTTGGAATCTTCAAAGGCTTGAGCAGGAAAACGCCAGCCAGACCTTTCGCGCGAGTGTCTCTGATGATCTGAATTGTGTTGAGGAGCATCACCATTGACCCAATAACAACGAATGAAAGAATGACCCCGATACCCACGATATCGGGATCCGGCTCGATAGGGGGTATACCCACTTCCTCGACGCCACAGTTCGGAGGGAACATGAAGACGATTTCGGTTTCTGCATCGGTGCTGGCCATGATCAAGAGCCGTTATGTGAGCCCAACAATACTCATCTGCTGCACGTTGAGGAATATTGAGGATAAAAGCCCTATCATTCATGATACATGCGCCTGAAGCGTCGGCCTGATACGCCGGGCGCCAGCCACGCACGTGTTGATGCTGTCGAATTTGCCCGCTGCGACTGATCGTCGCGTTTCACAAGCCTTTCCCAAATCTATCACTTACCTCCAATATGGCCTATGACTCCCTAATCTAATTGGACGGCGGTAGGGAGAGGTGCTCGCCAATGCTTTGACAAGTCCTCGGATATCGGAACGTCCAGGCCACGCATCACCCAGTGACTATTATATTAGGTTTGGAACTTATCAAGTTACCTGGGGAATGGCGAACGGCAAGCAGCATCAGCTCAGCAAGAACAATTGAGAAGACGAAGGTAGCAGGTGTAGAGCCGACTGAACTGAACAAGACTTGAGGAAAAGAGCAAATTCTCCAAGAGTTTATAGGTACAATACAACTAGAATTACCAAGCCTGGACGATACCGTAATCGCCAAGTGAAAGACATCAATACATGTCCCAAAGCTCTCGAGCCAGGCCCTCCGACTTCACATTAGCCGTGCACGTCTCATACGTTACAATGTTTCTACACAGGACAGGTTCAGGTTGCCATTCCACATTCCAACAACGCTTAGAGCATCGCCGCAGCAAGAGCAAGCACACCCGCCACACCCGCAACGCTGACACCAGTCTTTCCGGCACCAGCAACGAAGACGGGCGCGCTCGTCGAAGGCGCCGCAACCACCCGCGACGCCGAGATGGTCCCGACCGAGCCAGCGCCGGCACCGGCGCCCTTGGGCGTGTACGTCGGCGCGGGTTGCTGCACTTGGGTGATGATCGTCGATCCGCTGCCATGCGCTCCATAGCTCTTCGTGCCCACGCCGGTGGTGCCGGTGCCTGTGCCTGTGGTTACGGGGCAGACGGTTGTGGCGGTGGGGATCAGCTCGGTGGTGACGTAGGGCACGGGCGCGCAGGACGTGGTCAGGTCGGCGGGGCAGGATGTCACAGTGTAAGTGCGTGTGCTGCACAGGGTCGAGGTGGTGTACTGCACGCCGTCGGGGAAGGTCACGCTCGGGGTCACGGCTGCGGTTGGGAGCTGGCTGTGGCTGCTGATGGGGCAGACGGTGGTTGCTGTGGCGATGAGGGAGGTCGTCACGTAAGGGGTGTGAGGGCAGTTGGTGACGGTGGGGGCGCAGGACGTGACGGTGTAGGTGGTCGTGGAGTAGAGGGTGGATGTGGTGTACTCCTCGTTGGTGGTCACGGTGCAGACGGTGGTTGTGTAGGGCACCACGGTGGTGGTGACGTACGGGGTGTTGGGGCAGTTGGTGACGGTGGGCGGGCAAGAGGTTGCCGTGATAGTTGTGGTTGTATACAGAGTTGAAGTGGTCCACTGGGCGGTGCTGGTGTCAGAGTGAGACGTCGCGGTACCAGTCGGCTTGCTGCTTGACTCGGAGTGAGTGCCCGTGGCGGAGGTGGTTGTGCCCGTGTAGCTCGCATCAGAAGTCGTGCTCGCTGAGTGGCTGTGAGTGCCTGTTGCAGACGATGTAGAGGTCGAAGTCTGCGACACCGACGACAAAGTAGCCGTCGTGGTCGTGGTCGTGCACGTTCCTTGAGCGTAGATGGCACTATTCTTCGTTAGCATCATTACCTCGGAAGAACAATGGTATGACGGTCCAATCCTTACCCATGATCAGCATCCTCAGGCGGGTGGTTAGCACCAGTCAGATCCGTCAGGTTCTGCTTGTTGCCGGCTGCGTTGCCCTCGTAGGGCATGCACTGAGCCTTGCAAACCTCAATGTGCTGCCGAGGGATCTCAATCGTGTCTTGAATCGCGAAGGGGTCCTCGATGATGGTCGCAGTCAGTCCCAGAGGCACATGCCACTCGAGATGGCAGTGCAGGAGCCAAACACCGGGGTTGTCAGCCTTGAACCGAATCACAGCCGTGCTGTTCGCGTTGACAATGACGGTATCACGGACCATGGCGGACTCGGAGCAGTCGACGGGGCTGTTGCTAACACCGCTGTTCGGTGCACCCCGCTTGCAGACCTGGAAGTGGTGGCCATGGAAGTGGAAGGGATGGTTGGCACGATGCAAATTGTTGAGGACAAACTCAACGACCTGTCCTTCCTTTACGATGAAAGGGTTGACATCGCCGTAGATGACCGGGTTTTCTGCTTCATCACCAGCGGAGACGGCCGTGTAAAGAGTCGGTACCTTCTGGTGGACGTATGGCTTGCCGTTGACGAAAGCACTGTGATGATCCATCAGTTGTGGGATCCTGGGAGAAGCTGGATCAGGAGGCCTTACCGAGGAACACCCCATTCGTCCAGTCCAAGGTTCAAATCCATCGGAATGACCACATCAGTTGGGGAGTCAACCCAGTCGTCGATTTTCAGAGGCTGAATCCGTTAGAAGCTTTCTTTAGATGGTCAAGGCAGGCCAATCTGGTCCTGACATACCTTCAAGTTAAAGTCATCAAGAATCTTCCAGCTCTGCGTGGTGACCGGGGCTGGGAAAGGAGCACTCGAATCGTACTGCAAGCTGCCGGTAACGTTGAGGTTGAAGCCAATGGTAGGCACAGGACGTTGGAAGTTGGGGTTGAGGTCGAACACGGCCGAGAAGGCGTAGTTCTTGTCGGCCGTGTCCTTGGCCTCAATGATGAACGAGTACCGCTGGGCCGGCGAAAGGTAGATCTGCTCTGCCTCTGTCTTCTCGACGTAGGCAGCGTCGATCTCGATGACTTGCATCTTGTGCTGATCAAAGAACAAAACGACACCAGCCAGAGCTGCCATGTTGACCACGCGGATCTTGTACTTCTTCCCTGGCACGAACTTGAGTTCCGTATTGACCACGGCGTTTGAGGCATCGTTGATAAGAGCTGACGGCGGGAGTGGAGGCGCGACATTGGTGTTTGATGTATTGAATACGACAGTTCTGAGAATTGTCGGGACGTCCTGGCGATACCAGTCTGTGTTGGGATGTCAGCTGGACATATGCTCATTGCTTTACCAAGTCCAATATCTGTTTGAATTTCTTACCCGACACTGTGAGCAAGTATTCCTCGTCATATTCGCCCTTATAAGGGTCCTCCAACAGCTTGTCCCTAACAATCATCGGCCCTCGAAGACCGTCTGGGTATTGGCTCCCAGTGTGTGAGTGATACCAGTAAGTGCCCGCTTGGTCAACCTGAGCCCCCAAGTCAGTTGAACGTTGAAAACAAATGGGAATACTCAGCAAACTCACGATGAAATCATACGTGAAGGTCGAGCCAGGAGGAATCGGGCATTGGGTGCCGTGAGCAGGGCCATCCATGTGGCTTGTCCCGAGCTGGTGGATGCCGTGCCAGTGAAGGCCGGTGGACTGGTTGCCCAAGCTGTTATGAACGTTGACAATGACACGATCGCCCACGGTTGCTTCGACGGTTGGCAGCGGCCATTTACCGTTGATGCCTGCACACAGCTGTCAGCGAGAACCGCTCAAAGCTTGATCCTCTTCCCAGGGGTGTCATCTCACCGATCACATCGCGCTCAACGCCATCTGGAGCTGCCTTGACCCAGCCAATGTCAAAGTCATACTTCACCACGGCCGCCAGCCCGCCCGAGGCCGCAGCGGCCAACAGAGCCAAAGATTTAATCATTGAAGCGGATGGGTATTAATACATTAACCCGAGCTCGGGAAGGAGAGAATAATAGTTGGTCTGCAAACAAAACGAATGACAGCAAGCGAATGACTGAGCGAATGACGGTTTGCGCAACTAAGAGAAAGGAAAGAGAAACCTCAACTTCAAGAGAATGGGAAGGTCATGTATATTAGAAAGAAGATATTCCAGCACAGTCCACCCGCGTCTAGACCGCCGAGTTATGCTGGGGATCATTCTTAGCGAGGCTGTGGACGACGCCATGACTTCTCGGAACCGACGGCTGATGAGTGAGAATTGTGAACTCGAGTAGGTGACTGACAGGGCGATAAAGGGGCAGCGTTGAGTGTTGGTGTTTCTTTTGCGCCATTCCTCAGCAAGCAACCAATGGTGATCAAGGTGGCTTGCAATAGCGTTCGTGATGACAGCCGCTTGCCGGGGACCTGCAGGGCTCTGACGGTTTTGAGCGGCGCCTCAGTCGATGGACAAATGGGACTTGCCAAGATTGCACCAATCCTGTTGGCGATCGCCATCAAAATGTGCTTGTCACTGCCCCTTGGATGAGCTAAGATGCGTACAGTATCCCCTGCGAACTCAGCGCCGATAGCTGCAGCCTTAGCGTTGCAGGGAAATCGAATCTCCGAACTGTTGCTTCTGTCAGCCGCTTAGCTTGGTACATGACATGCCTTAGTTATGTCTGGGAATGTGAAAAATAAACAACGCGTGCATATATAGGGGCTCAGGAGGCGACTCGGAACATTCATCAAGAGTCTCAGCATCATTTCGATTTCAGCCATGGCGGCTCATAAACTTGGCTTGCAGATAAGTATTTCGAGTCTCTCGCGATGGGCGCCTGTATCATGATGTCAGAGAGTCAAGAGACTCCATTATTGATTGGGGCTTGAAGTAGGGCAACTCACCTAGAGTCTCCAGTTGGGTAGTCAGAATTGAAATAATGAATACACACTCAAGTCGTGTAGTTCAAAATTCGGGGAAACGCGATGCACGTGGGATATGGTGCCATATTTGGCGGCCGGGGCTGATGACGAACTCGGTGCCTCGGACATCTCGGTCACCATTCACAACCTCTTACGATCCCACTTGACCTGATGAATGAGTTGCGTCTAGGTCAGCATTGTACATGTACAATCGACACGTCTTGTTGAATTCTTTATTCGATGCTGCTGAACGATATCCTTCATATTGGCTGCATTTCCGACCATGTCGTTGTCACGGGGGTTGCCAGAAAAGGATGCCAATGCCAGCCATGTTCAGGTGTCGGTGAGGAATGGACATGGGATCGGAGTTTTCAGGGGGATCACGTCGCGACTGCCGAGCTTTCTGCAGTGCCGAATTGTATCCGTACAATACAGTGTACTGTACACCATACGGAGTACTCCGAGTCTGGTTGAATCACTTCATATCTTGACTCTCCCCCAAGGCTTCTTTTCTGCACTTTCTACGCGTAACTACATGCTCTTCGACTCAGTCAGGTTAAATTACCTAGGTATGTAGGTATACCTGTAATGATGCTTTGTGGTTGAAGGACTGAGCAGGAGGACTACTGTAGGGACTTAGAGACTCACTCAGACTAAGAAGGTACAAGTACGGATATGCACATCAGCACCGGATTGACCTGTACGGCTTGTTTGAACACTTCAACACCACGGCGGTTTCTGCTTATCGTAAGGGAGCAACTCTGTCACTGCTAGCCGAACCTACCGTAATGCACCATACTATCCATGAATATTGCTAACGCTACTAGTACGTCTATGATACAGCGGTACGCTTCGCGGCTTCGTGGATGAAGTTGTTCATGCGTCGGGGAACTTGGAGTACTCTACCAAGTCCAACTCCAAGTAATGACTCCAAGCTTCGATTTCGATTATCACTATCTGATCCACAACTTGTACATTCAGTGTGATTTCATGCTTGCAACAAGTTGCCAGGTTAGGTAATCACTGAAGCTTTCTCGGCGTACGGAGTGCTTGCAGGGTTGTTGGAATTTCCCCCGCATGCCTACCAGCATGGGAAGTCTTGCCGGTGATTTATTTTCAGTTAACTCAAGTGAGCGAGGCTTATGCCGCCAATTCCATCCTAGCCACAATCACGTAGATCGACCCGATCATATCAAGTTTCCAAGTTTAAGGTACTCTTCACAATTTATACCAGATAAAGACCTCGCCCTTTCCCTGCCGTTACTTCCCAGTGTCAACTCAACATCCGGGTTACGATAAGATCCAACGAAAAGTGAGTGATAAAGACGCAGATGCCAATGAGATGCCCTGTGTGACTGTGTCTCTCCGAGTTACGTCCGAGGACAAGGTCTGGAACCATCAATTGAAGTCCGCTAAGGGATGAGGTCAAGTATCCGAACTCAGTGTCAGGCCAATGGAGACTGAGTCTAACCTAACTTGAAATCTAGCAGAAGTCAAGCTTCTATTAGCGGACCTCAGCTTGAAGATGTTTGCGCATTGACATGATAGATATGGGTGAGAGCTAGAGCTGCAGTGGTCGGTGACTGGGAGGTCGCTATACCTTCCGTACCTGAGATTCTTACCGTTGCTAGAACCAAGAAATGCAACCACTTCCCGTTCAATGCTCTTCTAAAGGAGTCTGGTAATACCTACTAAACGAGAGCTCAAGAAGTCCGGAGTGTGCGGTCTTGATATATGCCACAGTTTCGTAAGGTACACCTTAGTAGCCTTAGTTCAACTATGCTCTACCCCTAACCCCTGACGCGTGTATCCGACTTATGTTGTTGCAGTGGGCGGCCTTTGTGAACGTGTACCTAGGGAGGTACATTCAAATTGGGTTCGCTATAGGAATGCTGAGACAGTTATAATTCGCCATTGAGTCCACCCGCGCGGTTACGCTGCTTCGATATAAGTGCTGTAATCTCAATTCTGCCTTAACTGCACCCCAATGCTTGGATCTAGTCCATGACGCCGTACACTGGCGCGCGTTGAACCGGTCCAGCGAGTCCTTGAATCGAGGCTACAGGTCGCACATCGGCATATTCCACGAGACATCCTACATCACCAGCAGGGGACTTCAAGGCCATCTAAGACAACATGCGGCGTCTGTGCATGCGGGAAACCAGTGTGAAAGTGCGAAACTAAGCTAGGTCACGGGAAAAGATGAGTGGGTAAGGACGCTGCTAGAGGGTTCGTACCCGGAACAGCACTCACGCATGATAGGGGCCGCAAACTGGACAGTGAGGCAGAGAAACGGTTGAAGGGGGAATCAGGGCGAAGAAGGAATAGGGACTTGTCGTTACATGTAAGATTTATTGTTGGTATCATATAAGCCTTAAAACTATGTTACTGCGCTTTCCATGTTTCTCTTTTGAAGACCAAGTCGGTGCTTTCCTACCGGCCCTGATTGGGAATGTAAACAGTCACATCCACAAACTCCAGACACCATATCCAAGACAAAAAGTAAATGCCGGCTACGTCAAAGAGCCCTTCCCGGCAGGTTGTCCTCGTCGTGCTCGGCCTGGTAGATGTCCTTGCGTACTTCGTGCATGTCGATGTGTGCGATTGCTCCATCGCCGTCGAAGATGCGTGCTATTTCCTCCAGAGTCGGACCCCTTGTCTCGACGTAGAAGAACCAGACAAACACCAGCTCGCACAAGTCCCAAAGAGTGTAGAAGAGCATGAAGTTCCAGTGGTTTGGCATCCGCGCCCACGCAAGCTTGTTGGTTTGACTAAAGTAGTTGAGGAGGCAGGTCAGTACCAGCATACACAGACGGAGAGATGAGTCAAACTTACTTGCTGAGGGCGAGGATAGCCTGTACCGTGATGTTCATGATCATCATGCCCTTGGCGCGGAGGTGGAAGGGTAAGACCTCCAGCGCGTAGGCGACTAACAGGCCCGAGAAGCCAATGTCGTAGAAGATGCCGAATATCCAGATGAAGACGAGCTGCGCGTGGCCCGAGCCGACGTTCTGCTCGCCCGAATTCTCGTAGACAGCACCGGTCACGGTCCAGCATGCGAAGGAAATTACCATACCGAACATAGAGACGAGGAACAGCGGCCGGCGGCCGAAGCGGTCGACGTTGAGCGCCGCCGTGATGGTGACGATGAGGTCAAGAATCGTCTTCCCCGTCGACATGGCGAGCTTCTGGTTCTGTGCCCTGATGCCAGCGCCCAGGTAGATCGTGTCCATGTAGTTCGAGAAGAGGGCATTGCCGCTGTACTGCGAAATGACGCCCAGCGACACGATGATGGCGAGACGCCACCGGTTACCGCGGGTGGCGAAGAAATCCCGATAACTAGTCGCACGCTCCGTCTCCTTCTGGATGCGAATCGTCTCCTTGATCTCGCGGAACTCGAACTGCACCGTGGCGTTGTTGAGGTTGCCCCCGCCATGCCATTTGGACAGGATAAGCAGCGCCTCCTCGTTGCGGCCCTTGTCGATCAGGTAACGAGGCGACTCGGGAATCCACCAGATGCCGCACAGCTGGACGAGCGATGGGACAATCTGGAGGAGCGTGATGGAGCGCCAAGACCAGTCGTTGTTGATGTTGGCGGTGCCCCACGCGATGCACGACACGAGCAGTGCGCCCGCGTTCCACAGGCAGTTGTAGATGGCCGTGACGGGGCCACGATGTTGTGGATGGCAAATCTCGGTCAGGAGAAGCGGCGATGCCATCTGCGCCAGCGAGTTACCGAACCCCAGCAGGTAGCGGCCGCCCATGTACACTGCTCTCCATGTCAGTAAGGGTTCGAGCAAGGTGCGGGTGCCTACCCACTCCCGTATCCATTGCAAAACGCGGTCAGTAACCCGCCCATGATCATGAAGAGACAGCCGAGGACGATGGCTGGCCTCCGGCCGTAGTGGTCGGCCACGTAGGGCGTAATGAAGAACGACGTGATGGATCCGATGTTGAACATGTTTACGAGGATGCCGAGCTTGCTGTCGAGCACGGGGTTCGAGAGATGCGGGTCGTCTTTGAGCTCGGGGAAGAAGAACCATTTCCACAAATCGATCTGCTGCGAGGTGTTGACAAGCATCCCGTCGTACCCGGTCGTCGCTGATGCCACCATGAGGATGGTGCTCAAGCAGTAAAGCTTCCTCAGGTGCGGCTCTTTTGTCCAGTAGACCCTTTGAAACCGTGGCGCATCTTCCATCTCCTCAAACCCGGGCGAAACCGAGTCTAACCTCGTGCTGGCTTTTGGCGCCATTGCCGACTGCACCGCTGGCCGCCTTTCTCAGTACGTTGGTCGGTTATAAGAGGTCTCAGATAGAGTTTTCTTTCGGGGGGAGGAGCGTGAGGAGTTTCTCGTCGGATCATCGAAAGCCTATCCAGGCTCAAGGTGGTGTAGACGAGGGGACATTCGTATCCTGGGGGCACGAGCAGCACGTCCTAGTACTTCTGGGGTTCAGTGCTCTTCTTGAGGTTGACCGGTAGGGGGATACGATCTCTGGTAAGGAGGGGCACCCTAGCGGAAAGTGGACCACCTAACTCCGATGAAGGTGAGCCTGTCAAGGCCGGGTCGCGACGGTAGGGTGGCCGATGAAACCCCAGGCCGTCTGGGGGGCCACTAGCCTCGCGTCCCGCATATTGGAGGATTCATGGTGGGCTTGGCACAAGACCCAAATGGCGAAGCGGACACTTGGATCCCGAGTCATCGTCAGAGGTTACGCAGCGATGCAGGTGAGAGCGGTGATTCGATGTCTTGATGGATAGGTCTGGCTTCAGAATATGCGTTCTAAGGAACTATATCGACATCAACGTTAGTAAAGGTAATGTTGAACGTGCAATACTTCGTACAACACAAGACCCCGGAAGAACCCTTGGCCGTGGAAAGGCAAGGGCATGGTTACTGGCTATTTTTGAGCAGGTCGCTACTACAGTCCTCGTAGACATCCACGGTCGAATTTCGCTAGACCTGGGTGTGCCAATCGACCGGAACGAGAATCAAGGATCATGGATTCGAGCCGACATGGATGCACAGGACAGACAAACCGTCAGATGTTGGGGTTTTCAGGTGTGCAGTACCTACCTGCCAGTGTATGTATGTACAGTACAGTACAGTACAGGACAGACGTTCTCTGCAAGGCCTTCCGGAAGATTGACCCAACTAAGAAGGCCCGGATGGTAAAACGGGAAAATGGTGGGATACAGCTAGACGACCAATCGCCGATGGCCTGATATTGCCATTGCATCAGCCCGGTTCGGACTGATGGCCATCTGATCGGATTGCTTGCGGGGAACCGAGGAAGTTTGGAAGTCTGATGTTCGCCGTCCGAACTTGCTCGATTAGAAGAGCACAGCTTCTCGAATCTAGCGTTTGGTGACAGCTTTGCGCACAGACGGAGAAGCGGTGTCATCACCTTCCATGCTCTGAGCGTTCGCAAGGTAGCCCAGAAAATCGAAATGAGCCATGGATCAAGCGACCAGGAACCCGCTGGATTGGTCAATGGACTGTGCCGCATGCAGTGAGCGCAAGCATGAGTATGCAGGGGCTGCAGTGTTGGCGGGAGGCATCCCATGTTGGTGTAAGTGAATTCATGCTTTGCCCAACGCTGGGTGGGGATAGGCATGACAATGGATTTTGGTGCTGTTGGCGGCGGTTTGTGGACGAGAAGCCGTGCTGAATTTTTTCGCCAGCTTTTTTGTGGTCAAGAAGCTCCCCGGTTTCCGGCCCGGAAGTCAGGGACGAAAATCCGGGGTAGAAGGCTGGACTGATCACCAAAAATCCACAATCACGGGCACAGGCGAGATTGCCCAGCGACCAAGTGGGGCCCAAAATTCCTGGGGAAGACCGCAACCCAAGATCAATGGACGCTTCATGGAAGCCATCATGATGCTCCACAGCCAGCGCAGTCTCGTCCGTCGTTCCTTCCTCATGTTCCTGGTTCCCCAGCCCCCAATAGTGCGCGCTAGTCGTGCTCAAAGCTTCTTAGAGGTACCATCATAAGTGTAGTTAAGGATCATGGTTGGTTAAGGATCACCAGCCACCTGCCAGGGCTTGGCCACAGGTGTCGCTAAATTGAACCCACGGTTGACTGTCCAACGCTGCCACCTGAACACCTGCAAATCGGCTGGGGACTTGACACCTGGCGAGAGTCGAGGCACCTGTGAGCCAAGACTTGATGAAGGCTTCTAATTGGCTCTTGGCAGGCTGATCCTTAGCTGGCCATGATCCTTAACTACACTTACGATGGTACGGACTACGGTAGTTTGCGTCCACTCGACATGTCTTCCCTGAGTCGTGCAGATCCCCGTCGGACTGTTAAGAGGGGTAGTCGAGAGGCCGATTTTTGGGTGCAAAATTTTGCCTGCACTAACAGTTACCATGTACTGTACCGCTGGACAACGAGAAAACCTGTGCCCACGCGACAACGAGAAATTGATGCACGTCGCTCCAATACATGCTCGCGGTTCCCTATCAAACCAAATTGAAGGCAAGAATTGAAGACACACTGTTGAGCTATATTTCCAACCGGGAACACGCTCTTCGGGAGACAGCAGCATGCATGCGTCTGTCACTCACTGTCTGTGCTCCGGCGGCACGGGACGAAAGCACGCGTGCTGCAGCGCACGGTATCGCGGCGCGGCTTGACCGCGCCATTGGAATTTGTGATGGGCGTGGAGTTCTTGAATTCCTCCACCTTACACGCAGTACTTGTCCGCTCTCACTAACAGGAGGGAATGGTGCCTGGCAAGGACCGAGCTGCTATGGATAAACCAAGCTATCCCTGCCTACCTACACGTAGGTAAGTAACTGCTAATGACACAACTGCAATGTGCAGAATGGCTGATACCCCAACTCTGCATGTATTGCGAGATTTCGATGGCATAAACATGATGAAGCCGAGACGCCATACTTCTTAGCTTACAAAACAGACAGCGCGAAACAGCTACTAGTAGTTCTGCTCCAGCGCCGTCATATTGTAGGTCCATTTCCCGCGTATGTACGGTACAACCTGTGTGCATCATTGATCAAAACAAGTGTGTCTTGAGCGGTGCATCCTGCAGAGTTTCGGTCTATTTTAGACCCTTTCACCGTCTGCGCACTTCACGAGGCATGAGGACCGCAAACCACATGTTTTCATCCTCTCAAGATTCAGGGGTAAGGACCACAAGTCATCGCTGTCACTGTGTCAGAGAGGCGTTGGGCCAGGGATACTTTTGACTGTATCTACTTACTCAAGGCTGTTTCCCGGGTCCTTGAGGTAGTCACTCAAGGCTGAGTACCTTAGGTACCTTAAGCTCGTCTTCGCACCCCATAACCGTGTTATTCAAGACATCCAGCAAGTCAGGTAGTTGCAAAGCGTACTCCTCACGGTTGAGGACACCCAAGCTCGCGCCTTGATTGTGCGGTTACACCAAGAGGAGCAGGCGTCGATACACGTGTCTAAGCTTTGGGTTTGCGCCATCGTTCCACAGCTTCTCCCTCGCCACTATACACAGTATAAGGCCCTCATACGCCGAAGTCGCCTGACCCCTGTTCTTCTGTAAATGGCAATATTGCTCGAGCTGCTGCATTGTCTACTGTTGAGTATATATGGCTAATGGCCATGCCTCGGTTGCAACAAGCAATCGGGGTTCCTGTTTTTATCATCTACTGTTTAAGGCGGTCATCGATGGCTATCTCCCAGAGATCGGTCACCTTGCTGTCCCAGACTGTGTACCTAGGTTGAAAGGGGTTGGATAACGGCCGGACAAAGGATAGGCGCTACTTCAGATAACGTCATCCAGTTCCGTAAACATTCAGGTCCATGGGAACTGAGGTTGCAGCTTCACTTCCTCTCTCCCTCGGCTACGAATTGTCGAGGCCCGCAGATGTTCAACGTACTGCATCGTTGCATTCCAACCCCTAATGCCTTTCTATCCCGGACTTGAACCGTACTGTAGCACCGTCTTGGGGTCTTGTCATACCTAAAACGGGGAAGTATCAGACTCGTATAGCTCCGCCCTAAACCCGATGGATCCTTATCATTGAAGGGAACATGCAACGTGTATAGCGCCGTTAAGATTCTACCAGATCAATGGAACTCTGCTTGAAGCAAACGAAACTCTGTGTTGGTATCCTCGCGTAGGTAGCCACGAAGGGCAGATAGGGCAGGCAATTCTCAAGGAGACGAACATGAAGACACGTCAATGGGTGTAATAGCATTATAACTATTCATCAGAGACCCGACAGGACAACGACTGAGGCCCGAAGAAAGGAAATTTCTGTATACTAGACCGGGACTGGGCGGTTTCTTCCACGCATTCCACTCTTCCCCTTGCCTCCCGAGTCGAGCTCATCCGAAGCAGCGAACGTCGTGAGCGCTGTGGCCAGGCAGGGAAAAATAGATGGCGACATCGCTGTTACCGCACATACACTGGTTGGCTCGACCTCCGAATGCGTTCCGTCCGTCGTCGCAGAACAAGCAGCCTTTCCCAGTCCCGGCAAGGCAAAATATGCCTTGATTCAAGCAGTCATTGAGATTGTTGCAAGTGGCTGCCACGCTTGGTTAGTCTCTAGGCTGGGCAAGACTTGACTTCTCTCGATGGAGTTAAGTAAGACAGCAGGGTCTTGGCAGCGCACCTCTTTTCTCAATGTTGCTCGACTCACGAATTGGGAGGGCTGGAACCACCGTCATGGCCGACAACTTGTTATCCTCGGCTGTGCCGGGTAGTTGGGTGACTGGCCAACACAATGCCGTACCGGCAAAGGAAAGAACGGCCAGGAAGGGGAACACACGAGTCATGGTGATGTGATAGAAAGAATTACAAAGAGCCTGGACTGCCTCAACGGCTCGGCTGCGAGTCAATGAGAAGGAAGCTGGTCAGTTGGACGACGTCTGCGGACGCTGAGAGAACTTGTCAAGGCTGAAGAGAGAACGATCTCCAAGACTCGGACCTTCTTATAGTCATTGACGGCAAGAAAAGCTTGGTCTCAATGGGATGATCTTTTCTCCCGAAGTGGTTGAACTTGGGCAGGTCGCCATGTATCCTCACTGTGTAGTGTGTACGTTTCAAGTGTCCCGTGGCACCAACCGCGGACGTTGGACCTTGCAATGCGGCGCTTGGAAGCCAACGAGAGATTGCCTCAATCTCAAATTAAATGGAATGGACCATGCCTTGCTACGCCCTCGGAGGAAAAGGCCGGTTGGATCTCTGGATGTCCGAGACTCCCAGGTAGCTGCACCAGCACGAAGCCTGCCTTAGTTACCTGGCTCTCGAAGTCGACCTTCATCTCGCGGATGCTGTTGGCACGACCCTCAGAAGAAGGGTAGTATTTCATGATTGTGCTAATCAGCGAGGCGGATTACCTGGTGCTACAACGACACTCATTCTAATCATGCAGTGACTTGCCAAGTGATTACCTTAGTTATCCCGACTTTTGTCTCATACGCGCTACATGTACTCGACTTTCAGGTTCACCGGGAAGGTGATGTCACGGTATTCCACAACGGCCAGGCCGATGATATATCTAACTGGAGTCATCGTCAGGATCGCAGCAGAAGTCTGTCGTCCTTGCATAACGTTCTCTTTAGTGGGAGTTGCGGTGTCGCAACGGTGAAGCAAGGCCATTGGGTAGCCCGAAACTGATTGACATCCCCGGTCTCTTACCTAGATTGTGCGTATTTGAGTTACTAGTATTTCCTCAGGGACTTTAAGTACCTAGCCATCAAGGCTGGTTACACTGAGTCGTTTACAGATGGTCTATCTTGACAAGTCTTTTGATACGAGATGAAGGGTGGGCAATGTCTGCTCAGTCACAATGGGCTAAACGTACCTAGTTTTAACCTCGTGAAGATGACGGATGGACATATGACATCCCAACTGGTTCTTGATAGCGAACTTATCCTCAGCGTAGCACATGGCACTAGACAGACGGGCGCCAACTCGCGAGGGACCCCCTCTCGAATTTGATGCCGGTGTAAACCGGCATAACAGCCCCAACAAAGGCAGTCGTGATTGCTATGAATGACAGGGCTGCCCTCTCTTCTCGCTCATTACCTTGGTTCATCGTCTTTAGGTTAATGTTTCCAGTGCATCGCCATCATTGACCACATCACAGATAGCCACCCGCCTTCTAGCTAACCCACCCTTCGTTCTTGAAGTTCGGTAGCCTCCTTGCCCGTCACGGTGCACAATGACAACAGTTGACGAAATCCGAGTTGCCATCGTCTAGGCTTTTCCAAGAATCCCAATGACCAGATCAAATTATCGTACGTTGCCCAATAACCCATCCACGTTCCAGCTCAGACTCTCGACACCTCGCCGCCGCTGCAGCCTGGCCAGAAGCCAAGCTGTGTGCTTCCCCGCAGCTCCTCAACTCTCATAACAGGCAAAAGTCCATGCCGGTAGTCGGGTACAATAAATGCGCCTGCAATATTGAGGATGGTGATTCGGGCTGCTTACCCATTTTCGCGACGAGACCCCTATACTTAGCATCGATCCCGGGTGCGGAACGCAGATGTTTGGTTAAGGTATACCTTACCTCCCCGCCCTTACCGGTCGAGAGCAACATTACCTGCGTTCCGTTGGATACCACCTTCCCTGGAACCGATCCTCAGCATCAGTCCCGTCCCCAAATCACCGACTCTGTGTGTGACGTAACTGCAGCTGATATTGGTGATTCGCCCGGTCTGGACTCCGTCCGTTTCCTGGGCCGGACGTGCAGCCTGGGCAGCACTTCTCGAGATGGGTTGTACAGATTATATGGGGTAGTCTGCGTGAGACAATCTTGATGCTGATTCGGCACTGGGAGATTACCAAGGCATGGCAAGCACCCAGTGTTCATGTTGTAGAATCATAGGATGCAACCGCACTGTTGCAACGACTGGCGAGACTACTGACGAACTGCATCGGATGCGGAAGACCCGGGTCGGTTCACACCACATGAGGTTGTCTAGGAAGTGCTCCGCTGACAATGGTTGAAAAACCTCACGCCCAGGTGAGCACGGGAGTTCCAACTATATGAACAACCGGTATCAGCCAGTCCTCACTCCCGTCTTAATCCTCCTCTCAACCCCGTCAGGAGTCTCAGCTGCAAGCAAACCTACCTACCTCTCAGGCTAGACGTCCGACACCATGCTCCTTCAACTGACACTTCTTCTTGCCAGCACCGGCCAGGTGCTTTCCATTCCTCCGCGTGGATCCTGTCAGCCATTCCACCCGGAACCTCGCTCAACCCATCTCGACTGGAACACCCCGCGGCCAGACGACGGCGGGTTCCTCGCCAACCGGACCGACGTCCACACCGAAGAGTTCTTCAACAATCCTCCAATCAAGCGATCCAGTCTCCCCGCCCAGTCCGTCTCGGCACCCCTGAACCCCCTTCTCGGCCGCGCAACCCCAGGCCAATGGGAGAACCTCAACGGCAACGCCATCTACCACGCAGCGCCCGCATCCTGGGGCGGCTCCCGCCTCGACGTCTTCTACATGCACCGGGACCGGAAATGCAAGTACAAGAGCCGCGACCGCTACGACGGCGGGTGGTCCGACTGGAACGACCTCGGCGGCTCTCTCGACGGCCCACCAGCCTGCTGCAGCCGCAAAAACGACAACTACCACGTCTTTTGCAAAGGCACCGACAACCAGCCGTGGCACCGGTCGTACAACCCGGGCAGCGGCTGGGGCCCGTGGCAGAGCATGGGCGGCACCATGAAGCACTACCCATCCACCTGCTCATGCGGCAGCAAGCACGTGGGCATCTATGTGACAGCCCCCGACGGGCAGTGCTGGCACCGCAGGTACGACGAGGACCGCAGCGGGGGCTGGTACAGCTGGGAGAACATGGGCGGGTTCCTCGACAGCGCGCCCAAGGCGGTCACCTGGGGTGAAGGACACACCAGCGTGTACTGCAAGGGCGATGACGGGCAGGCGTGGCATAAGAAGTACGAGAACAACGCTTGGGGCGACTGGGAGAGTCTCGGCGGGTCGCTCGACGGCGAGCCTGCGGCTTGTGCTTGGGACGGGCGCATGCACATCTTTGTTAAGGGCACCGACGGCGCGTGCTGGCACAAGGCGTACCGGAAGGGGAGCGGGTGGGGTTCGTGGGAGAATATGGGCGGCAAGCTCAAGCCGGGTAGGGCGCCGGATGTGGTTGTGTGGAAGGGCAAGATGGAGCTGTACATCACCGGGGATGACAATGCGGTGTACCGCAGGGTTTGGGAGAACGATAAGTGGACCCCGGGCTGGGAGAACATGGGGGGGAACGTCGATTGGAAGCCTAGCGCCGTCACCTGGGACGATGGTAGGTATGAGGTGTACGGGACGGCGTCGGACGGTAGCTGCCGGCGGTGTTACTGAGCAGAAAAGTTCAAAAGTGTGTCGTTATGGTCTTGACGTGTGATGCTCGGCAAGTTGAGGTGGACAATGCGCGGATAGCAGGAGCCTTTCTTTGACAGCGGCAAGCCGGTTGGGGATTCCCCTAGGCAGTTGTTAGCTCAGCTCTCAGGCTCAGATTGCACCTTAATGATACCTACCTACGGCAGGCATATTTGGCCGTCTTCATTGCAGTTGAGACCGACCGACAGCTCGAGGCCGGCTCCCTTCAGGTACAGCGCATCTTGCATTATGGTATTGTAGTGTATCCGTTATAGTACATGTCGCTCTATTCCTTCACAGCTTGTATTGCCGGCCGCCCATTGTAACTGCGTCATCGACATAAGGGATTAGATAACTGCATCCCGAGGTCCCATTTCAGACTTAACGTTCCCCTACACCGAACACCCGGCTGAAACCTCAAAATTTCCGCCATCATGATGCAATCACATTCTTCGTCAGGAAAGTTTTAGATACCCTTTCTCACTGCGACCCTTCGGAAACTCCCCAAAACTGATGGGCGGTTCTGTCGAGCACATCCGACCCGTTCAGGACCCTGTCCCGTAAATCCTCGACGTGCCCCGGAGCCCTATATGCGGCCTGCACCAGGAGTGGGGTGAGGCTGGCCATGACATTGTGACCGAACTCGCGGTTGGTCAAGGGCTTTCGGCCCCAGTAGTGCCGGACCAGCTGCCCTGTGCACCCGGTGTCGGCAACCTCAGGAATGCCGTTGGCCTCCTTGCAGGGCAGCATGCGGATGTACTGCGGATGGGTATCGATGCTGTAGCCGTCGAGGAAGTCGTAGCGCACCATGGAGCTGAAGGCGGCCTGCTCGTGGAAGATTTTGTCCTTCCACTGGGCGCAGCCCTTGTAGCGGGTTTCGGACGGGCACTCTGCCCAGTCCTTGAACAGTCGCAGCGTGTTCTCACTCTTCTGCGCGATGATGAAACCCGAATTGACGTTGGGCTTGTGGTGCGAGTCCCAGTTGGGGTCTCCGGCAGGGTCCTCGGCCATTGCCACCATGACCTCGGGGCCAATCTTCCAGTAGTTGAGCAGCCACTCGAGCGGCAGTTCGGGCGACGGAAACATGGCATCGTAGTCGAGCATCACAACCAAGTCGTATTCCTTGAGCATCTCGCGTGTGAAAATGACCTTGGACCAGTGCGGCGCGCGGTCGGCATACTGCGGCGCGCGTATGAACTTGTACGTGTAGCCGTGGATCTGCGCATATAGGTAATGGCTGAGGAAGCCCGCCGAGGGGCTCCCCAGCTTGTCCCACGGGGGCAGCTCGTGGGAGAAAATGCTGCCATCGCCCGCGAGGTCGCGCGTGTCGACGTCGAGAATGCAGACACGCTTCCCGAGCGGCTTGGTGTGAACCAGCTCTTCCGGCGGGGGAAGCCGCTTCTCAGTCCCATCGAGCGTCGTGAAGCTTGCTGCCGTGATCGGCACGACAACCGGTGCCCACAGCGCGCGGATCAGGTCGGGGAGCGAATTTGTCGCGGGCTCGGGCGGTGACCCACAATTCTGGAGTGTCGGGTGTGGTGGGGAAGGGTATTCGAGGACTACTCTCGGTCTGGGAACGTCAGAAAAAGATAATCTTGGCCTGCCGACGACGACGGCATCATTGATGCTTACTTCGGCAACGACCCATTGTACAACCCGGTGGCGAGGATTAGCGCGATGACGAGAACTGGTAGCAGAAACAACAGTCGCCGCCACAGTTGCGGGAGGTTCTGGAAGGCCGTCATGCCCACCGCCCGCGCGAGCGCGGATTGCGAAAAGCCCCCGGCGGAGCAGATCAGCCTTGGAAAGATGAGACAGGCGGTAACTGCGGCAGTTGCGGGAATTGGCGGCCGAGTCGGCCGAGCGACGTGACCGGAGAAAAATCCGGAGAATGAACCCCGGGAGAAGTTGGTGATTAACGATCGGATGGCGAGGGCCGCGACGCAAGAAAAGTTCGCGATTGCCGTTGAGAAAGAAGAAAATTAATTGCAGGTGCTAGAAACGGGATGGGAAAGGGGCAAAAAGGTAAAATGAGGTTAGAAGTACGAAGTAAGCTGACATTCATCCGAGACTTGGGGCGACGGGCCATGGAAGCGATCTTGGCCAACTCGTCCCATGTTTAAAAGTTGGGTTGAAAGGCCGGAACACGGCAGGCCAACGGCCCAGACCTTTTCTAGGCATGATATGATTGGATTGCCGATGCGCAAACGATGCAATGGAGTTGACCTCCTTAACGTGAAATTAAAAAAGGCGAATTCTCCTTTTGCGCAGCACGCTAAGATTAGGCACATGAGGCAGATAACCCCGCGACGCCACTCAGGAGTCTCCATTCAACCCAGTACCCAGCCACAGGTTCCACAAGCAACTCCACTCTGAAGCTATCGCCAAGGCTTGGCAGACAGGTCTCAATCCACTGAATCCGGCGAGACGTGCCTTCCCAGCTAGATTTGCAGGTGGCACGCACTACTCTAGATAACACAGCTTGAGCTTGATCTCGGTTGTTTTGAGGTATCAATATTCCGGGGTTGAGCTTCTTATACTTTGGTGGTTTGTGTGGTTGTTGTTGTTGTTGTAGAGAGGTAACTGCAGCTCTTGCCTGTTTGCCAGAAGACGACTCGGATTTTGCCAAGAGTTGACAAAGCTACAGAGTTTACGAAGTACTTCGTACGGAGACAAAACCTTCCGGGCAGCACTCTACAGGCTCGACGGTCGCACTTTGATAAGGCAATGTACAACCTTTTCCTTGGTTAGCTGCTAGATGTCCCAAATGAAGTATGTTGCTATCTTAAAAGACGCATTCGCATGCTGCAGATCAAGCTCATAGCTGCCGGGCACTCAGGAGTCAGGAAAGTATTCGGGCTCCACCAGTCAGCCCTGCCAATGCTGACCTGTCCCCGCGCGCCACAGCCGCCTGTCTGGAGGCGCCAACCCTAACCTTGCCAATGGACAACGTCCTAGGGTGGTTACACTATACTAATCTACAAGCCATCTATCCGTAGATAATCCAATTAGATGTGTTGAGTCTCTATCTTAGATACTCGCGGTAATATATACGATACTAAAATCAGAGAACATTCAGTTCCTGCAAGAGGGCTATAATTTAGTGTGGTGATCTAGGCTCCCTCCGTTCCCCCCCTCGTCCATTAAACACATGCAGTACTGTCCGAGGCGACGGACCGACGGAGGAAGGAAGAGAGGTCAACGTAACGTTAGTGGAATTTGTTAGGGCTACCAAAGAAAGGAAGAAAAGGAGGGAAAATCCCAGGGCCAACGTACAGGCTAGAAATAGGGGTGTGTGGCTGGCTGAGGTAAGCAGTCAGTGTGGGCCGGGCCCTGGCCCACACGACACGTTTGACGCCAAATATGTGTAACGTTATCCAGGATCAGTCAGTCTCCCACTCTGCTCAGCAGATTAAGCCACTACCTCACTCTTGCCTAAGTTCCTGCAAGTATTACTCCTACATACGTATGTGCCCAGATACTAACTAAGAGAGAATTAGAGCAAATCAGAGCTGCCATGCTTGCGCAAAATTGTCAAAATCTCCTCCCATGTCTGCTGGTATAATTCGGTGCTGCGTTCGCTCGACAGGAGCTTGCTTGGACTGAAAGGGAGAAACGACGGTATCAGTATAACCGGCCGGCAGGATTTCATTCTCCACCCATGAAAAAAATCGCATGAAGCAGACTTACGGCGGATAGGTATCATTCGTCCAGAAGCGGCCATGGCTCTCTGGCCCTAGAGCGGTCGCGCTGATCATGGTGCGCGCGCCCTGCTCGGCCGTGCGGCCCATGATAAAGTAGGTGATGGCCATGATGATGCGGGTGAGCAGCGGCGTCCCGCTCAACATGTTGGTCTTGCACAGGCCGGGACACGACGCATTCACCACGACCCTCTCGGCCCGAACATCGCCGACCCGCTCCGCAACGCCACGCATGGCATACCACCCAGCCAGCTTGACCAAAAAATACTGCTTGATGTGGTCGAACCGCGTCTTGTCGTTGATGCGCTGCACCAGCGTCTGGTCCCGCGGCACGTCGGCGTCGACGACTTCGTTGTGCGCCACGCTGTTGACGAAGGAGATGACGGGGAACGTCCGCTCGTCTACTGTCGCACCCTCGGTCGACTTGGGTAGTGCATCGGCGGCCGCCTTCACTTTGGGCAGCAGCAGCAGCGCCAGCAGCGTCGGCGCCAGCACGTTGCACTGGAACGCCATCTCGTACCCGTCCGGGCTTACCGTGTACTTGTGCGGGGCCACGCCGCCCGCCTGGTTCAGTCCATCAACGTCAGTCAGTCTAGCTCAACCATACCAGTAGGTTTTCCTTTTGTGGTCAACAGCTCCAGGTCAGATTCAATACATACCAGCTGCACCACGTGCAAGGGCGCAGTTACACGCTTGCCCAGCTCAGCCGCGAAGTCGGCGACGGTGCGGAGGCGCGAAAAGTCGAGCGTGAGCACGATCATGACGTCGGGGGAGCAGCCCGACGCCGCCGCGATGGCGGCGCGGGCCGCGGCGCCCTTCTCGGCCGTGCGCACGCCCAAGATGAGCGGGTTCGCGCCGAGCCCGGCATACTTTATAGCGGCCTCCAGGCCGAGTCCCGAGTTGGCGCCCGTAACGAGGACGGCCTTGTTCCGGAAGAGGGTGGGGTCCGTGACATCGGCCGGCGGGTGGCGCGCCGCTTGCCAAAGGGCCGAGGGATTGGACATGGTAAGGGAAAGGTCGGGTAGGTAAGGTACCTAGGGAGGTAGGCGCCAGCCGCTAATGCTGGGGACTGCTATGGTATGTATGTGGGTGCTTGGCTATCCAGAACTGCTAAGAAAAGGCTTGCTTTGGGTGAAAATCGTGGACGGGACCTGGCGGAGGGGACAAGGTGGTAAGGGGCGGGAGGATCAGATGTGTTGGGTCACCTATGTGCTAACCAATAAATCGAGGATTCAGGAACATCGTTTTCTAAGTTTGTTGGCTGTTGGTCCTGGATATCCAGTTGTTATGTAGCTTGCTACTTATGAACAGCACCTCACCCGGCTGTTGGCGTTCTGAATCTTGAGTCAGCCGATACTTCCCAGCCGATACTTCCTGTTCAAGTTGCCTGGATTCCAACCCGCTTCTCTGCCGATTACCCCGAGCCGACAGATTTTCTTTTACCAATTACCGTCGAATAGGTATGCAATAACACCGTCCACAGTTCATCTTTAGGCACGGTACAGAATGCGGCTCCGTTGTGGTCCAGGTCCTGTGTTGGCCGGCAAAGTGCAACTTGAAATGGAACCTGCTGCCAACGTGCAGGTAGGTAGTCAGCGCGCTCAAAACCCCCCCTGGCGACTAGATGCCTACTTTGACCCACCTCGCCCTTCATGTTGCAAATCGTACCTTAACTGAGGTACTACTACTACTACTAGTAGCTGTTCAACTCCCGGGCCCTGGATTTGGATTTTGCTCTTCCCGTCAAACGCAGGCGATTTTTGGTCTTTTGGAATTTGAGGTGCTAGTTTCACCATAAGCTCGGCCTACTAACCTGTTCCTCTCCTGTTCAAGTCTGCCGGCTGGTGCGGTCAACATGGCGGTCGCTCTTCTATCCGTTGTTGCTGTCACAGCTGCTGCGTTTGCGATATGGTCTTTCGCAAAACGGCCGTCGCCCAAGCTTGACCTACCGTATGTATGCTTCGACGGGGACAACTCACCCTCACGTTACAGGGCCGGATACGCCGAGCTCTTGTCTCGGGGCTACAACAAAGTGTGACTCTTCGAATCCTACCGTCCTAAGCTAAAGAAGCTGGTTTCTAATCGTTCTTTTCAGTACACCAAGAACGACCAGCCGTTTTGCATACGCAACCCCAATGACCCCAAACGGCCCATGATCATACTGCCATTCAAGTACCTCGAAGAGGTGAAATGGGTCCCTGAGAGCCGTATGAGCTTTTGGCGCCACTTAGACATGGTATGTACACACGATATCTACGAGCACAGTCGCTCTGCTGCTCTCATAGTTGCTGTGATTGCGCTAACCGCCATCATTCCCTACGATACTTACCTTAGCAATCCATCCTGACTCAGATCGGGGGGCCGGGCATCACGGACGAAGTGGCTCGTGCCGGCAGGATCGGCATGAATAAAGGCCTCGGTTTGTATCCCCATCTGCTGGCACACCTTCGGTTGCTCGAGGACCTCTTGATTATTAAGACTCTAAACCCCACCAGTCCATTTGATCGAGCGCCTCCAAGAGGCTTGTCTGGCTTCCTTCAAGAAAGAGATGCCACCGTGCCAAGGTAGGTAGTCCGCCCGTCGTGCTCCCCCTATACGCTCCCAGCTTCCCACGCCTCTTGCCCGCCCCTGAAACGAAGGGGAGCGAGGGGGGGGGTGGGGTGCCTCCTTGCTAGTCCGTTATAATCTAATCTACCATGGGGCAGATTGGACGTCGATACAACCATACCAGTTGATTTTGCGAGTATTTGCCAGCATGTCGGCCTGCGTAGTCGTCGGTCCTGAGCTGGGTGGTCTCGACTCGGAATGGCAGACGCTGTCCATGAGCTACGTTGCGGCGGCCCTGAGCGCTCCGGGGCAAGTGAAGCAGACGTACCCGCCTTGGCTCTACTGGCTATCTCAGTACATTCATCCCGGAATTCGCAGCATGTGGAGGTATCGCCGGCGCGCCGGGGAGCTCCTGGCTCCCGTGCTCGGAACCCGCAGGGCTGCGGTGGAGAGGGAGTTGAAGGAGGGCAGAAGAAAGACAGGTGGGCCGCGCGAATACGAGGACTGCGTGCAGTGGCTGCTTGATGCACACTCGTCCTACGGCAAGACACTCACGCCGGACCAGCTGGTCCAAGACCTCTTCGTCATCATGACCGCGTCCATCCACACCACTTCGGGCACCGCGCTCTGCATCCTCTTTGACTTGATCGACCACCCAGAAGCCGTTGACGAGATCCGGGAGGAGATTGTGCGGGTGCAGGCAGCGCATCCCGTGTGGACCCGCCAGGCGCTGGGCGAGCTGCGCGTCTTAGACAGCTTCATGAGAGAAAGCTCACGAATGCATGCACTAACTCAATGTATGTGTGTTCTCAGCACGCCTGCTCCCTATCTCTCCCACTTCTCCTGTTTCTCTCCGGTCCCCGGGCGACGATCCATCAGCTTAACGTGTACTAACCAGTAACACATCCTATAGACACTGCCGTGCAGCGAGTAATCACGACAGGGCCATGGGTATTCAAGGACGGGCTCGTAATCCCCACAGACCACGAAGTGGCCTTCCCCAGCTACCACCACAACATGGACCCCGACATGCACCCGGATGCTGGCAAGTTCGACGCCCACCGCCACCTGCGCAAGCGTACCGGGCCCGACGTCCACAAGTTCCACTTCGCATCGGTCGGCGAGGATTTGATTGGCTTCGGAGCCGGCCGGCACGCCTGCCCGGGCCGGTTCTTCGCGCAGGAGACGATAAAACTCATGTTCGTCCACCTGCTGATGGGCTACGACTTTCAGCACACTGACGAGGGCCTCAAGGGCCCGCTCTACCTGCCAAATAATTTGTTCATCGTGCCCAACCCGGCTTTACCTGTTCTGGTCAAGGCGAGAGCGAGAGAGGTTACGGTGGTATGACAGGTAACGCTCTCAGCTAGTTGTGAGAGGGCTCGGTGTTTAGGGTCAAATGGGCATGATTATTTGTGTATTCAGTCTTGAACAGTGACAGTCTAGGTAACCAAGGCACTGATACTTAAGGTATCTCAATCTTCAATGGAGTTGCACTAAGGGGCTTGGAGCCTCCAATGCCCTGTGACGGTCTCCTTATAGTCACCAAGGCAAATCAACCTCTTCCGTCCAAGATTAAGAGATCCATCACCCCTTTCGCTAATTAGCTGGCTGTGGCTGCGGCAGCTCAGAGAGATACAGGCCCGGCATATAATGCGGCAGCGGCAGCTCCTGCGTCTGCCCTCCGCCTCCACCTGTAGCATGAGGCTGCTGCCCTTGCTGCTGCATGTGCTGAGCAGCTTGCTCGTCCACATCCACGGGCGCCACATGCACCCTCACCGCGCCTAGGCCCATGCCTACAACCTCTTTGTCACGGTCGCCGCCTGAAGCTTGAACGCTGATGACCCCGTTGGGTGATCTGGGCGACGATTCGGTTTGGTCGACGGGCGTCACCTGGCTCCAGCTTCCAATGGACACGTGGCCCGGGTTGTGTTGGCCGTTGTGTTGGCCGTTGTGTTGGTACTGGGCCGCTGGCTGCTGCTGCGGGCTGGTGTTGTTGTTGAACTGTTGCGGCGGTGGCGGCGGCGGCCCCTGGTGCTGGTGGTGTTGTTCTTGCATGTGAGCTTGCGGTGTTCCTGCTCCATGGGAATCTCCGCGCTTCCGACGCATTTACAGCCATGCGATGAACGCCACCAACCCGGCTAGAATCGCTACCCCGCTGACTACGCCGCCTACTATCGCGCCTGTGCTGATGGGATTAGACTCGGAGGCCGCTGCGGTGGCGGTTGCGGTTGGTATGGAGGTTGTGGTGGCCGGAATTTGAGATTTTGAGTCCGTCGATGTTGATGAGCTGAATGTTGTGGACGAGGTTGTGGACGACGAGGTTGATCTCTTGGTAGTCGAGGCAGAGAACCCGCCGGTTGGTGTGGCATAGAGGGGGATGAACGTATCTGTGCTATCACACATGATTAAAGACAAGCTTCGCATGTCGACGAGGGTGTGAGCGTTGCAGTAGGGGGAAGAGATATCCGAGCTGCGAACATGACGGTATGGTTAGCGTGGGGCCGGGACCAGCGATCTCTTGCTTTACATACCAACACCTAGTTGACACCCCCCGGGTACTGCACAAGCCTTTCGTGTACGCGGCATAGTCGAGGCATGATGTCTCTATACGGCAGCTGGTTGCCCCCTTGCGGCAGCAGCCTAACGAACGGCATCAGTCACTTCCCCGAGGCGCTTCGGAGAAGAAGAGTTCTGTCAAAGAAGCATTGCTTTCGCTTCCTGACAATACTTGTTGTACATACCAAAGACGCCCGCAGGCCCTGCACTCCAGCTTGTACTGCAAGTGTATTCGGAATCAACGCAGGTGAAGGCCCAACCTAGGTGACCAGGGAGCAGGCAGTAAGTTAGCAAGTCGTGCTCAGACTGACAGCGAGATGGAAATGGACAGTAGATGGATTACCGAGCTTGCCCGATTCGTAGGCGCAGCTCCTGCCTTCATCGCGCCTCAGAAGCTCCGGGAGCACCGGTCCGGGGGTCGGGGGTGGGCTCAGCCGGAAATTCGCCATTCGGCCGGTGTCAGCGTCGATGGCGTCGGTCGGTCGAGCCGACTGCCAGCTCGGTGAAAACCGGAAGCCATGAGCTGCCAAGGGTGCAAGCACGAGCTGTGCAAGAATTCTCAGGCTGCTAACCATAGTACAAGTACTGCCACCCGATGAAACTGCAAGAGAAGTCAACGCGCAGAAGCATTCAAGTGAGCAGCCGGATCCATGGAGCTGAACTGAGAAACACCGCTCTTTTCAATTTCCCGGTCAAGCAGCCCCAAGGCTGCCCTTGAATTGACAAATGCGCCTCTTGATCAGCTACGCTGCACACTATCGGCTTCGTGTCAGTGACCAGGTCGGCGATTGGATGTCGGAAAACTATTGTCTCTAGCGCATCCATGATCTCAGCCTCGATCACGCAAAAGCGCGGAGTGTGCCGTTGGTGGCTGGGCTGATGATCACCGTAGCTCATACGTGTACATGTGCACTGTGTAATGAGAAATCCACAGTCGATCATGATGCTCAGCCGAGTCATCTGAGACTGCGAGATAGAAGAATGGCTCATATACCCAAGTCCTATGATACTGCCGTTCTAGAGCTTGCACGCTTGCTACCTAGCAAAAGGGACGTCAACAGAAACTAGGAACATCACTGCATCCATACTACGAGTCGTTCTCGGGCTTGCGGGCCCAGACGACCCTTTGGAGGTAGTAGGCATGGTGCTTTGCCGAACGGATCTCGCGACGCAGCATGGCGAGGTAGACAAGAATCTCTTCTCGTGTCCAGCCCAGAGTGTTGGCGATGAAGAGGATATATCCCTCAGCATCCTGGTCCAAAACCATCTGTGAAAAGCGTCCAATTTCGTTCAAGCGCTCGTCTTTGGGCCAGGGGCCGATGGGGGTCTGTAGCAACGGGGTCAGTTATTTCAGTTGATACTAGGCGAGTGCGTATATGAAGAGGCGACCGACCTTCAGTTCGTGCTGTTGAATGTCAACAAAGCCAGCCGCCTCCATGCCTTTTCTCTGCAACTCATCGGTGTAGACGGTAAATGTTTGGCCAAGCTTCTTGCCGCCCTCGGCAAAGATGCGTCCCCATTGAGCAATGGCATCTGTCTCCTTGACGGTGCCGTCGTCGCTGATCATGAAGGCGTCGGGTTCGTAACTCTCAATGTAACCCCCTGGTTTTACGATTCGGTACGCTTCTTTGAAGAGCTCGTTCCAATCCTTGACGCTGCCCACTAGCCATCGCATATGCACGTAGTCAACCGAGTTGTCAGCAAATGTCCATGGCTGTGTGAAGTCCTCGATCTCGCTGCGCAGGTAAGCGTCTGGACAAGCCGTTTCCTGTTGGTCCTGCCACATGACTTACAATTTGAGGTTTGGCGGGACCCAGGAGGGCTGGATTGGCGAGATATCTGTACCGATGACCTGGGTGTCGGGGAACTCATCGGCGAAGTCGCTAGGAGCAGTCAACAAGGTCTGATTGCGCTCAAGCACTTAGAAGACGTCTGGACTCTACTTACATGGCCCAAATACCTGTGATACAAGCGAAGAGTCCTCAAGTTAGTAAATATGACAAGTGATGATTGATCTGTCAATCGCAAGACGAACCTGTCCCTGTGCCAATATCAATTGCTTTCTAAAATGATGCGAATCAGCATTTTGACGACGTCAAAAGGCGGAAGCAAAGCAATTGAGCAACATATGCACATACCTTAATGTCCTTCTTGATGGGCGCCAGGTGGAGCTTGCCATCCAACTGCAGGGTCAAGTTATGGTGTCTGCTAGAGTCAGTGACGGAAATACCCAACTGGCCACCACTGGCACGTACAGCATGTCATTGGCCTCGGACTGCCTCTCGTCGTTGGAGGCCCTGGGCGAATCAGCACTTGACGTCGCATGCAAACCTGTAAAGCATCGACAGAGGCAGTTGCTCACCAGTACTGGGCATTGCTATGCGCGCTGTGATAGGTTCGGCCGTAGAGGGTGCGGTACTCGAGAATGCTGGAGGTGATGGATGCCGTGGAACTTTCGACATCGGTTCCGAGCGATGAGTCCGCATCTTCGGTCACTCCAGGAGGTGCCTGATCCCAATCAGCCGTGTCCGGCTACCTATGTCAACCTCCAATGCTCGCTCGTCCTACCTGCGAGGTCCAGTACTCGGCCGGCAACACGCCAGTAGTAGATGCGGCGGCAGGTTCGGCGGGTTCGGCCGGAGCGGTCGAGGTGCTTGGCTCCGCCGGAGTGGTGGCTGCCGCCGCGGCCGAAGTCGATGGCGCATCCGTGGCCGGAGCGGGCTGCTCGGTAGTGGTTTTCTGTTCCGCCATGGAGAAACCCTTTGTGGACTGAAGCGGAGAGTCCGAAAGATGGTGAGACAGCACTGTACGGGCGTGTAACCGGACGGCGTGATGCGAGTTATTTTACGGACCGGACAACCCAGCAAAAGTCTTGACGACCCCGCGGACCATGGAGGCATGGAGGCATGTAAGCAGGCCAGTGCCAGTTGTCACCTGTCATGGAACGCGGCGAAGCGGGGCTGATAACTCGACTCGGCCTAGCCGTTTGCCGGGTGACCGGGTAGCGTGCATCCGACAGCTGTTCGCAGAACCAACATGCGGTGATATCGAGGGGTAGGTTACGTCCAAACAGTTTACGTGACTGCCAGGTGCGTCCTGAACCCCGCACGCCGGTGACCTTTGCCAGCTCCGTCGCCCGTTCAATGCTTCCGATTTGCCAATTCTAGTAACCCACGTTAATGCAGCCTGTGACGAACCGAGACCGGGTAGCGCTACTGTTTTGAAAACATGTGGTTTAAGATTCCCTAACATTACTTATCTAGCTGATATATCTCGAACGATATCGCCCGGGCCAGCATGCAGCAGGACATGCAGCCCCTATTGGCATTAAAATAATAAGACGAAGTGTGCCCACTAATCCCGGAGTATGTCCATGTTTCCAGGACAAAGATAAGCTCCATCATCCCCCACTCCCGACCTCAAGAACCATAGCCCAATCACACTGCAGGCTGCGCAGTTGTATTCGCAGTACCAGGCGCGGCCGTCGAAGTGGTGAGAGGACGATCCTTTTCCGCGTCGTGGGCGGTGACCCCTCTCTTTCTCCGGTGGCTTGCCCACATCAGGGCCTCGAGGATGGTATTGAAGAGGAGGAACACACTATTTTGTGTTAGTCTCATGCAGATATCGGGCAACAATGCAGGACGCACAATCCAATGATGGTAAAAGCCTGCACAGCGTGCTTGTGCCCCAGACGGCCGAAACCAGGAGGCGAGTTGTTAAGCGCCCGGCGTCCGCTGTAGTCCTGCGACGAGAAGATGAGGGACGTGAGCCACAGATACGTGAGCAACCAAGTGAGCGGCAGCATGTATCCTCGGTATCGCTTGAGCGCTGGCAGGACCATGGCGAGCAGGTAAAGAAAGAGGGTGAGGACGGCCTGCAACGCAGTTAGACTACCACCAACTCTGGAATCCTCTGTTCGACATACAATGACTTCCATGTAGACCAAGTGCGTCCCGCGAGATCTAGAGTGGCGGATCAGGTACGACAAGATGCCGGTGATGATTGCCGACGAGGCTAAGATGACAAAGTTGTTAAGTGCAAGGAGGGCGCGAGCGATTTTCCCCTCAAAAAATCCCCTTCTCGTATCCATGATGATGTCTCCTGAACTGCAATGTGATAAATTCTTCAAGGTGCCGGTTAGGAGGAGAAGAGAAGATGCGGTGGAAATTGAGAAGAACGGCTCCTCACTTTTCTCAAGTTCTTCACTACTAATGGGTTTCTATTATACGCTATGGCATACCTCCTCGCAGGTCGCGAGGTGCTGGTTGGACCTTTGTTTTGTTGTCGTCACTAGTGCGTCTTGTCCAGGACAATGAACGGGTACCGAGTCAGGAGAGCAACAATAAGCCCAGAGGTTGCCTATGAATGACGTCGGTGCAGCTGGGAATATTCAGATACATCCAGGTAAAGAATCTATGGATGAGCCGACGGAGACGGTATGATGACGTCCATTTGTGCACAAATGTTGAGTTGATCCTCAGTCAATTCATGAATGGCCGTAACGTGCAGCTCGCAACCAGGATGCGAATGATCACGGAGATGTATTCCGCCTCCTTTACCCATACAAAGTATACTTCCAGGTAGTAGTACCCTGTTCGAGTAAGCTGCCTTCATGCCATGGATCAAGAAAACACGACGACGAACCTACTGCAACCCCGGATAGCTCCGTTCTTTCGCCTGATCGTTTATTGTTCCGCTTAGGTGGAAGATCTTAAAGCGGGAATCAAGGCCACCTCCACGAATGATTCGCCGATGGAAGTTGTTGTCGATGAGAACTTGGATACATGGGATCATCAACGATACGTCCTCAGGGCTTCTATCTTAACAAGCGTGTTGAGATTCAGGGGCAGACACCACAAGCCATTTTATCACAGGACGCAGTACAGTACAAGTCGGTGGGAGCAGGGTTATCTTACTTGTATCTACCTTAGTTACTAGTATTCAAGCTGCTCCCCAGGCGTTTGAGCTACTAGTACCTACTCAAGGCTGAATACAATCATGTTGGTACCCCATAACCGTATATTTGAACACAGCGCTGCCCGGAACGAAGACACACCGGGCTCTTGCCAACGGATAGCAATGGGCTGCACTGGGCTTCATGAAGCTCACAGTAAGACAAGCTACTAAGGTACCTAAGGTACTTTACTTGTGGTATCTTGACACTAGAGCAAACTTCCGCGTCTGTTAGAGATTTGAGGTACATAGGTGCCTAGTAGGCTGTTGATTGCCCACAAGTACATTTCTACCTACCTTAGGTAGTACTATCGACTTAAAGCTACCTAGATAGCTGTGCTATCCCGCTAATCTGGAAAGGGCATCGTGAATCCATGTATGGTCACAGAACGACAATTAGCGCTTGTTATATACTGGTAGGATGACGAATAAAGAAGTCTCTTTCCTGGGTCGAGGGTGCTGTCTATGAACTTCAAGGCAGAACATCACCCTCGGACGGAACGGAGAAATGCAAAGGCGCGAGGAGGGCAGCTAAGTTTACAACAGAGTAATAAGTAAGTACCTAAATCGACAAAGTGAGATCTCCTAAGTGAGGAGGGCTCGAAAGTCAAGATGGTTTGGGCCAACGCATGCTCAACTTGGATGTCAACTTGAACGAATGGAAGTAGGACTGCAATACTTTCGTAAAGGGGAGGACTCAATTCAAATCAAAATCAAATAAATCAACTAGAGCCTTCCAAGTTTCAAATCAAAAAGCCGCCTTCAAATACCGTTCAAATCAAACAGGTTATATACTCAAGTTCAAATATTTGATCGAATTTGCTTACTTTTCTAGATTTTCCCAGGCTTCAATTCCTTCCTTCGAATTCTTTCTACCTACCATGAATACAATGCCAAACAATCGTTCCCGACGCCCAACGCCCGTCGCTGTTCCCATCGCCGTCTTGCAAACAGAACCTCAGCCAGTCAGGCACTTTCTTATATATATTTTAGGGGGAATTCGGGGGGTAGTCTTGGACCCTATACTGTAGTATATAGTAAGTTACTACTTAGTCAGCCTACCGAAAAACGAACGTGTTCGAATTTTATTGCGTTTTTAAAGCGATTCAGCTATTTCGAGCGGTTGGAAGGTAGGTAAGGTAGGTCTAGAAGAGAGGTATGTGGGTGCGGTTCAACCAGGGTTAGGGTTATACATGATGTGTTCAAATATTTGCAAATATTTGAACAAATCAAGTTCAACTTCAAATATCCAGTGGACTAGTCAAATCAACTTCAAATACAGCCATTCAAATCAAGTAGTTGATTTGAGTCCTCCCTTGCTTTCGTTCTGTAGCGCTACACATACATGACAGCCATGGTGAGCGCGTTCGAAGTCTTCGGAGTCTTATCAAAGCAGTGCTTAGATCGGTACTGTGGTCGGCAAGCAGACGATCCTAGCCCCGTCCTGATGAAACCCGACAGAGTGGGCTGTAAGCGGTGATGGCGGACCAATGTGGTGTGAATGAAGCCCCCCGTTTCACAGAGCTCCACCTGCAGTGTATAAACCCGCTGCAAGGGGCACAATTAAACCGGAGCCACGGACCAGCTTACTGGCGAAGCAGATGGCAAAAGCGGGGAGCATTAATATCCTTAATTACTGCCCGGAACGAGTTGCGTCCCTAACTCAGCTAAATTCTGGGGTAGCTGAGAACCGCCTCAATGGGAGTCAAGGCTCTTACCGGCTAAAAGGGGAGGATGGATCTGGACAAGCTAGCCTGCCCCATGATCGGCTACAGCCTACATGTATGATGTAGGCTGTTAAGCTAAGGTAGGTATATAGCTTCAGTTGCTCCTCGACGGGGACAGCATGGCTTTCGCAAAGGTAATACGTCGCCCAATACTTCACCATGCCTCGCCTTCTCCAGGTGCTTCAGCTTACTGGGATCATTCTCGCCCCAGGAGTATGGGGTGCGAGCCTGATCGCATCACATTTCGCCGGCGGCATCTACACTTTGTCGCTGACCACAAGTAGTAACACTACCGGCACGCTCTCCGTCACATCTCAGACTAGCGGATGCGGAACCACGCCGGGCTGGATCGAGCTCTATGCGGACTCGCGCAAGCTCTACTGCTTCGACGAGTCGTGGACAGGCCGTGGCGTTATTGCTGAGTACGGCGTTGCAACCGACGGCAGGCTTACGTTGACGGGCCAGGTGCGGACGACAGGCAATAGCGTCCACGGGCTGTTGTACGGTGGCGCAGATGGCAGGGGATTCGTAGCCACGGCCGAGTAGTAAGTCCCTTTTAATCACGATGTAAAAGTGTGTTAGGCTAACTGGTTCCTTAGTTCGCCGTCCACGGTAACCACGTACAAGATGCCCCTGACGGCCAGCGCAGTGCTTCAGCTGGAGAAGTTTACCATGGCGCAACGCGGTCCGAATCCACGCCAGGACGTGCCCCATCCTCACGAGGTCCATCTCGACCCGACAGGAAAATTCATTCTCGTGCCGGATCTCGGCGCCGACCTGATCCGCATCTTCAAGATCGACGCCAGCAGCGGCAGGCTGAGCTTGTGCTCCGAAGCCAAGACTGGCGCGGGAGACGGACCGCGGCATATCAAATTCTGGAAGTCCTCCGCGGGCCTGCAAAAGGCCTACACGCTCAACGAGCTCGGCAACTCCGTCTCAGCGTGGGACGTCGCCTACCCGAGCAACTCGTCCAGCTCAGGCTGCCTGACCCTGTCCAAGACGCAAACCCTATCGACGTATGCCGCTGGAAAGACGGGCGGGCCGATGACCAAGGCCGCCGAGATCCGGGTGGTGGGCAACTTCTTGTACGCCTCCAACAGGGCCGATCAGACGTTTGGCGCGCAGCAGGATTCGATCGCCACGTACACCATTGATCCCAGCACAGGCGTCATCGCATGGCTTGAGGCGGCCAACTCGTACTCGTACTACCCCCGGACATTCCAGTTCAACAAGGACGGCACCCTTGTGGCGGTCGGCGGTCAGACGTCCTCCAACGTTGCCATCATCGCCCGGGACCCGGCTACGGGAAAGCTTGGAAACCTCGTGGCTAACATTCAGGTGGGCCAGAAGGGCCGGGCTGGGGAGGAGGATGGGCTCAGCGGTGTTGTGTGGGTTGAGTAAGGGGCCAGAGTTGAGATATTATATGTAGATGGATCGGTTCCTTGCGAGGAATGACGTTGTCCAGCTGGACAATGTTTTATTCCAGTTTCTCCCACCTGGGCTAGTCTCCCTCCAACCGTATGCATAAGCTTATGCCTGCCCAGGTATCTCAACTAATGCCGAGTTCCTCCAAAGTAACAACTATGTCTTTCATCGTTACTGGTCTGGTCAAAAACACGTCGACGCCACTTGCAAACGCATCTTGTTCGACATCAATACCGCTTAAGCCAGTAAGCGCGATGATCTTGCAGGGAGGGACATTTTGTTCGCGTTCGAACTTCCGAATCCGGCGGGAAGACTCGAGACCGTCCATTACAGGCATAGATATATCTAACTTTGTGAGCAAAAGTATATCGTAAAAGGGTGCTTGCAAGATGTAAGGTTGATGGGCTTACCTGTAAGTAGACAGTTATATTCATACGGCGACTGTGTATACATGTCAAGGGCCTCAAGCCCATTTGTGGCGATTCTATACGGCTGATGAAGCTTCTTGATGTAAGCTGCTAATATCTTTGACTGTCAGCATCTCTTTCGAATGGATTTGAATAGGAAGTGCGTACTTTGATATTAATAGGGTTGTCATCGACGATAAGGACGGAGCGTTGAGTCGTCGTAGGCCCCAGTGTGGCTACTGACTCAGATGAAGCATGCAGCCCTGCGTGTAAGACTTCGGGGCGGTGCGGGCCGAAGTTGTCGTCTTGTAACTCGGTTCGTGGTTTCGCTTCCAGCCTCGTAGATGTGGAAGCCAACGCCAATATTTCCGAGGCCGTATCTTCAACTTTGGAGACTTCAAGTCCAGAGGAAGACGCAACTTCTGTGCCCCCTGATTGGGGGCTCGGTGCAAGAGTCTTCTCTTCCGCCAGAGTCTCCGAGCTGTCTGACTTCAGTGAGGAACCTAGTGCATCCGTCCATCGTCGTCGAGCATCGAAGAGCGATTTTGCGAGCTTTCGTGGACCCAGTGGTTGTGATACCACCTCGACAAAAAGGGGTAGCCGATTCTGCCCGACCTGGACGTTCATGTCATGGACGCTCAAACTTGGGCAAATAAAGATGTGTGGGCAGGTACTAGAACCTGAAGTGCCATCGCCGTCGAAGGGAGGTAAAGAGCCACGTGCTGAGATAACGAAATCCGGAGGCGAACATTGTGCCTGAGCTTCGGGCACGACCTGCATGCCCAGCCATCCTTCACACAGGCTCCGTACAAGCTCGAGTTGTACTTGGGCCTGCCGTTCGCCATGTGCAGTGGGATGGCCCGTTGCCCCTGTCGCTGTGGTTTCTTGCCCATAACCACGGAGGGCAACTCGCAAGCCCGCCAGCTCTTGTGCTGCGACCCGAAACATGCCATCTTCCTCTTCGTCTTCGTCCGACCCTTCACCAGTAGACAACGGCATGGACACCGTGACAGACGTGCCGCTGCCGGCCTGGCTTTCAACGTGGATTTCACCCCCTAGTGCGGTTACCACCTGACGCACGAGGCTGAGTCCTAGTCCCGTTCCCGGTGCAAAAGGGTCTTCCTGGGCAAAAGGTGTGTAGAGCTGATTCCGCAAGTATTCTTCGCTCATGCCTTTGCCAGTATCGGAGACAGTCAAGAGGACTGTGGCAACACCTGGAGCTTGCTTGTCTGGTTCCTCTGGCGGTAATTGCTGTCTCAGATGCACTTTCACCAAGCCTGCCTTGGTAAACTTGAGAGAATTCCCAACCAGGTTCATAACGATCCGTCGAAAGGCGCCGGGGTGTATGCGGAACGACCAGGACTTTGCTGGCTCAATATCGAGGAGGGTTTGGACGAAATCATCTTGATCGCCGCCGTGACCTCGGGTCTGCTCGGCTTTGGGGATGCTGTCGTTTGCAAGCGATCGGCGGGTTCGACGATGACTTGAAGTCGGGGTAGTACCAGCCTCCAGCATGGCGTCGGTAGAGAGATTCATGTTTGTATACCCTGCCAGGACGCTTTCCAAGACTTCTTCGGTGAGTCGGTCTAGTTGTACCGCCGCTTCCGGCAAGTCGGGTGTTGCTGAAGCCGGGTCCTGTTTGTTCTGGGGCCGACGAGCTGAGTTTCTTCTTCCCAGTCTACTACTACTCCTGATCAAGGGGTTCATTTTGCCTAGTTTGCCATAATCGAGAATCTAGTTAAGACAAGCGTTAGCAGCAGTCGGAAGATTGCAGGCCGGGGACGTGTACAAGGACTTACATGGCCAATGGTGTCAAGGAGAGTACGACTCGAGATCTGAATCGTACGGAGAATCCGCTGTTGAGAACTGTTCAGGTGAGTCTGAAGCAAAAGCTCGGCAGCACCAACAACACCGTGCAACGGAGACCGTAGCTCGTGGCTTATAGAACCCAAAACATCCATCTTGGTCCTGTCAGCTGCCTTGATATGCAGCCTAGTGACTTCAGCCATAATGGTTAAGCTGTAGACTTTGAGGTAGCTGAGTTCATCTTCGCGCGTGAAGATACGTGTCGGTGTCCTGGTCCACACAAAGCTGCCAGCAAACCAACGATTCCGCTGGGAATCCCATAGCGGCATGAATGCCACGCTTGTAGCGCCAGGAAACATGGCTGAAAGTGTGGCTGTAATAGACCGGCGCTTCGGCTTTTCGGAGCTCCAGTCTAAAGCCCCAACAGTTCGAGCATGGAGCATGTCTGTTGCCCTGCCGCTTCGTCTCGAAGTGGTCGACAGATCCGATGCCGCCAGCGGGATAGGTTGCACTTCCATATTGTAGATCTTGCCGTGCGGGTACCTTTGCAGCAGGAAATGGAGAAACTTCTCGGGAAACGCGCCGAGAGGGTGGCCAGCCTCGTCTCCGTTGATGGAGGAGCTCTGTGAGGTGGAGTGACCCAGGACTCTGCAGCAAGTAGCCTCAGCAGTGTCTCCCGACTGGGATGCCGGGATCTCGTCACTGCTCGATTCAAATTCCGAGACATCTGGTGATTGTTTGCCAAGCTGCGCGGGAGGTGACGGCATCTCTTGTCCGAGTCCTATCAAGCCCCCAAAGGTCCTGATACTTGCATCCAAAAACACAACCCCCTCAACCTCTATCGATTCCCGGATGATGTTGGACGCCTTGGAGAAAACTCTCTCAACGTCGTCTTGCAAGACCTCTCCGGATGACAACGGGTTTTTGCAGGTAGATTGCGTCTTGCTGCGAAGAGTGCCAGTAGCACGGCCGCCACTATGAACGTTGCCGTCGATTTCCTGACTTGTGGATGTCGTTGTTCCTTGTTCCGTCCCCGATCTTAGGAAGGAAACCTTTGATGGGCGTCGATCAGCGCCACGTAACCGTTTGTTGAGGGTCCCCTCTTGTATTCCTGGAATATCCTGAAATGAAGATGGGTTGGAGGACTGTGACCAGTTCGAGAGGGTTGCTTTCCCTTCGACGAAGCTCCCAAGCCCGCGAACCATACGCTCCTCCCTCCGGTGCCATTCGTGTGATCGTTTGGCGTCCAAATAGTCCATCACGGTTCGGGACATATCCCGGATAAACTGTATCTCGTCCGCAGACACGTGTTGTCGTGGTTTGTCGTCAAAAACGCAGTATACACCGATGTTGATGCCGGCTGGGGACCGGATAGGAACACCTATGTAGAACCGCTTTTGTGTGTCTTTGACGTCACAAAACCTCGAATCCTGGTCCAAATTGAGGACAACCGAGACTGGCAGATCGCTTGGGGCTCCTCCAGTGTCGTTACCCGGTATCGTCAGGGAGGCTGCAGGTCCGGCGAGCACATGTTCGCAGATGCTAGTCGCTCTGGGGACTGCGGTCCCGCAAAGCCATAGTTGATCCAACTGGTCTTGGTTGAGGTTCAAGGGAGTCGCTCGTACGGCTTCGGCGACAATATGCTGGTTCTTGCGGTCAAAGAGGGAGACCAAGGCGCGGGATCCGGCCAATCTGTATAGCCCGAGCTGGGCAAAGGCGGTGAGGCCTGGATCCGGGGTGGCTGACAGGACGGTTGATGGGATGGGTTTGGCGGCTTCGGGGTTCCGTAGAGCGGCGGTAGAGATCTCCAGGGAGTCATATCTTCACAGAAAGAAACTCAGGTCAGTGTCCCTAGTTATCGCTACTCAGGGGAAATGAGTTAGTGAAAATGGACCATCAGTGAACTAACTTGAAGGTCTCGCGCTCACGAGCTGCTTCCGACAAGGATGGCGCGTCTGAGTCCGAGTTCGACGTGTCGATATGTTCGACGTCGTCGTTAATCGTGATCATCGGCGAAGTCGATAACGGTCCAGCAGTGGGACCACCATATTCGCTCATGCTTCGGTGTAGGGCTAACGGGGATTGCAATGTGCGGTCTGGTGCCTGGAACGTGGTATTGTCCTGAGATCAGATGCTGTCGGCCATTAGTGTATGGTGACGGGAATCCGACAGCTCACAGATGCGATGCGGCGTCATGCTACAGCAAGAGGCAAAAACAGTAAGCGAGAAAGAAAATTATTTTGGATCGGGATTCGCGATCCACGGTTCGATTCAGGGTCTAGAAATGACGGCATCAAAGGCGCGGAGATCGGAGACATTGACCGTGACCCGACTGAACGGCCCAGCCAGGCCCTTCCTGATCTCTGACAAGTCCTTTGCTAATCGGCCTAGGTAGGTGCCTTTCCTTTGTACCTTCTGCTTTTAACCCTTCTAGGCCGGAGTTTTCACTCCGGCCCTGACAACTGAACAGCATCGGAAATTTGAGAATTGCATTGCAGAGCTTTGTGGGGCTGGATGGAGTTGTTTCGAGATCTAGAACAAGCCTTGAAAGTTGAAACCTGCTGGAAGCCCTGAAGGAAAAGTGGAGATAGTCGTTGGGTTCGATGACGTGGTATGTAAGGTAAGTACCTCGAGGGTGCTAACCAGCTTTCCCTTTGACTCCGTACCTGTATACCGCAAGAACTCAGAGTGGCAAATAGCACCTTCGGGTCCAAATATACCCGCATCGGACCTCTCCAAATGCATAATGCTTCGGTTTGACCAGCTTAGGGAGCCGTCACAACTGCCGCGTTTCGTCTTCAAGCATCAGAGCAGTTTAGGTAGGCCCAGCATACACCTTAATGGTAGTACTACTAGCCTACAAGGAGGTCCTAAGGCAGTTACCTTACTTATATTAGGCCGTACCCTAGGAGCAACCAGAAGGCGAATTCTTGTAGTTTCCCGTGGTTCGCCCACGGCTCAAGCTCACCACAGGTTAGACCTTCAAGAACCCCTATAGAGACTACCTTACAGTGGTTGTCGCTGCGAGAGCGACGGGGGGCTTTGACTAGTACGTACAAAATTTCCAGCTCCATGGGCATCCAGTGTCCGCATGGGTGACTGCGCCAAAATTCGACGCACATTGTGAGATTTTGTTGCACGATCTGAAGGATGACAATGATCACCTGTGATACGTCTACCCACAAGATCTCAGGGGTTCGGGAATCTACATTATGTGACCCCTTGATCCCTACGAAACCCTATGCTCCCGCGATTGTTCTACCATTTTCCTTCTAGAACGGTCTCGCAGATGATGCAGTGTAAGGTACCTTACTGTACCGTACCTGGATTGTTGTATGTACATGCTGAGGCGTCTAGGGCAGGGGCGACGTACGGCGTTGACTCCAGGTGACAACGACGAACGATGATAACTGCACCTGGGTCATTGGTAAGTTAGGTCATATAGTTATACCTACCTACTTAGGGGTCCTAATTTTTGGTCCATAACAATGACCCTGATGTGTCGAGAAGTCGGGACACAGATGGTAACTGCGGGAGAGGTACTCCCCCAACTGTTGCAATACGGCAAAAGGAATTCCTTGCCTGCAGAGGGTCTGGGTTACCCTATAGGTATACTACAACACCAACAATCTTAGCAGTGGCACCCCATTTCTATAGGGTTTGGGTATACGGCCTAGTGATTTCCCAACAAACTTCATGTTGACCTGCGTAGTGGCTGCTAGGTACCTGGGATAACTCGTTGTCAGGAAGCCGCGTAGGTAGAGTACATGAGTATTAAGGTACTAGGTACCTAAGGTAGGTAGGTATCTTACAGAACGCTTACGGGAGTAGGAGAACCGGTAGGTTGCGTCTGCCCGGCCTCGCTCCGACTCAAAGTTGTGGGCAGCTGCTCAGCCTATTCCTACCAAACAAATCAGAACTCTCGAGCCGCTGGCCTTCAGGTTTCCCAACCGCTTACTTGAAGGGAGTTGCCGAGAGCTGACGATAGGTATGTATGTACAATACATGTAGCCCCTTGCCCCGTCAACCGCAAGCTTCTCACGTTCTTTGTGGGAAATGGGATTGTGCAGCTAAGATCATTTGCGGATAGACATCTGTCTTCAAATTGCACCAATCCATCCAGGAGGCGTCTGCACCACATGACGCCTTTACCTCGAGACAGAGCGTCACATCGAATTGTGGCAACCAAGTCTTTAAGGTTAGCTCTTAACCAAGAGCGAGAGGCAGCGAGGCACTAACGCAGGCGTCGAATTCAAAGTGAGAGGCTGCCACTAAGAGCCCAGCCTCTCCAGGTCTTCATGATTGCGATTAGGCTGTTCACGTGGCACGCTGCCCAGATGTTTATCCCAACCATTCTCAGCCATCAGCAAGGCGCAAGTCCGCCTCATGCCGCTCGACACCGCAAATGGGATAGCGCGATGTTCTCATAACACCAACGCCGACGCAGCCGCACCCCGCCTGCGCATGGCCTAGGTCCTGCAGGCAGGCCACACTAAGAAGATACTTCATCGGCAGCTGAAGCCTCGCTCGAGAACGAGGCGACTATCAGTCGGTGACGCTGCCTGCGTATTGAAAGCCCTCTTTTGCTACTTGACTTGATTCCACGTCCGTTAGTCCTGTCTACGACGTCAGGATGGATTTTCAAGCGTTCCGTCGACGGCACAGCAGGAGCGCTATCCTCCTCAACCTTGTAGCAGTCTTGTCCCTCGCGGTCCTGCTCGGTCTCGCCATCGTGGTCAGCGACATGGACACACATATTGCCTTTTCAGGGTTTGAGTCTCGTTGGAACCGGGTGCCGAATGGGTAGGTGGAAGACGGTGAAAAAGTATCTCGCCTTCGACTTGGAATGTCGTCGTCGTCGTCACTGGTACGGCCGTGGGTATTGTCGCTAGCATCGCGGTGAGCAGCCACGACGCTTTTCTCACGCAACTCGAACTCGCGTCTTCCAGAGGCGTCCCCGCCTTGTTCCTGCGTCCTCTGACCGCCAGACGCAGCCTCGAACAGTTGCTCAGCGGGCGTATCCCGCCCGAAAGGGCCTCTATCCTTTTACTCATGTTTCTCACGGCTTTTACGTCAACCGCCACCGTCGCATTATTCTCGGCGCAGACGGCAATCGAGGACCTAACGAACGATCGCCCGTCCTTACCCCTCGAACCCCTTCCCAACAGGACGTGGTCCGATTTCAATTGCTACGGTATATGTTACATAGACGATATCGCCCCGGCTCTGGGATCGTTCATGTATCGCAGCGCGTATGTCAACGGCCTCATTTCAGGTCGTTCAGATATCTGGGAAGCGAATGATCGCGGACAATATAGGTCAATGACGCCAGACGGACTGCTGGGCGACGTCATGTATCGCGGCCTCTGGACGGCCGGCGTCGGCCTCAGTGTCCGCTCGTACGCTGAATACCTCGGGCCGGGGGAGTACTTCTCCCTTCCTGATAACTATACGCTTAACGCGTTAAGGGGCGAAGTCTACGGAACCATCATCAACTCCACGTGCGAGAACCGCACGGCTGATTATGACAGGTACTCCGAGTACCTCTGGGAGTTGGGTGGCATGGTAATTACCACAGTCACGAGGCGGGAACCGGGAAAAGTGCCTGCCAGTGTGGGCGACGATTCCCGCGATTTCGACGAGTTAACCCGGGCCAGCAAAGAGAACATCACCGCCGTCTCACATCGAGGGTACAAGAGTTTCGATCCCGACCTCGCCATTGGCTCCAACATCACTTACCCGAATCCGGTAAAGTTTGTCAACGCGACTGGCGGAAGTGATATCGACCTGGGGGAGCCTGTCCATGTCATTCTTGTTGCAGGCCCAGTGGACAAAGAGGGTCAGGTCTTCGAGTGCCGGTACTCGGGCCAGGAGGTACTTGTTGAGACATCCCTTGAAAGCCCTGTCGCCCCCGTAGAGATAGGCCGCGTGATGTCGACGATAGCATCGTCTACGACAAGTTCTCAGTCCATCTGGCTGCTCGTGAAGCAGCTCGTTGCGGAAGAACTGCATAACAACATGGAGCTGGTAGCTCGGGGATTCAGAAACGGCGGATATTTCCCTCTCGGAGATGGATACCCGGCGTTTGAGGACACGGCCTTGGGCGACATGCTTGCCCTTGTACTTTCACAGTCAGCTCAGGCGGCCATCTCTCTGCTGCGGCAGACAACCGAAGTCGCCTACATGAGGAACCCGCCGGAAGTATCCCCAGCTGCGTCCATCGCGGCAACCATTTCGTTTCAGAGGCTAGGCGGTAAAAGTCGTGGTTGGCTCGTTGTTTATGGAGTTTTGCTCCTAGGCTCGCTAATAGGCCTCGTCCGGACTTTGATTGGAGGAAGAGCGGTTGAGTTTGAGGCTCAGGATGCTGCCGTTTTGCTGGCCAAGGCCATGGGGGACGAGGAGTTTGGCTCAGCGACCAGGGTGCAATTTGTTCATGGCAGGGTGCCATATGGGGCGGGAGGAGAGACGGTGTCTATCATGGTGTGCAGAGATACACCTTGGAGAAGGAAGTTGTCCAGCGAGATGGCCGTGGCAGTGGGGAAATACCGCAGGGCGACCCGGACAGGAAACAGAACCCAGAAGACGCCGCCTCTCCTCTTATTGATAGAACTTAGGCATAAACACATAGAGCGTTCTAATGTCGAAGTAAGGAGGCAAGGTGAGACCCATACAGAGGGCTTTACAGTCTTGTTCAACACGGCACTTCTCACATGACACTCAGAACGGGCGGGAAGCCCTGCCGAGCAAGTCGCTGGATCAGTGTTCTCTACCTGCTAATGAACAGAAAAACTCACACAAGCCTTTGCCAGCCAAGAACTGGATGTAACGGAATAAGCAAGCTGACGACCAAGCCTACGGTTCATCATTGCTACTAGTACAGGGCGTCTGAATGCGAAGCAACTTCAGTTGAAGACCACCTCGGTCTCTAATCACACCAGCGCGCTGAGAATAGATAGCATTGCTAGAACACCGCATGCAGTGAGCAGCGCCAACCCTCCCCCGCAACCACCAGCTGAGGAAACTCCTCCTGTCATTGAAACTGATGGCGACGGTGACGGTGACGGTGACGTCGCCGCCGCCGCTGTGTATGTGAGATTGTATGTTAGCTGAATTTGAGTCTCCCTGGTATACGCCCACAGCGCCACGTCGTACGCCTCCTCTGTGAATTGGACCGTGACCGGGTGCAGGCCGACGCCAATCTGAAGGGTCCCGTTGCCAAGAGACGTGTCGAACGTGTTCCCCTCGCCGTCGACTGCAAGGATGCTGGTCAGATTTCCAGACGCGACGGTTAGGTTGAAGGTGTAACTACATGCGTCAGGAAGTGGTTAGCCATATCTTTTTGACTCAACATGAGTAGGTCACGGCAAGGATTCTTACGATCCCGGACTAACGTCGCCGAGGAACATCATCAGGGCGTTTTCCCCCGACTCGGTGATGTTGGTGAAGAAGTCTTCTGTTCTCCGTTTGTCAGTAAGTACGGCCATGTATCACTCAGCTGCTGGGAAGCTGCTGGGAGGTGTTGTGGACGTAGAACATGCCTTGACCCAGGCTTTCCCAGCCCAGGTCATCCCGTTTGATGACAGTACCCGAGTTCAGCCCGCAGTTCTGCGCGGACCCTGCTGTCGGCCGGCCCGTCTTGCAGTCCCAGCCCGTGATCTTGACGATGTAGTCTTTGTCGGCCAATCCGCGGAGCATCTGCCCCAATCCGCGGAGCATCTGGCCCTGGTACGAGTTCTGCCAGCCAGGGATGCAGATGGACGTGCCTGTGCCTGGATTGCCGCCCTGTAAGGATGACGCTGAATACATAATTCCCATCATGTAAGCGCTTGGTTCAATTGTAAGGCGGCAGGTTATTAATATAGTGTGAGACTTACCAAAGGGGAACTCGTCGCAGGTCATGCGCCACTTAATGCCAGGGCGGCCGCCAGGGATGTCCATGAAGTTCTCGTAGGGGTTGCAGGGCATAGATGTGTCGTCCGGCTTACACTGAACGTTCTCGTCATCTAGATCCCGAATCGGTCAGCCGAGTCCGGATCATGGAGTTGAAGCACGGGGCAATGACAACTCACCGCAGAACCCTTTGGGGCACATGGTGGGCCTGTTTGTCTTTGCCAAGTCAGGGCGATAGGTGAGCTTCATGAACTGAGAGGTGCAACCGCGGGCTTTTTTAATCCCTGACCAAAACTCGTCCAGTCAGCCTACATGTGCTTGTAAATCTGTTGTCTTAGGGGTAACGGCCCGGGGTCAATAGCTCGCCTTTACACATGCTGTTCATCAGCTACAGACATGTCAGCTTCTTGGACTGGTTTAAATTCTCACTCCCCTATCTGTGTACTTACCTCTCTGTTGTCCAGACACACCCTCGTGTTGGAGTTAGGAAGTGTCGTGTATGTTTCGACGTATGGAATTGTCTTAACCGGCAGGACCTGCCGCTCGTTGATCTCAACGCTGCATGCATCGGTCTCGGAGATGTCGCTGCTGGTAGTCTTGGAGGTCTGTGTCAAAGTACTGATTATCGACGATGTAGTAGTTACTCTCCGAGTTGTCAATGTGATTTCCTTCGATGTAGTTGCCTTTGCCGATGTAGTAGTTGTGTGCGTCGATGTCCATCTAGATGTGGTCGGTCCCGTCTTGGTAGGGGCCAGGGAGGTAGGCCAGGCACATCTGTTGCCGGCGCAGACCGCCCCAGCCTTGCAGCACATCCTAGCGGTACTACAGCATACCGTTCCGAGAGCACAAGATCCGCTCCCGTCAGGGCAGCAGAATTGGGTCTCAGGCCAGTAGTAGTAGAGCGGTCCGCAGCACGCCGCCCCTGGCGGGGCACATGGAAGAGCACGACCCGGGCAGGCGATAACTAGGAGGAAGTATCAGCTCTGAACTCGTGTTTCTATAAACGCTATGTTGATTTGTGTACCTACCCCATCCCCGATTCAGGCACCTAAGGGTTTGTCGCTCCTCGATCGGACTCTCACTCCCAGCTACCATCAAGGCTCCCAGTTTGGCCCCTGTGTCCATGGGCACGGAGGATAGGCCACCTGTATCGAGCTGAGCCGAGATAAGGGCCAGAAGATTCAGAAAAATGGGCATATGTGCCCATTTGCCGAAGGACTGCATCGCGATGTGTTGACAAGATGCCGTTGGCTTCCTGTCCTTGCAAGCTTCAACTACCTTACACTTGACAGTGAATGCCACGACGTGAAATGTGACTCGACTTTGAAATACAGCATCACCTTCGCCTGCACTGGGATTCCCGTCTTATACATGGATATCCTCAAGAACCTCGCTGCGCCTCGCAAGGCTACTTGGAGGGTTGATGTTGATGGATGTCCAATCGTGGCGGTGCTGATAGCCGGAATCGACACTGGATGCTACTATATGGGATGAACCCAATCAGCTTTCCTCGTCTCTTATTGTCAGTGTAACCCTGTACCTCTAGCGAGCGGTGAACCCGTAAGTTGAGTGGGAGCCTAACCGCCCAGCTAGACTGGGGACTTGAGAGCCCCAACTTGTACAAAGTAGATCGTTGTAATAATTAGGCCGTCTGACGAACCTGAGTGGGCCGCATTGCGGCTCAACGTTTCGTACATATGAGCAGAAGGTTGCTAGACTTGAAAAGCCGGCACTTCCTTAGCTGAATTGAAGTCGCTTGAACATACAGACAGCTCCCTGCTCTCAAAGTGAGATATATATGAGTAGGTAGCAGTCCCGGTAATAGAGAAAGGGAACAAAAGCAAGAGAAAGACGGAAGAGAAGGAAAGAGAAGAAAGAGAACGACATGGAGATAGAGTGAAGGTGTATGTATTGGGTGGGTTCCTACGGTACCCTCAATTATACCATCCCATGCCTGAAAAGTCTTTGCCGTCCATCTGGAAAGCCTGGACAAAGGCTCCCCAGTCTGGCACGTCGTTAAGGTCGCCATTCCACTCGCTGTCCCCGCCTACAGACATTTGCCCTAGAACCCCCGGGCCCCACGGCGTGATACCCGCTTCAGCAGGTTGCCCCTGACGGTTTGCCACAGGAGCGTTGGGATCAAGCTCCCCGGTAGCACCGCTATCCCCTTCGTGTCCAGCAACATTAGCTCTCGCATCCCGCATCATCTCGGCTTTCCGCCTTAGAGCAGCCAGGATAGCCCCCTTATGGCCTTGCCCCTCTCCCATCTCCTTATACTCGTTGAACCACCGATCCACCGTTACCCACGCCCTTTCCACGTGGGGTCCCTTGGGCTGCACGCAGAGATGCCAGAGCAGATACATGACGACGTGGTACTCTGGGTTCGTCCGCCACAGCCACGAGTACGGCCTTAGCATCTCGTCGCCCCATATCTGCAGCGCCAGGTCCAGCACGTCAAGCGCCTCGGCCAGGTCCTCGTCCGTCGGCAGCATGTCGCGCGAGTCGTTACTAGTACCATCGTCGCTATACTTGCGGAATTTTAGCGCCAGCCACTGCTGCCGAGACACGAGATCGGCATTGCGCATCGCCAGGCGCGAGGTCAGCAGCGCTAGCCGATGGCGGGGGATGACGGGGTTACAGCCGGCGAGCAGCTCGTCGACGCGCTGCCTGGCCTCCTGGATGATTTGCACACGGACGGACTCGTCCGGCGGGGAGGTGGGTGTTGCCGAGGCGGCGATGCTGCCCAGCCGGCGCACCGCGCGAGTGATTTCGAAGTTGGCTAGGGGGAGTGTCATGGCGGTGAAGACGCCGGATCGGGGAGAGGGGAGGGCGGGCATGTCGGGGTGGAGATCGGTGTCGTCGATCGGAAGGGGCAGCCGCGCGTCGGAGCGCCTGGAGCAGAAGCCCTGGAGACCAAAATCTTCGGCCGCGCGGCCATCGCGGCTGATGATGTGCCACCAGACACGCCGGCGGAGTTCAGCCTGGAACGGAGGCAGGCCGAGGCGCTCGCCGTCGCGGTGGAGGCCCAATGCCTGGGCGATACGGAGGGCCATGCCGTTGAGAATCCAAATGCCCTTCCCACGGCTGTGAAGCTGGAGCGCCGACAGGTACAGCGTCAGGGCGGAGAGCATTGGGAATGTGGGTTTGTCTAGAACCTCTGCTTCGGCCAACGCTTGCTCGAAACCAGCCTTACATCGGAACTGGACGGTAAAGGGATCATCCTGCTGGAGCAGCGCCTGGGCTTCGGTGGGCTGGAGGACGGCCATGGCGGCAAAGAAGACGGAGTAACATAAGGCCAAGTCCTCTGGCTGAGCTCCTGCCGGATTCTCGATGGTGGCACATATTTTGACCTCGTCAGTAGGAATGTGCAAGACCTTGATGCCGGAGCATGCCTCGATCCTCTCGAGATAGGCGTTCCACAGCCTCAGGGCTGTCTGCTTGAGCGGGAAGTAGCTGGAGCATGGCTGGGAGGAGGCGGCAGAGAGGATCCCCATTGGGCTGTAGATGGAGAAACGGGACAGGAGTTCATGTTCGCTGGCCGGTGGAGTGGTCAAGACATTTTGGATATCCTTTTGTTGGTCAATCATCCTAGAGTGGAGCGGCTCGTTGAAGTACTCGCTGTGCGAGCCCTTTTGGACCAGAATCTCGTCTCCAAAGAAGTGCTCAGCCTCCCCAGGTGTGGCAGGTGTGGCTGCTGTCGTCGGACGCCCAGCAGGTGGCTGGGGGGAATTGAAGGCAGGGCGCCCAGCTGTAACCGTGGGTTCAGGGGGTGATGCTGGGGGTACTGGGAGGCGTTTCTCCAGAGTGTAGAGACAGTTTGCTACCCAGGCCATTGTCGTCTTCCTGGGGCGCTGGATCCTCTGCCCAATGGGCGGATAGGTGCATTGCTTCCCACCACGGGCACAGCGAACGCATGGCTGGCCCTTGTCGCAACGGACCTTGCGCCGGTGGCAGTTGTAACACGAGCGTGGAGTAGGCTGGTCCAGCGGGTTACTCCGCTCGGTGGCTAGGACCGTGGCGGCCGTGGCATCGGCCGCCGCAACGGTATCGGGGCGGTCTGCAACCATAGTGAGAAACCCAGAAAAGTGAAAGGTATTAAAATACGACCTTCTCCTTCGTGGTTAACGTCCCTGATGTTCGAGAATGAGAGGACAGAGATTTTTGGCATTCGAGGTTCCCCCTTCCAAAGCAGGAAGGGACGGCGCGGCGTTTCCAAAGAACCGAGACCGAGCTCGCGGCGACAATCAGCCAATGACAGCTCAGCTCGGTGGTAAATGCTGCCGCTGCTGCGCCGAGCACGGCGCGCTCCCATTGGCCCAACAATGCCGTCTTTTTCCGCAACGGTTGACAAACTCCGGACACAGCACGCGCCATCTCGACGATGTGAATATGCGACATGACAATACGAGACAGCACACGGTGTTGGCATGGGTGTTTACCGCCCGGACGAAGGTCTCCATAAGCCAGGGATCATTGATAAACCACAGCATTTATTCCCACCATGTTGGCAATCAAGGATCAAGATGGAGAGCTCTGCTCGACATCATCTACTCCGCTGCGTTTTCCGCCGTACGCGTTGTTCGCACACCTCGGTTTCGGCTTTCTGTCAAGAAGGGAAATTTCTTAGAGCATAATCCAACCAGAATCTGTTTGCCCATACGCCATGCCGCTAGCCAATGGCGATGCGAAGCTTGAGCCCGGATGGAGCCTGAGTGTGACAGATAACTCGGAATCGGATAGGACAAGCGGTTCTCAGGTGCCCAACAATGAGCCACCATCAGAGAGGAGAGTCTCAGCAACAGCTCCTGTTGGCCAAGCCCCTGATGGCGGGATGGCCGCTTGGCTGGTGGTTCTGGGGGCATGGTGTGCTCTGTTCTGTACCGCAGGATGGGTCAACAGTAAGTGGACGCTCCCTCTCTCGCCCACTGCCACATGCGCTGTGTCAAGGCACACTAGGTACTTACCTACAGGTTGTTGACAGGTATTGGCGTTTTCCAAGAGCATTATCAAACGGAAATGTTCAGCGCCTATGATCCAAGCACCATTGCGTGGATACCTTCGCTGCAGGTATTCTTTCTGTACGGCATGGTACGCGCCACCCCTCCTTGAGTCTTCCATGGTTCGTCTCGCTGATCTGAGCTCACCGTAGGGCCCCATAGTGGGTGCAATCTACGACAAGTTTGGGCAAAGATGGCTGGTTTTCCTTGGCAGCATCCTTCATGTACTGGGCCTCATGATGGCGAGCATCGGTACCGAGTATTACCATATCCTTCTTGCTCAGGGCTTTTGTTCGGCTCTCGGCGTGTCCATGATATTTCAGCCAGGTGTGTATTTGAACTTAGTTCGCCATACCCAATGATTCGTTGCAGCCGCTTACAAGCCTCAGCCCTGAATTGCGTTCATGGATGGTTCAGCAGCAGACGAAGCACTGCATTCGGCATTGTTATGACGGGGGCTAGCGTTGGTGGTATCATCCTACCCATCATGCTCACCCGTCTCATTCACGATCTCGGATTCGCCTGGTCAATGCGCATCTCTGCGTTTTCCATGCTGGCCCTCCTTGGTATCGCCAACCTCACCGTCCGGACCCATGATCCCTCAGCAACACGGCCGACTCCCGCCAAGTCTGCATATCTAAGGCCGTTCGCCGAACCCGAGTTTGTTCTTGTTGCCTTTGGGTTTCTCTGTTTGACGTATGGCATCTTCGTGCCCATCGACTTCCTGCCAGCCTCTGCCCTTCACGCCGGCATGACTCGTGGCCTGTCCCAGGACCTGGTACCCATTTTTAACGCCGGCTCTCTGGTGGGACGCCTTGCGGGAGGGTACATTGGAGACCGAATTGGATGCTTCAACGCCTTCACCGGAACCTGTTTGCTCACCGGCGTCTGGATTCTGGCCCTCTGGATCCCCGCCGCGAGCGACGCGGCCATTGTCGCATTCGCAATTCTCTTTGGCTCCTTCTCGGGCGGATATGCATCGCTTCTGTCGCCCGTCATGGCTCAGATATCGCCTATGTCGGAGATTGGGTTTCGGACAGGCATTGTTCTCTTTATGGCGTCCATCGGCGGGCTGACAACCAACCCGATTAGTGGGGCCATCCTGAATGGGGAGGACAGTGGGTGGCTTGGGGTCAAAATCTTCGCCGGCGTCTTTGCTATGCTTGGAACCTTTCTGTTCTGTGTTGCTGCAGCAAGAGTCCGCCGGCCTGGGTGGGAGAAGCCGATTGTTGGCTAAACATGTACCTAGTTGTACAGGAACGTTGCATACCTACCTAGCCAAAGGGACAGGACCTGAATTCTTTCGTGAAGTCGCATTTAAAGAGCAGCCACTGTTTCAGTTGGTTTTCTAGGTTCGATCGAAGTTCTGTGAAAGGCGGGTCCTTCGGCTCGACTTCGCTCAGGCAATGCATGACCAGCCGCTGATGCGTAGGACCCAGGAGGTTACGTGGCTCCTCCCTATCGACATCAAGTAATCCAGCAACAAAGCGCCAGAAGATATCATAGCGAGGATCGTATTTACGTTCCTGAAGGAAAGCGCGAAGCTCGATATCGGTACAATTTTCATCGCTGAGCTGCAGACAGCTGAGCGGTTGTTCCGACTTCCACTGTCGACTCAACGACAAACCCACTCAGACGACGGCGACAGACGTAGGTATACGCCTGTATCAACGTGCATGCCTCCTCGATCCCGTTCCACTGCTTGATCCACTGACCCCCCACGCCGTTCCAGAAGCCGATCCCGTCGCAGATATCGCCGGGATTGACGTAGGCAAACTTCTTGCAGTTGTTGACCATGCCCGGGTGGACGGGTTGCGGGGTGGTGATGCCGTTGCCGGAGATGGGGGCGACGCAAACGTAGGTGTATGCCTGCATCGTCCGGCAGTCCTCATCGATGCTGTTCCAGATCTTGATCCACTGGCTGCCACCCACGCCGTTCCAGAAGGCGATCACGTCGCAAGTATCCCCCGGGTTGACGTAGGCGAACTTGTTGCAGTTCTTGATCATCCCCGGGTGAGCCGGCGTGGGGGTCGTGACGCCGTTGCCGGTCTTGGTCGACGTCAACGTCGTGGGCGTGAATCCAATGACACCGACGCAGGCATACTAGGGAAGCGGGTTCAGCACGGCATCAACGAGGTCAGAGAGACGCGAGCGGGTGACGCACCGTTGAAGCCCACAGGCCAGAGCAGTCGCTTCCGGCGGCGGGATTCCACTGGATGAATTGTGCCACGGAAATGGAATGTAGGGACGCGAGCGTCGTGCAGGTCTGGCCGGTTTGCACGAAATGAAACTTGTTACAGTTTTGAGGTATGCCGTCCTGGATACCTTCGTTGACACCCCATTGCCGGGGGTAGTACTCGTGGTTGTGGTTGGCGGACGAGTGGTGGTGCTGGTGATTCGGGCAGTGCTGCTTGGGGTAGTCGTAATGGTTGGGGGAGTCGAGGTCGTTGAGGCAGTCGTCTTGGTTGACGTGGTTGTCAACACCGCGGCTTCCGCAGGTTGCCGGCACGGATGGGTTCTTCAGATGTTGCGTCAGCACTCGTTGTTCACACCTGATAAGCACATGGCTGCGCTCACCCATCTGCGGAATGTGTCCAGAGTGATTGCGTTCTCGGAGAGGATAGTGCTGCAGACGGTGTTATTGGTCAAGTCAACCCACCAGGTGCAGTAGGGGGTGGTATTCTGGTCATAGTTCAGGCCGGGTTCTTCACCACGCGGAAGGGGGCGCGTCACCGCCGCCCCAAGAGAGCCACATGGAAGAGAGGAGCGATGCTCAAGAGCACTGAGAGCGAGGCCGGCGACATGATGATCGGAAGGCACTGAGCCGTGGGAATGCCGAGTCGCGGACAGTGGAGGGCATGTTGCTGTTGCAGTGGCTGCTGTTACTACCTTTTATGCCCCCCCAAAGGCCAGGCTTCCTTCAGAGCCCTGGGCCCTCGCGACAAACCAAATCCAGAAGGCCCGGTCGCCGAAGTGACCGTATCCCGTCTTCTCCGTGGAGGCATGAGTATGCATTTGGGAGCCATAATCTGGACGCGGTCAGTCGTGGAAACTTTGGGCTAGGCGCACTTAGATTCTCAAAGATCCCGTCGGCCCGGCGGGAAACATTCGTACCATCGTGCTAGGCACTTGTGTGCTGTGCAATTGCCAGCCGTTATGATGCCCCACAACATGGCTGACGGGAGCCAACGCGGGCCAGGGGTTTGGGACGGGATCAGTGGAAGGGGACCTTGATTCGTTATAAAGGAGATACTTCGCAAAGACAGGCTGGAACGGTAGTATTCGTGAATCGCATCGTCTAAATCTTGTTTCTTATAAGCCCTTTTGTATTGACAGAGCTGTACTCAAAAAATGAGCTTGTTTGATCGTGCAAATATTGACTGTATTGTAGTAGGTTGAAGACAGGGGGTTGAAGAAGCGCGGTGTAGGTTTGCAGTTCTATCTCTGGATGCCGCTGAGCGACAACATCACCTCGGAAATTCTCACGGATCTCGGTCATCGCCGCCGCCATCATACCATTCTCATTCCGCACGCCCATCAGATACCTACCCAGGTGGGTCACTTTCAAGATATCGCATCGTGTATTCACCCCACAACAGCCAATTGCCACCCTCCCCTAGCAATACTGACAAAGATTCGTCGGACAAAACCCTTCCTTACACGAGAAATTGCACAGGCCCTTGTAAGCGTCGCTGACACCGGAGATCGGGCAACCGTTGCGCTGGTCGGACTGCGTCGGGTCTTGGGTACGCCGTACGATGTGCACTTGCATAGGCCGGGAGGGCAGTATCCGTAGCTGCAGGCGAAGCTGCAGAGGAACCGGATCTGGTTTGGCTGGCCGTCAGCGTAGGTGTCCCCGTTGCAGGATTCTGTTAAGTTATTGAATGCATTGGTTAGCGGGTGCTGCCGTTGGGGTCTTGGGGACGGGGGGTTCTATATTTTTTGCAAACATGATTCAAAGGGACTGACATATTGCAGAGGCAGCGGCCGCGAAGAGGACGGCGAGCATGGGGAGCATGATGATGGTGGGTGAAGTCGGGAGCCTACCGCCAGAGCTGGGGACGCTGCTTGTCTGGGTCGGGAGGACACTGGCGGAGGTGCTGGCCGGCGCAGACACGGATGTTGCGCCCTGTCCCGGCGTCGCGGTCGGCCCCGTTGCCGACGATCGGGACCCGGTGACGGTCTGGTGTGCCTCGGCATAGCACTCGGCGTTGATGAGGGTGTGGTTCATCCAGACCGCACCGCCCAGGACGACATTATTGGCTATCTGGTACCAGAGCAGCGGGCATTCCTGGGCGACGCGGACGGCGCTGGAGCTGTGCGCCGACCACCAGGACCAGGCGCTGCTGGCGTAGGCCGAGTAGGCCGGGAGGAGCGATGCCGGCAGCACGGTTGTGATGCCGCACCAAAGCGTCTTGTTGGGAAAATCGCAGTCGGTGCGGTACTCGAAAACGCCTGTCGTCCTACACGTCTCAAGCAGCTGGACGCCGTACGAGTAATGGGCGTCATCCAGAGCACCGCTCGGTCGCGGCGGGTTGAAGTACCGGTCTCGGATGCTCTCAGTCACGCACGTCCACGGATCTGTCGTCGTGACATTGGGGCGTTTCGTGGGAGCTACAATAGGGTGTAGCTCGGCCTGATTTGCCGACATCAGGATATTGGCGGCGGTAGGCATCGCGAGAGCGACGAGCACTCCCCAGGAAAGAACGGACCTTAGCATTGTTGATTGTAACTGCGCAAGAGATACTAGTTCAAGCTTCGGCTGGTGTCATGGTGAGGTACATGGGAAGACGATTGAGAGGCACCGATGCCGGACAAGACAACTCTGCTGCCGGAGACGTGCGGAATAAGAACAGAGAAAAATGTCCGGTACCTTACCTACCTGTAGGCAGCACAGCAGGGGGGGTTCGAAGGCCGCAAGGTCGCGGCTTGTCAATGTACTGTACTGTACATCCGCGGGACCCCTGAGGGTTACCTTTAATACCACTATAGAAGCGCCATCAATGGTCGGTACCCCTGGCAGTGGGTCTGCGCCGCAGCGGTGCCTCCCGTCGGCTCGCGTTATCCAGATCCCATTCTTGGCAACTTTTTTGTATGTGCTTTGGCAAGGACACACTGACCACAGAGATTTTCCTGTTACGGAGCACAGTCCATCTTTCGACTTCAACATTAATCCAATTCTTCATTCAAAACCAACACATCATCCACACACCTTAAGGCTAAAGTCTCTGCGTGCGCCGCACACCTGCACTGGTAATTTTGGATAAGTTCCCAAATTGCTCGAGCACGAAGGTACATGCGGAGTACAATCAAGAGTCAAGCCAATTGCCAAGATAGGTAGAACCCATGTCACAGCCCTAGTCGCCAGCACTCCTCACCGTACCGTTCCTCCAGCCTCTCCCGGACCGCCTTCAAGCACGTGTCCTTGCGATAGCGGTTCAGGTCTGGCCAGCCGTGTTCACGATAGATGGCCTGGACCAAGGGCAGAGCACCCTCGACCTCGGCTGGTTTTCCGTCGCCCATGTCTCGCACAGATGTGGGGCTGACCGGCAGCGAGAACAGTTGCAGGAACTGGTCCTTGAGGAGCTCGAAAAAGTCGACAACGGCCCACGCGGGCTCGCAGCGCCATTCTCGCTCCCCCTCGGGTGAAAAGTCATACCAATCGTCGAGGACGGGTTCCCGCGTCGGTTCGTATCTCATCCTATCGGGGCACGAGACCCAGTAGATGACACCAAGCTCCGTATCGAGTATCCACCGGTCATACATGATATTATCGCTGGTGGACGTAAGGCCGACGGCGTGCGGGGGGGCCAGTCCCGGTTCCCCATGTTCATTGAGGGGCTCCGTTATGACCTTGGCTACCTCGAAGTGTGCCTCGGCGTCGAGCCCCGAGCGGCGGCCAAGGTTACCAATCGACTCCATCCAGTTGTAGAGTTGGACTCCAGAGGGACCAACTTCCGCCTCGCTTTTAGAGCCGTAGATGCCACTTCGCAGGTAGGGGATGTACCGCAGCAGCATGTTGACTTTGTCGGTCTTGCCCAGGCTTCGAAGCCGATCAGATGTTATCTCCGGCCAGCCTCCCTCCGGGGGTCTAAGAATGTCGGCCTCGTCGAGGTACATCTTGGCGAGAAAATCAAAATAATCGCTAATGGCGAGGACAGTCGCCGCGTGATCGTACGTGATTTGGCTGAGCCGCGGCATATTATTGGTCTTGGGTGCTTCACCAGGTCAGTGAAAATGGGAGTGTTGAGCGAGGTGGTTTGAGGGTGTCAGTGCAAGAACTAACCAAAATTCCGAACGTTTTTGCCTGAATGAGGCAGTCACTTTCGTCCCCCAATCTCGCAAAATTGATCCGTAGTTCCGTGCCTCCCGCTGCCCTGTCGCCAAGCGGGCCGCTGCGCCATTCTGCCGAGTGGTGGAGTTTGAAAGACGTTGTGCGGCAGAGCCCAAGGGTACCTAACCAATTCCGAGATGGTTGGGCGAACCAATCGCTGTCGTTACCACCCTGCTGGTACAAACGCTCATTGGACCGATCTGAAATGGGAATCCTGTGCGCGACGCTTGCGCAGGTACAGTCGAGTAGTGTACATGCCTTCCTTCAGGTATGCAGTGGAGGTTCGGGGAGGCCCGGAGAAGCATGGAGTGCCAGTGCTGCGCCAGGGCAGTGCATTGCGGAACTCTGTCGAGGGACTGGATGCGGATATCCCGTCTGGTCCGCGGAATAGCGCCGAGTTACGTTACCTAGGCACACCGTACATGAGCTACATCATCAACAGGCCTCCATGTCTGATTGCTAAGGTACCTTAGCCAAGTCGCTTGCTCGTTGATGGGAGGGCGGCCAGGACTCCTAATATGGCCCGATGTTCGTCTCTCCTCGCCTTCTGTTAGGTCTCGGACACAGCTGTCTTCTCCAGTCCTTCTACCCTGCTCAGGCATACTCGTCCGCCCCTCCGCGAGGCATTCCTCCTCTCATCAACCATGTGGCCAGCGAGGAGGGCTGTCACGGCATTGCTTATGCTGGGGCCCGGCCTGGTCCGCTCAGCCATCAACCTCGATGGCAGCCGGGCCATTATGCCTTTGGGCGACGGGGACCCTTCCCCAATTCATGACGCCCAAACCTACGAACCGGAACAGTACGACTGTCCACTTCAATGCGCCGACAGGTACGCCAACATGCACAGGTGGACTCCGTACCTGTCAGTCGACCGCCTTCGCGGTTGCCAGGAACCAATCAGCGCTCCCAATAAGTCAAGCATATTCAAACCAAGGCAAATCGACCGGCCGGCAAGTAAGCCAAACCGGCCTTCAGAATAAGCCAATCAAGCCAATTCCCAGGCCCTATGTGTTTGTTTGATTTGAGTGGGTCCCCCCACTATAGTGGTGATATTTGATATTCTCCATCCTCCGTTGGCCACCCACCTACCTACCCATCGGTCACCTATATACTAGCTATCTTTTCCATCCTCTAGCGATATTTTCCATCTTCAATTGGCTATAACGTACTTGCATAACGAGTTGCGCACTTTTCTTGCACCTGCATTGCTTTGTATAAGTCAATTCAACTACAATACCTCTAATTAATTGAAACTACTCAGACTCGCTTTCATCAGACGTTCTTGCAACTACCTGACAAGTTCGTGCATTATGGCCGGGCTTCTTGCAGTTGCTACAGAGCCGAACGTGTGGCGTAGCCGCAGTACTACAACCACTACTCCCAGACGTTTCCTTACAATCCTGACCACCAAGTCCCTGTTCGGCCATTAAAATTGTCGCCTCTTGTAGACTAAGTGATCCACCATCTTGCAAACGTGTTTTTTTGGTCCTACGTCGCTTGCTTTGCCGCTCATTTGCCGTACAGAGCTCTTGGTCTCAGCTCGGAGCAACACCAGCTCATGCGCTAACATCGAGATGCTCTTTGCTTGCAAGTCGATAATGTCGAAAATGTGAGTGGGAGAGCTACCTTTATGGTTTTCAATCTTCCGCTTGAGTGTGCTAGAGCTTAGGATTGCTTCCTGCGCGTTGGAGGGTGTCTTGGGCACCCAAGATGTAGCTGTTCCAGGACGCGAGCTCGGAGGAGATGGGGTGTTGGGCTTAGG